TCACTATTTAATAATACTTTAGTTTGAATAAATACAACTCTCAGGAGATTCATTAATAAACTTAGCATGTTTTCTTTCCAAAATTAAAAGGATACTTTTCCCACATTTCAATTTGTTTTAAGTTAAAAGTCCTAATGTTTCAGACCCAAAGAATATATTATACTGTACAAGAACCACAACAGTGCTTCAAATATAAAGTATAGACTTATTACACTGTACTTTACTGCAATTTTAGTGTTTTTGCAACTATCTGTAAAAACATAGATACAGCAAAAAGTAACTTGTCTGATTGATGTTTGAAATCAGATCGAGATCCAAAAAGAATGAGCATGTTATGGGTTCTGTCTAGGGCAGGGCTTTTCAACCTTTTCACCCATTGTACCACTTTTAGGATATGGCAATATCCGAGTACCACCAGTCGCCTAGCAAAGTGTCAAAAACTTGATGACCCCCCCCCCCAAAAAAAAGAAAGAAAAAAAGTGATGAAGTACAGGTCGTCCTCGACTTACAACAGTTCACTTAGTGACTGTACGAAGTTACAATGGCACTGAAAAAAGTGCCCCCCAAGCCACAGCCGAGCAAGACACGTTCCTGCCCACCTAGCGGTGCTCTTTCTCCTGTCTGAGGTTTTCATTGTTGTGCGCATTTCTGATGAGGATTGGCAGTGGGGGTGGGGTGGGGGTGTTTGGTTTTTATTCCCCTTGTCTGCTGGGTGGTTGCAGCAGGTTTTGGTCACTTCACATAACCCTGGGACACTGTGACCGTCATAAATATAAATCAGTTGCCAAGCATCTGAATGTAAATCACAAGAGCCTGGAGATGCTGCAACATTCCAGCTGATCGGCACTTCTTTTGGGCTCAGCAGAAATGCCAGGATCCGCGCCGAGCTCCAGCTGGAGCCTGGCGCTGATCCTGGTGCTTCTACTGAGTCCTAACAGCCCTGCAGCTCCAGCCATCTCTCGCTCAGGCTTGTGCTGTGCTGCCACCGGTTCAGCTCATTCCCCTCCCCCGCTACTTTTCTAGGATGGTCGCGTACCACCTGCCAGGTGCCAATGTACCACAGGTGGTACCCGTACCACTGGTTGAAAAGCCCTGGTCTAGGGAACTACTGTACATCTGACAAGTCCTAAGGCAGTGGGCCTTTTCTGCCATGGCACAGCACTGTGGAATCACATCATCACCTGAGGTGAGGTTGGCCTCATCATTTGTGTTTTTATCCCCCCCCCCAGGTGAGGGAGATAGTGAGCTTCCAAAGATCTACAACCAGGTGGCCCTCAATTAGAGGGACCTACAATTTCAATCAGTTGCTGCCTCTCTGATTGATTGATTGATTGTGGTATTTGCAGCTTCCTGACGCTGAAAATCACCAGATTGGGGAAGCTCTGCATTCAACAGGTTGCCTTGGACAATATAGATATCAAATTTAAAAATGAGTTGTTCCCTTCCACCCCCCCCCCCTGAAAATCCTACTAGCTCCTAGAAAACACAAAAGCATATGCTGCCTGCCTCGGCTGATATTTTTATTAACAGCAGCATCTCCATTTAAAACAGTGAGAGATATTTTATTAGATTTTTTTATCCTGCTTTTATTGCTTTACAAGTAAGGGATCATACACAATAATCCCTATTTTCCCGACAAAAACCCTGAGGTGAGTTGGGTGGGTGAAAGTGACTGGCTCAAAAGTCGCCATTAGAACTCAAGTCTCCAGGTTTTTAGACCAGCACTCTAATCGTTACATCAGATTGACTCTCCATATTGGCAGCATTTGGTTTTGAAGATCTAGCCCGGACTGCACTTCTACATAGGGGGAGCTTTCTCCTCCTTCCCCACTTTCTTAGTCCTATTCTTAGTTCTAGGGAAAAAGCACACTATGCATCTGTAACGTGGGGAACACTAATAACATATAACAAATTGTAATTAATCACAAAGCTAAGAACCAAAGACTTAAACAAGGAAGAATTTAGCCTGAAAACGGAGACTTGGCTGCTTGTGAAAAGTCTCACCCTCAGCCAGCCAAAGCTTTGGGCGAGGACCACCCCGCAGAGCGAGCGCACCCACTCGTCTCCGCCTTAGTGCTAGACTCAAGGCATTCTCTGCCCCCCCTCTCCCACAGCTCCACCAACTCTTGCTGCGCCCCAGCGCGCCGGGCAGAGATAAACCCACCCCTTTAAAACAGCTTACTATGTGCTCCGCGGACGCCGGAGGTCCCAACGCATATGCCAACAATTTAAGATAGTTCCAAGTCTCTCCGTGTCTCGGAAGAGAGGAGGGAAGAGAGGGAGGCGGGGCATAAGAAGAAAAGGAGGCTATGCTAGAGACTTCGGGCCAATAATTGTCGGGAAAAGGATCAAAGAGGCGGGTGTTGAGCGGGGGGGGGCAGCGAGAGAAGGAGTTCGCGTGGTTTCCAGGTGTGCCGGATCGGTTCCATCAGCTTTAGATCGTGCGGCCACTCCAGCGCAAAGCAGCCGCTTATCCTAGGATGACAGCAGGGATCGTGGTCGGCGCTGCAGCTTTCCCAGAGCACAGCTCACTTCATCCCCCGAAGGCCCGAAAGAGGCTGATCTGATCATCGTGAAGGCTCTGCGAGACTATTTTTCACTTTTGCTAGAGAGCGCGTGATGAGCAATGTTAGATTGGGTAACCATCTGAAAAGGATTTCTCAATGGTTTCCTTTGTAAAAGGAGTTCAAAACGTGGGTGTAATGGACATCCAGCCCATTCTTGTTTTTATCAATTCCGTATCAGTTGGGAGTGACTCACAATTACCCGTTTTGAACAATCTGGCTGACAACGGAGCACTCCTTATTTGTTCTTGTAGGCCTTTTAATGGTGTAGTCATTTCTCTCTTTTCTGTTTGCACATTCTTGTTTATGTGCCAGATGCTAGATGTAGTATCTCTCACTATGTATATAAAAGCATGTTTGATTTGTATGCACATAGTTGTTTCAAGAATATATTGGTTAACTGAGTAGTATAATAGAGGATTCTGCCCATCCAAAGCTTGTTCTGTACAGCATATTTTCCATATTAATATCAATAAATGTAAGCTATTCTCATGACAAGCATTATCTATGGTTTACTCAATTCAGTTTTAGAAAATGGCAAGACACAAATATATAACAAGGCTAGGATTTGCACACCTTGCTAGGCTAAATTAGATGGCTAAATTGGACAATACATAGTGCAAAATCAATGACTCACACATTTATGGTGGTCTAAATTTCATTAGGCTTGAGTAATATTATAAAGTAATCATTGTAGTAGCCTGTAAAAATCTAAAGGGGTGCTTTTTCTAATGGGGACTAGAATCATTTGAAGATTGACATATTACAACTCTTGCTCAGGAACTCAAGCTGGAATATAAAGGCTTAATAAAGGTATTTAACATCAGTGCTGAAAAACTCGGCAAAAAGGCAGAAATAACCTTAAAAAGTGTTGTCCTAGATACCACACACTTGGTGGTTTTCTCAAAAACATTACAAAAAGTTTGCTATTATCTTTTTCTGCTATTCCGTTGACTTCCCAATTAGAAAAGGCTGGTACCAAGATACACTACTGAGGCAACTGTTTTACATATAGGGCCTGAAGTTCACATTATTCATCAGTGGAATATTTATGACCTCCCCCCTATAGCAAGCTAGAATTACATGATAATACTATGTAACACATAGGAAACGGCTGTATGCACCTATACAGGAAAATATTTGTAGTTCAGGGTTGAAATGAAGGGTCCTTGGTGCTGAGCTTGGTTGTTTTCTTGCAAATGTTTCATTGCTCAAACTAGGTAACATCAATGCTAGTAAAGAACGGGGTTTACATTCTGCTTATATTCTAGTGGCTTGCCCTGTCAGTGTTAGTGGTTTTGGAGGTTCTTTGGTTGGGCTATTTGCTGTTAGCTTGTTTGGCAGTTCATTGATTATTTACTTCTTGGTATTATTTACTTCTTGATTTGCTTTTAATTGTTGAACACCCAGATGAGCATAGATTAATATCAAGACCAACAATCAAGTATGTAAATATATATATATACATTTTCTATCTTCCCAAAGGCTTATGAGCTGACAGGTTTTAGCTTGGAGAGTGTGCACAGAGACAAGCATAATAAACACAATTTTTATACCAGTGTTTATAGTATTTTTGTACTCAAGTAGCATAAAAATGCAGAAACTCTACATTTCTATGAGAGAGCACAAAAAAATGGCAGGAGCCATTACAATTATATGTAGCAATATGTGATGGCTACTTTTTAAAAATTCTATAGAGTGAAGCAATCCAGGATAGTAATTTCCAATATTAAGTTATCTGCAAGTTAACGTGAGTAGGCAAAATTACCTTTTTACTGTTTTCTAAGCAATCCAGGAATTTATTCTGACAAACATAATTTCCGCTTATATGAATGAAAGGGAATAATAATAATAATAGCTGGAAGGGACCTTGGAGATCATCTAGTCCCCTTGCTCAGGCATGTGGTAAGCAGAAACTTCTTTTATCTTCAAATTATATTTGAATTAAGATCTATTTAATTGCACAACTAGTACAAATATGAATTATAAACCATGGCATGTTCTCAAATTATATTTTAAGAGGAATTTATGGGTAATTCATGGCACATTATTGATATTCTAATACCATGCCATGAATTCCCCATAAATTCTATGGAGAATTCTGTTTTATTCTATAATGTCTTTTAAACAGTATTAAGCTGATTTTAAGAAACAATGGACCCCATTATAGTAATTAAAAATAAAGATATGACTTGATTTCAGGATGAATACAGGTAACATAAATATTATTGACATATATTTCAAAAGTAGTCCAGTGAAAAACTAGGATATACTGGCCCCCACAAAACAAAAATAATTACATTTTAGGGTAAATCAGCAGAAGGTTCCAATACAATCAGTCTACTAGAGCATTTCTTCCATAGAACATTAATATGTGTTAGAAGTTTATTTTTCTGAAATTGTGTACCATTTAAAAAGCAAACATAAACAGAACTAATTAGCTAATGATAACTTTTATTTGGGGGTTCTAAACCTATCCATATGCTTTGTAATTTGTTTTGTACACACAGAAACATATAGAATCATAATAATGGAAACTATAATATTGACAATTGCACCACCCTTATCTATTTTTTGACCAGTTACTGGTGGTAGAATGCTTAAGCATTTGATTATTTTGCCTTTTTAATTATAGAAGAAATAAATTGAATCTCTAATATGCTTTTAGAAAAATGGAAAATTCCAGCTACTTCATTTGGTATACTAACAAAAGAGAATGTTGAAGAACATTAATGGGAAAATATTCTCTAGATACTAACTGGATGAAAGAGAGGCACATAACATTTTAATATTACTTAAATCTTTAAGTCTTCAAATAAAATGTTGACCAACTATGGCATCATAAAAGTAGTACATGGTTGTTTGTGTAGGTATGTACTAAATACATGACTCTTAAAAATATCAGATTAAGAATCTTCTTAATGAATACACTAGTCGTTCTAGTCAAAATGCAGAGCTTTACACAATATTGGAGTCTTAAACTTAGTGCAACTTATCAAAAAGTTTACTAAAGATGATAGTCTTTCTCAAAATCCCATGTTAAATCTAATTAAAGGAGCTTGAGTTACAAGTAAGCTAAATTCTCAAGACTTTGATATAATTTCTGATTTTGCAATTCAGATATAAAATTCAGTAAATTGGTCCATATGCTAAGCATTGAAATGATTTTTTTCACATTAATCTTCTGAATGAAGTATGAAGGGCAACATAATTTGTTTTAATATTCTTAAATGAAATAAATGGTTATAGCACTAACGTTTAATATATCTTTCTACATACTAGCTGTTATGACAGTATAATTTTCCTACAAACATAGCAGAGCATTACTGTTGTTGATGGCTCAGGACCCCAAGTGTATACATATACCCTAAGCAATTATAGGATTGGACTATTAAACATATACCTTCCAGGCAAGCAACTCAATATATGTGCAACAGACCTAAAGTGTATAAAACTATTTTCATAGAGTAATTATTGTGATTGAGCATTGCAATTTATATTCTTCCCTCTGCATTACCTGTAAACTGATTCAGATTTTTAATTCACTGTATTGAACAGCTGCACTAGCTCTTTAATATGCTGCTATGTATTTCTTCTTTAGAAGAATAACATAGGTTATTGCACAAATGTATTTTTGATTATGTTAACACTTGTTTTGTTAAGATTTGCATAGAAATATGCTAAAATTACATTAAAATTCTATATAAAAGTAAGAAATGTTACTTTTAAAAGTAGTGTCCTGAGAATAGTACAAAATTAATTATACAAGCCCTTCATTTTTGTTTTATTTACAGCATCTATTCCCAGACAAAATCTGTTTCACATGAAATTGTATTGATAGTTTTTCCACAAAAATATTTTAGCAAACTGTTTATAATTTGCATTTAAGTAATCTATCTCTAATCCAATTATTTTCCGAGACTTTTACATGAGTAAAATAAGAGAAGTTCAAAATTATTACACTACATGGCCTATTTTAGCACACAGAAAATTTTGAAAGCTTTTTACATTTTTATATTTTGGTCAAAAAAAATTAAGTGTACACAGTTATTACATTTAACAAAACCAAATTTCAAACTCTTGATTTTTTTAAAAAAATATAAATCTATACTATTTATCATACATTAGAATAGTTTTCTTTTGCAACCTTTTCTTATTTTGTTTACTTCAGAAATGAAAGCTAAATGCTATGATTTAAGTGCCAGTGGAAAAATAAGCACGTTTGGCTTAAATGAAAACAAAATTTACTGAGAAAATAACATTATATGTCGATTTCGTGTGTTTTACCAAATGATTTAAGCATATTTTATAACCCCCACCCAGATTATTCAATTATCCTATGCAACATATACTTAAATTCAGTTTCATGGATTTTAAATGTTATGTATTATTTTTAAATATAATTCTTAAAACAATCAGTGCTAGATATTCATACTATATTTGGCTATTTTAAATAAGGATTCAATTATATATATTTTCTTTATATCTCTTGGTTTAAGAAAAAGACTGCCATCCTGATAGCAGTCATTAAGCATGAAAAGTTCCAAGACAAATTTTTATCTTTTAATTCTTCACACTAAAGACCAAGTTGGAAAAGTGAACAAACTAGATCTCAGGAAAATATTATCCATGGTGGCTCATCTATTAGCATTTCTTCCTATAGCAAATCTCACTATAGCATGGGTATCTACTTATGTCAAGTATGTTTATTTTACACAACTACAACCCATATACAGTTAGAATAAGGAATTTGGCAACTGATTGTTTTGTCAAGCTAAAATAGATAATATTATGAGGCTTCTTTATGGAATGGTCTTTAGAAATTAAGTGATAAAGACCATGCTTAACATGGAATGAGGCATTATTTTCAATTAAGAACAAACAGTACTCAACAAAATACATAATAAATATTTACTGAATCATCAAAAACTATTCTTATGCAGAATAAGAAGGAATTTGCTAACCTTTAAGGCATTAGTGCATTAAGGACTATATCTCCAAGAAATAAATATAAACATCAGGAAATATTACTATAGTGCTATCTGTACAATTATGCTTGATAATATTCTATAATATTTTACAAGTGCTAACAGCACTTTAGAATACATATTTCACATCAGTTTTCAAGACTTCACCAAATGAATTAAATCGATCGGGCAAAATTCTCATCTTCACTGTCCCATCAGCTCCACAGGAGAATATGTGATTAGCTGGTCCTGTCTCAATCTGCATGACACCTGTCCCAAGATTTCTGAAAATAGATTGCCTAGAATGTTCATTGAGGAAAGTATGAAGAAGACTGAAACCAGACAGACTCCATACCTAAAACACAAACAGAAAGGGAAAAAATGGATTATGGTTTTGAGTTGATTTCCAGTCTGATAAATATGCTTCAATTAACACTCAGATGCTTTAATTATGGTTCTTTTTGAGTTCAGTTAAGAATGGAAATTAAACATGAATACTTAAATAAGTAGTATTTTTAAAAAGTTAAGGCTAAGAATAAAACAATTTAGAACACATTTTAAATAGGACATATATCTATCCTACCAGGTTAGACAGAGTGAGCACATTTCTCGTCCCTTCCTTTAAATATTGACATTTTATGGAAGCTAGGAAGCATGCCATTTTTGTGGGAACTCCTGTTCATGGACATATTCCTTCTGAAGTTCAGCAGGCTTCCCCCTCCCCAGTATTGGGATGAGGTGAATGCACATCAGATGCTTGATTTGGAGCCAGGTTGCTGTGTTTTTATAGTTTTAATAAGGATATTATGTTATTTTAACTTTTGACTGGAAGCTGCCCAAAGTTTATATAAGGTGGAAAGTGATATAAATATTTAAATAAAATAAATAGTTCTCAGAAATGTTATAATGAACATATAAGAAACTACTACTTATCCAAATTAACAAGATGGAATTTTGTAATGTATGACCTTGATATTTCCTTCTGCAGATCCTGTAACAAAATATTCTTCTGTAGGATCAACAGCAATTGCTTTAACTGGAGAATCATGACTTTGGAAAAACTGTCTCTGTTGCTTTTGACGAAGATCTATTAAGCAAGTGTAGCCTCTTCTTCCACCAGATATTAATAGTTGGTGTTTGGGGGCATATGCCAAAACAGTTGCTCCAGTATCATGACAGGTAAAAGCTGAAATTCAAACAAATTTAAAAGAAATTACAATGTAAGTAATATTCTATTACTACTGAATTTCAATCATTTTATTATATGATATTGTTAAAGAAGTAAAGCATCCATACTGAATTATTTGGATGAATCCATTTGATTTTGAATTAGACCAATGGGAAACATTTGTTAGAAGTAGGCAAAAAACTCTTTTTGACATTGACTATTTATGGATCTCACTTTCAAAAGCTTCTCATCCCATACATAACTATATGTGCTACAGCAGGAGTGTCAAACAACCGGCCTATGGGCCGGCTGCATCATGTGGAGACAGCACCCCCAGCTCTGGCAATGTGAAAAAAGTCATGATATGTCGTGACACGTCATGTGACGCAGCAAGTTTGACACCCGTGTGCTACAGTAACTGATGTAACTTCCAAATAATTTACTTAATAGTGAGCAAAAACTGACATTTTAATCTTGTATCTTTGTAAATGGCTAAAGGAAGACTCCACATGAAGAGCACTGATGAAAATCAGTGACAGTGATGCTTAAAACTTTGTGAATCCATTTGAATTTTTAATATTTCTGCATAATAATTATCTAAAATGTGATCCGGTCTTCCTGCAAGCTTAAAATTAGATAATAGAAACCCAATAAAATGAGTCAAAAGCATTATATTATTCATTTATTTATTGAGGGAAATGATTCAAAGCTACTTGTGTGTGGCAAACCTCTCTGACTATCAGTTCAGTTGAAGGGGAAATTAGAGCCAGGTGTTTCAGTCAAAGGGAGGATGCTCAAGAATGAGTGTGGGAGGTTCTGCTTTATCTTAAGAACAGAATTCTGAATTGTTGTCTAATCGTGGCACACATATATATGTGGAAATGAGTCATGGCTTCTTGAACAAGGATTTCTATAATGGTATGTGGGAATGACCTTGGGAATTGGGAGGAAGAGCTACAACTCTTGTCACAGGGGTGGCAAAACATCTCAGTAGAGACCTTCCCTAGTTTTGCGGAGTGTAAAAGTGATAGACAGGAAGGGCACTTTTAGACTTGCAAGATCCTGTTAATATTATTAATACCTTACAATATAACATTAATACTTTAATAATGAAATACCTTACAATTTAGGTAGAGCTAGTATTGTTTCTCAATTCACACAAGGCTAACAATTTTGAAAGCCTCTCAAAAACATTTGTTGATACCATGTTAGAAATAGTTAAAAAAAAACCTCACAAAGACGTAGGGCTCCCATACTCTATTCAGGCAGATCTGTTCAAATGGGGGCAATTCAGCACCATTGTTACCCTTCCCAAGAAAGATTGTTCAACCAAGATCATGCTAAGAGCAAGGTGTGTAATATTTTAGGGGATTAAAAAAACCTTCAGGGTAACGTTTAGGGAACTACAAACCCTCTTGCATTGTTGATTGCCAGTGCTCATGAGACCACCATCAAGAGAAGACTAAATAAAAAGTGTGCATGATAGGTTTGCAAAGAGAAAGCCAGTACTCTCTAAAAGAAAATTGCTACTCATCTACAGTTTATGAAAGAACATGGATAAGCCAGAAGTCTATTGAAAGAATGTTCTATGGACACGAGACCAAAAACATAACTTTGAATGAAAAATGTTGTATTTGACAACCACTGCATAACAGCAAAAGAACCTTACCTCATCTGAGTAACATGGTGGTAGCAATATTATGGTTTAGGGCCTACTTTGCTGCCTCTATACCATAATGGCTTGCTTATGTACTATGAATTTTGAATTGTACCAGCAAATTCTACAGACAAATGTCAGGATATCTGTCTGTTAATGAAGCTCAAAGAGAAAGTGGTTCATGCACTGAGATAAATTCTCAAGCATAGAATGGTTAAAGAAGATAGTTAATGTTTTGTAGTGGCCAAGTCAAAGTTCTGATCTTAATCCTATAGAAATGTTATGGAAGGACCTGAAGCAGCCAATTCATGTGTTCTGTAAGAAGGAATAGGCTAGAATTCCTCCAGACTGATGTGTAGAACTTATCAACAGTTTTCAGAAACATTTAGTTGCAATTATTTTTACCTAACAGAGGCACATATTCCTGCTGTGAAAGAAATGGGAGGTTTAAAAATGTGATTAAATAAAGAAAATACTAAAAGCAACGGTTCACATACTTTTAGCACACACAAATATGTAGCTTTTGACCATTTTCCTCAATAAGTAAATAAACAAGTTTGTTTAATTTGTTTAACTGAGTTCTCTTTATCTAGTTTTAGGAATTATATGGAGAATAGATCATGTTTTAGGTCCTATTTATGAAGAAATATGAAAGTTCAGAAGAGCACACAAACCTTTAAGCACAACTGTATATAATTGAAATAATTACCTTTCCTAAACAAGTTAATTTGTATTATATAATAATCATATATACAATAATTTCACACAACAGGAACAGTAGGCCAAATACATTCTTCATCTGTATTTGTACTCAAAATTAATCCAACTTTTTAAAAATTATAATTTGTTGAGGAATCAAAGAGCTGAATCATTGGGCGGCTAATATATTATGGTAGACCAAAACAAATTATGACTAACTGTTGTATGTGAACTAAGTCAATCTGTTCAACTTCTACCCCAGTTCATGCCAGATAAATCTTACTGCATTATTTGACAAAATGACAGAAATGCTGTGGATATAATTTACTTGAACTTCAGTAAGGCATTTGCTAAAGTAGGCCACAACCTAACTACTTGATAAGATAGAAAAATGTGGGTTGAACAGCATCAGCACCAGATGGATTCATAACTGACAGACCAACACTCAACATGTAGTCCTCAATGGAACCACATCTACATGGAGGGAAGTATGCAGTGGGTACCCCAAGGTTCTGTCCTAGGTCCAGTACTCTTCAATATCTTAATCAATTATTTATATGAGGGGATAAATGGGTAACTCATCTAATTTGCAGAGGACACCAAGCTGGCAGGAATAGCCAACACTCTAGAAAATAAGCTTAAAATCAGAAGGATCTTGACAAATTTGAACACTGGGTCCTATCTAACAAAGTGAAATTCAATGGTGAAAAAAGTAAGGTTCTAAATTTAGGCAAGAAAAAACAAATGTACAAGTATAGTATAGATCAGCGATTCTCAACCTGTGGGTCGCGACCCTTTTGGGGGTCGCTCGAGCTTTTCACAGGAGTCACCTAAGACCATCGGAAAATATATATTCCCGATGGTCTTAGGTAGGGCTTGTCAACCGCCTTCTCTCCCTCCCGTCCTCCGCTCCACCTCACTTGTTTGTGGAAAATATGCTGCTTGGCGGCAGTCTACGCGAACTCTACCAAATGTGCCCTGCAGGGGGCGCATGAAGAGTGCAGGCGCAGAGCAAGGCCCCGCCCTCCTCAGAGACTCATTGTGCAGCAACCGGATTGACTTCTTCTCGTGCATGCAGGTCAGCGAAGGGGAGGTCGCTGCAGTACCCAACTCCTGCGCCCGTCAGCTGGCGACCCCCGAACTTGCGCTTGTCAGCCGGGAGGTCTGTCAACAGCTGCCAGTCTCCTTTGCCACCCTGCCTGTCCTCGACTCCTCCTCCGCTCATTCATGTTGAGCCCGCCGGGGCTTGACAGGGAGAGAGGGAGGGAAGGAGGAAGGGACTCTTCCTCCTCTCCTAAGCTTCAAAGCACGATCGGCTTCCCAAGGGCGCCACAATCCTCACGAAAGCGGGGGGAGGGAGAAGCAAAAGGGGCGAGAAAGCTTATGGCGGGCTCGAAAGTGCACCTGTCAGCATTGGTGATGAGAAATTCCCCACAAACCCAGGGAAGGGGTGGAGAAAAGGAGCCCCATTTGGGAGGAAACCGCCACCTTCTTCTCCTTGGCTTTGCACTCTTCTGTTCCTCGGCAGCCAGGCTGCCAAGCCTCTGCTGGCTGGAACTTCCTTTCCTTCCCTCCCTCTTGGTCTCTTCCTCCTTCCCTCCCCCTCTCATTGTCCCTTCCTTCCTTCCTTCCTTCCTTCCTTCCTTCCTTCCTTCCTTCCTTCCTTCCTTCCCTTTGCCTCCCTCTTTGTCCCTCCTTCCCTCCCTCTTTCCCCTTGTCCCTCCCTTCCTTCCTTCCTTCCTTCCTTCCTTCCTTCCTTCCTTCCTTCCTTCCTTCCTTCCTTCCTTCCTTCCTTCCTTCCCTCTTGTCCAGATCGGGGCGAACCTCTACAGCTGTTCCGCGCTTTTACAGAGCAGCCAAGAAGCAGGTCAGCTGTAGCAGCTCTCCTTGGCTCCTGCCCAGCAAACTTGCTCGAGCTAGAAAATGTGCCGCTTGCTAATTTAGCAGAAGCGCGAATCAGCTGTAGCTTGGCGCTGATCCTGGGGCTTTTGCTAACTTAGCAAGCAGCTTGTTTTCTGGCGAAGCTGAGCAAGTGAGCTGGGCGGAGCTCTCCTCTGCCTCTGACAGCCTGTCCCCCTCCCCTTGTCCCTTCCTGGGGATGGAGGGGGGGAGGAAAGAAGGGACGAAGAGGGAGGGAAGGAAGGGACAATGAGAGAGGGAAGGAAGGGACAAAGAGGGAAGGAAGGAAGGAACTAAGAGGGAGGGGAAGGAAAGGAAGGAAAGAAGGAAGGGACAATGGGAAAGAGGAAGAAAAGGAGGAAGAGACTAAGGGAGGTGAAGGAAAGGAAGGAAAAGGAAGGAAGGGACAATGGGAGAGGGAGGGAAGGAGGAAGAAACTAAGGAGGTGAAGGAAAGGAAGGAAAGAAGGAAGGGACAATGGGAAAGAGGGAGGGAAGGCGGAAGAGACTAAGCGAGGTGAAGAAAAGGAAGAAAAGAAGGGACAATGGGAGAGGGAGGGAAGGAGGAAGAGACTAAGGGAGGTGAAGGAAAGGAAGGAAAGAAGGGACAATGGGAGAGAGGGAGGGAAGGAGGAAGAGACTAAGGGAGGTGAAAGAAAGGAAGGAAAGAAGGAAGGGACAATGGGAAAGAGGGAGGGAAGGAGGAAGAGACTAAGAAGAGTGAAGGAAGGAAAGAAGGAAGGGACAATGGGAAAGAGGGAGGGAAGGCGGAAGAGACTAAGCGAGGTGAAGAAAAGGAAGAAAAAAAGGGACAACGGGAGAGGGAGGGAAGGAGGAAGAGACTAAGATGGAGGTGTAGGAAAGGAAGAAAAGAAGGAAGGAAGGGACAAGGGGAGAGAAGGGAGGGAAGGAAGGCAGGCACCCACCCCATCCCAGAGACCCACAGATTCCCCCCCACAGGCACTCTGCAACCTGAGTGATCAGCTGGCCATGCCCCCGGCCATTGATCACGTGACCCTGGGACACTGTGAACGTCATAAGTATGAATCAGTTGTCAATCATCTGAATGTAAATCACATGACCCTGGGGATGCTGCAACAATCATAAGTGTGAAAAATGATCATAATTCGCTTTTTCAGTGCTGTTGTAACTTCAAACAGTCACTAATAGAATTGTTGTAAGTCGAAAACTACCTATATTTTCCTACTTTTTCCTTTTTTTGGGGGGGGGTCAAGTTTTTGATACCCCCCGGCCAGCTGGATGGGGGGTTGGGGGTCACCACAACATGAGGAACTGTATTAAAGGGTCGCGGTATTAGGAAGGTTGAGAACCACTGGTATAGATGGTACCTAGCTCAATAGTAGTAATTGTGAGAGGGATCTTGGAGTCCTAGTGACAATCACTTAAATATGAGCTAGCAGTGTGCTGCGGGTGCTAAAAAAGCCAATGCAGTTCTGGGTTGCATTAACAAAGGGATAGAATCAAGATCACATGAAGTGTTAATACCACTTTGTAATGTATTGGTAGGACTACACTTGGAATCCATCCAGTTTTGGTTGCCCCTATGTAAAAAAGATGTTGAGACTCTAGAAACAGTGCAGAAAAGAACAACACAGATGATTAGGGGACTGGAGGCTGAAACATATAAAGAACCATTGCAGGAACTAGGTCTGTCTAGTTTAATGAAAAGAAGAACTAGGAGTGACATGATAGCAGTGTTCCAATATCTAAGGGATCGCCACAAAGAAGAGGGAGTCAAACTATTCTTCAAAGCACCTGAAGACAAGACAAGAATAATACTACACATATTAACGGCAGCAAGAATTGTTTTTGCCCAACATTGGAAAAATGAAAATTTACCAGCTGAAGAAGTACTAATTAAGAAAATTCTAGAGTGCAGAAATGGATAGATTAACTTTAAAGAGAAAAGAGAAAAAAGACTCAATGTACTTTAGAATATGGGATAATTTTTATCAATGGCTAGAAAAACGAGTTAGAAAGGAATGTGATATGTAATTTTGAATATAAGCAAGAAGAAGGCTATTTAGTGATTAATTAACATATTGTTTATGATAATTAACTATTATCTATTATTGTTTGTTCAACACATGAACCCAGACATTATGCTGTTAGCTAAATATGGAGAATGTTATTTGGAAAAACCCCAACTCCAACCCCAAACCTAATTCTAACCCAAATCCTAATCCCAACCCTACCTTATTCCTAACCCTATAAAAACTAATAAAATCTATACAAAAAAAAAAAAAAAGACAGCACAAGAAGCAATGGATGTAAACTAATCAAGGAGAGAAACAACCTAGAACTAAGGAGAAATTTCCTGACAATTAGAACAATTAATCAGTGGAACACGTTGTGAATGCTTCAACACTGGAAGTTTTTAAGAAGAGATTGGACAACCATTGGTCTGAAGTGGTATAGGGCTTCCTACCTGAATGGGGAAGTTGGACTAGAAGAACTCCAAGGTCCCTTCCAACTCTGTTATTTTGTTACTTGCAGGAAAAGTCCCATAGCAAGATGTTTAGTTCTAACACTATTTTCATTAAGGTCTAGTTCACAAAACATATTATCAATATATTACGGTAAAATTCAGTATATTGTTTAAACCAAAAAACATCTGATGTGAGAAGTCGTAAATTATAGCTGTAGATTATTTATTCATCTATTTTTTATTTATTCAACCAATATATATAGCTTATATAAATGTTATAGTTTATTCTTGGCCGAGTTATATTGTCATGGCTTACCACGTGATCACAACTTGGACTATTTTGAGAGAGTTGTTCCAAATTTAAACACTTCTACAGTGACCGAAAAAGTGTTAGAACACATCATGTGAGGTTGAGACAACCTGCTTCAAATTCAAAACCACTGTTTTGAAATCCAAATGTTTCAAATTTTGAAACTTTTCAAAATTTTTCAAATGTTAAAACTTTTCAAAATTCAAATTTTGAAATACATCCCTTATTTAGCATTACTATATATGTGAAGAAAAATAGATAGAACTTTTATCAAGTACTATTATCTTGATTGCATGTACAAGTGCATAATGTTATATTAGCAAAATGACTAATTTTAACCAAAATCTTATTTTTCAATAGGTAGCTGAAGTATAATTTAAGATTTTAAACCTTAAAAAAATGTATACTTTTTTTTTATTGAAAATTTTTAAAATTTTTACAAATAGGGAAAAGAAAAGACAAAAAACAAAAAACAACCCTACCCAACCACCCCAACCCTCCCACTCCATCCCCCCAACCTTCCCAGAGCTGAATATAGGCTTAATTAAAATTTCTAAAAATCTTTAAAAAAGATTAAAAAAGTATAAACCATAAATATATCTAAATACATTACATAAACTTATAAGATAATTAACAATAATATATATGTAAAAAAGCATAAATATTAAAAAAGAAAAATGCTTAAAAAGAAAGAATAAAAAAGAAAAGAAAGAAGAAAAGATGTATATATATATATATATAAAAAAAGAAGTAAAATAAGATAAAATAAAAATAAGAAATATAAGGAAAGAGAAGAAGAAAAAAAATACAATCTATAAAATATTAAGATTTATATATAAGTTATTAAAAAACCAAGTAATATTTTTTTATATCCAACTTATGTTGTATAAAATCTATCCATTTTTCCCATACCGCAAAAAACTTCTCTTGCGATTGATCCTTTAAAAAAGCCAAAATCTTTGCCATTTCCGCCAAATAAGAAACTTTAAAAAACCATTCTTGCAAGGTAGGCAAAGATTCCTTCTTCCAGTATTGCCCTACTAACAACCTTGCGGCTGTGATTAAATTTAACATCAGTATAACCTCCTTAGCATCACAATCAGTAACGATACCCAAGAAAAACAATTGTGGGGTAAATTTTACCCTCCTTCTAAAAATTCTTTGAATATTCCACCATATCTTAATCCAAAAAGCTTTTATATTTTTACACGACCATCAAATATGATAATAAGTAGCATCCAAACAACCACATCTTCAACATTTAGGCTGTAAGTCAGGATACATACGAGACATTTTTTGTGGATCAAGGTGCCATCTATAAAACATTTTGTAAAAATTCTCCCTTAAGTTCTGGGCTTGTGTAAATTTAACATTCCTCACCCAGATGGTTTCCCAGGTATCTAGTAGAACTGGTTCACCAAAATTTTGTGCCCATTTAATCATACATTCTTTAATTAGTTCTGGTTCTGAATCCAGTTCTACTAGCACCCCATAAATTCTCTTAATATGAGTTCGCCTTTGGTCTTTTACTTGTTTAAAAAGATTTTCATCTTCTCTAAGCAAACCCATATTACGATCTATGTATACTTTTATGTGTGACAGCAGGGGACTTAGAGCCAACATGGACAGGGACGATGACAGCAAGAAGGAACAGCTAGCTAAAACGGCAGCATCACATATGCAAACACCAGAAAAGCAGCGAGATGACTGCGCACGGCAGAATACACACTCCACACGGGCGGGGCGTGAGGAGAGGAGCAGGGTGTCTAAATTTAAACAGCTGTCAACGAGTATGATAGAAACAACCCAGCAATTAATTACAGGGGGGAGGTAGCTGAATAGACCGGCAACACAGTTAGCCAAACACTTGGCGTTACAGAGACTATAAGAACGTGATTCTCAATCCTGGCTAGAACTTGACGATGTCACTAAATTTTTAAATAAATTTTTAGTCTCAGTGATCTGTGTATTAGTTTTTGAATATGAATATACCTGAGACTCGTATCTTCAAAACTATTTTAGACTTTTATGTTAGTGTATAGATAGATAGATAGATAGATGCTAGTTAAGCTTACCATGAACCAAGCTACTAGAAGGGGCAACCAAAGTATCCCACAGACAAATATTTCTAAAAAAAACCAAACACATCCACTTTAATATATATGATAAAGAACAAACTGAATTAGTAATTAAAATTTTAAAAGCATCAAATAATTTCTTTGAAAGATAGATAGATAGATAATGATTTAAATACAGGTAATCCTCGACTTACGATCACAATTGAGCCCAAAATTTATACTGTTAGGTGAGATATCTGTCAAGTGAGTTTTGCCCCATTTTATGACCCTTCTTGCCACAGTTGTTAAGTGAATCACTGCAGGTGTTAAGTTAGTAATATGGTTGTTAAATGAATCTGGCGTTCCCATTGATTTTGCTCATTAGAAGGTTGCAAAAGGTGATCACCTGACTCTAGGACACAGCAATGATCATAAATAAGAAACCAGTTGCCAAACACTGAATTTTGATCACATGATCAGCGAGATGCAGCAAAAGTTATAAGTGTGAAAAACGGTCATAAGTTATTTTTTTTAGTGATGTTTTAACTTTGGTCACTAAACGAACTGTTATAAGTCGAGGACTACCTGTATTATAATGCAGATATAGGCAGGTATGATTATACTTCAAATCAAAGCTATTGAATATAGACACAATGTTTATTATTACACTTGAATGCATAGTCAGTCAAAGGTTTAGACCAGAGTTGGCATTTTTATTCACCAATCAAGTCTTTCCCAAGGACCTGGGATAGGCAGATATTATTATTGTTATTATTACACATAAAAATGTGAAGTAATAGCTGTTGGTTCTTTAGCTTGTCTTGGCCTTCATATGTATCAAGTTCTTCCCAAGAATTTAGAATGTTGTAATGATCAACGTAATACAGCTTATGTGCAGATTCTAGCAATGTGGCCTTTTATAACTGACATATAGAAATTTTGTCAATGTTCAGATTTTCTAAGTGCCATCCAAGATTTTTTAGTAAAGCGCTTAGTATGCCAATAATCTCTGGGATCAAAATGGCTGTTTTATTATTATTTATTAGAATTTTATCATGCTTTTGTTGCTTTATTAGTAACTCAAAGCTGTGAACTTAAATAATAAAATTGCCTGCTTCCATTTTTCCTAAAACAACCCAGTGAGGTAGATTGGGTTGAGAGAGTGACTAGCCCAAAGTCATCCAAACAGTTTTCAGGCCTAAGGTGGAACGACAACTCATAGTCTCCTGATTTCCAGGCTTGTACCTTAATCACTTATTATTAAACTTCTATGCCATCCGACTCTGGGTGGTTCACAACAAAGAAATTACAGTTAAATAAATAAAACATAAAAAGTAAGAATAAAATATGGCAAGCACGATGAAGTAAAGGCCTCATTTTCCCTCACCACAAGCCAGGGTGAAGAGTTACATAACTCCTCTAAACAATACAAGAGAGGAGGGCATCCAAATTTCAGGGGGTAACCTTCTTCCAAAGGTCAGACGCTATTGAGAAGGTATGCTTCTGAGATCCTAAGAGATGATATTATTTATTTGAAGGAATCTGTAGTATGCCAACTCTGCAGGATCAAATTGACCAGACATATATTAAGGGAGAAAGGCCATTCCTAAAGTAAACAGTCTTATGCCCTGAAGTGCTTTATGGGGAACAAGGACAAAAATAGACTGCATCTAATATAAATTTTGTACTTAATACATACAATTTTTACTTCCGTGTCAAGATACACTTGCTCCTTGCTCAATTTATTATAAAAAGCTGTTCTCCACAGAATAATATGGTTTAAAAAGGAATGAACACCGGGAATCATTTTTTTTTTGTATAAAATCACTACAGTACTAGTAATCAATTTATTTATACGTTTATTGTTATGATCTTAAATAATTTTTAATACCTGTTGTCAGTAGATAACCCAGCAGTAGCTATCAAAGATGAAGAACTGATGAACACAAAATCACTAGCTGTTTTGTTATGGCATTGCCATGTCTAAAAATAACAAAAAATATAGTAAAGCAACAAAAATATGGTTAATTTAACGTTAGAGCTTATTTACCTAGAAAATGATATATTAATTTAAGGTTGAAGCTTGCTACAGTATACTTAGCAGAATTTTTCCCCAATTATTTTTTTTCACAGAATAGCAGAACCTCCAATTCGGTTAGTAACTGAATCTTAATCTCTAGTTTATGGATTATAACAACTCCCTGGACTGCATAAAATACTATAATCTTAAAGCACAGTTAGTTTACAGATTTCAAATGATTTTTTCAAGAGGATTAAATCTATGAAGAAAAATGTTTGAAGTGTGAAAGTCCTATTTTTGCTTGGAAATTCTTTTCTTCCTTCCCCAAATAAAAAATATAATGAAAATTTGGTATACATGCAATTTTCGACCAAGTGTATTTGTCCTATATACAGCAATGTAACAAATTAAAGTAAGGACTTAGTTGTGTGGTTATATAAAAAGGTAAATTAAAAGAACTAGAAAATATTCTGACTTACCAGGTATGGTTTGGGTGTGCTTCCATTATATAGGCAACCTTTACAGTTTGTTTGATACAAACTTATATGTCCATCACCATCAACGATCCCAAACTAAAGAAAGTAGATACATGTTTTTATATTATATTAATACTTAATTATTTGATTCCTTCATAGTTAAGCTCTTCCAGATGTGTGTGGATATGTATGTATATTAAATCATTAGCAATTCCTAGCATATCTGGAAGAACTGAATGTAACTGGAATTTGCATGAACAAGAGCCTCCTCATTCATTCATTATAAGTATATTTTTGTGTAACATTATATTTTTGCAGAATAACACAACAGGATCCAACTAGTTTAAAATACAAAATTTTATGTATATACAAGACATTGGAATCTATTAAAGCAGTGGTTCTCAACCTGTGGGTCGGGACCCCATTTGGGGTCGAACGACCATTTCACGGGGGTTGCCAAACAAGGCTATCCGCCATTTTTTTCCCCTTTTCTTTGGCCACGCCCCTGGCACACGGTGATGTATAAGTGGTTGGGGGTCACCACAACATGGGGAACTGTATTATGGAGTCACGGCATTAGAAAGGTTGAGAACCACTGTATTAAAGTATTGGAAAAAATACTTTTATAATTTCACAACCAGAAACATTCATTCTGTACCTTTGCTCATGAAATTGCATTTGTTAATGGACAGAGAAAAGAACCTCAAAAATGAAACAGGAGACATTTTTCTATGAGAGATATTTTCTCTATCTTATAATTTTGAATAATGTAAAAAACCAAACCCCTTTTTCACCTTTTTTAATCCCTTACAAAAGAAAATAGGTAATTAATAAAGGTGTAAACATTGATATTGTAGTGTGGTGTGTGCAATTTAAAAGATTAAAAATACTATCATATTGTGCAAAAGATAGCTTGCAATATAGAGCAATTAGGGAACTTATGCAAATGATGCCATAGTTTTATAAACAGACAATCCTTGTCACTTGAAAACAAAAGAAAACAAGGTATGTCTCTTATTCTATAATCCCTCTAGCTATAACAATCACCGTATAATCAAATCCTATTAATAATTAAAATAACTTTAATCTTTAAATTTAATTGCATATGGTATCGTATGCCTATGTTAAGAGCCACTTTGGTTTAGTTGTTAAGGCACCAGGTATATGAAAGCCCTAGACATGATAAGTTAAAAGTCTAAATCAAATAACGATCATTGAAAATTCTTACAATCACATGAGCAGTGACAGAAATTTCAGTTCAATCTTCTTTGCTAGGCACACAAGCTATTTGAATTTAGAGGATCTTATATATTGAGTAAAAACAGAGATATTAGCCATTGGATTAAGGCAATAGCTAATGTCTAATTTACTATGTTTTCCAAAACAAAAAGAAATGTGAATATTCATTTGTGATGTTTATAATAGTTGGATTATTTTTAATAATAAAAAAAACAATATAAATTTTGGAAAGGAACAACAAATAAGCAATTTGTAAATTTATAAACTTATTTAGAAATCTGCAAATATTTTTGTGAGCCTTAATTAAAGGAATATAGAGCTATAAGTGTCATTTAAATATATTTCTTTTGGTCTTATAAGAGATAAAAGGAGGGTACCTTATTCCCTTGATAATTAAACCTCATCCGTGTAATCCTGGAGTTACCACCAGATCGAAAACAGGCAAGTTGTTGAGAATGGCCCCATTCAAACATTCTCACACTGCCATCCTGGGCTCCTGTCAAATCTGCAATAGAAAAATAGATAACTTTGAAACTTAAAAAAAGGAAAAAGTACTTACAACAAACTAAAAAAAGAACTGAAGAATTATTTTCAACACAGATTAGCAATTATAATCATTTAGAAGTATACTCCTAAATTATTAAAATAAAAATTCTTCAATTATTGTTCTTTTGCTTGTATTTTACAAATAATAATTACTGGCTCTTTACTATTAAGGGCATACTTTGATCTGTATTACATTAAAGATTTTAGCATATATAAGGAAAATTCTTAACTCATTCAAGCCCAGCCAAATCAGTCCATTAGGTGGTTCCGCCCCAGGCGCCTAATGGACCCAGATCGATTCCAGGAGGAGCTTGGGGAAATACCTGACTCCCTTGTCTACAACTCGTCCGGGTCCCTGGTTGCGACCTGGAATGAGGCGGCGTCCGGGGCCCTGGATCGAATTGCACCTTTGCGACCTCTCTGTGGTGGTGGTCCCCGGAGGGCCCCTTGGTTTACTGAGGAGCTCCGGGAGATGAAGCGCCACAAGAGACGTCTAGAGCGATGTTGGAGGGCCAGTAACTCTGAATCTGACCGATCACTATTAAGAGCCTATCTTAGGACTTATTTAGTGGCGATAACGGCGGCAAAGCGTGTTCACTTTTCCGCACTTATTGCGTCCGCAGAATCTCGCCAGGCCGCCTTGTTTAGGGTGACCCGCTCCCTTCTTAAAGTGGAGGAGGCGGAGGAACCCTTGCAGGGGAGAGCTGAGGAGTTTGTTCAGTTTCTGTTCGGACAAAATCGCTCAGATTCAGAGAGACCTGGACTCCGACTGGGCAGTGCCAGCCGAGTTGCCAGGGGCTGGTCTTAGTCATGTTATCTGGAGCGAGTTTGAGCCTGTGACCCCTGATGAAGTGGACAAGGCCGTGAGGGCAATGAATGCCGCCACCTGTTTATTGGACCCGTGCCCCTCCTGGCTGGTTTCTGCCAGTAGGGAGGTGACACGAGGCTGGCTCCAGGCGATAACGCCTCCTTGATGGAGGGGTCTTTCCCGCAACCTTTAAAGGAAGCGGTGGTGAGGCCCCTCCTCAAGAAGCCTTCCCTGGACCCAGCTGTTTTGAAGAACTTTCGTCCCGTCTCCAACCTCCCCTTTGTGGGGAAGGTTGTAGAGAAGGTGGTGGCGTCTCAACTCTTGCGATCCTTGGATGAAACCAATTATCTGGACCCTTTTCAATCTGGTTTCAGGCCCGGCTACAGCACTGAGACTGCTTTGGTCGCACTGACCGATGACCTCTGGCGAGCCCGGGATAGGGGTTATTCCTCTATCCTGGTGCTTCTTGACCTCTCAGCGGCTTTCGATACCATCGACCATGGTATCCTTCTGCGTCGTCTCGGAGAGGTGGGGGTGGGCGGCACCGTATTGCGGTGGTTCTCCTCCTACCTCTCTGACAGGTCGCAGTCGGTGTTGGCAGGCGGACAGAGATCGACCCCTAGGCGCCTCGATTATGGGGTGCCTCAGGGCTCGGTCCTGTCCCCCCTCCTTTTTAACATCTACATGAAACCGCTGGGTGAGATCATTCGGCGACACGGGGTGAGGTATCATCAGTATGCGGATGATACCCAATTGTATATCTCCGCCCCGTGTCCTTTCAGTGAAGCAGTAGACGTGATGTGCCGGTGCCTGGAAGATGTGAGGGTCTGGATGGGAGTGAACAGGCTTAGACTCAACCCTGACAAGACTGAGTGGCTCTGGGTCTTGCCTCCCAAAGGCCAACTGGATGGTCCATCTTTAGTCCTGGGGGGGGGGCAAATTTACCTCCCTCAGTGCAGGCACGCAACTTAGGTGTCCTCCTGGACTCACAGCTAAATTTGGAACAACATCTATCGGCTGTGGCCAGGGGGACTTTTGCACAGGTTCGCCTAGTGCACCAGTTGCGGCCTTATTTGGACTGGGAGGCTTTACTCACAGTCACTCATGCCCTTGTCACCTCAAGACTGGATTACTGTAACGTGCTCTACATGGGGCTACCCTTGAAGGGCGTTCGGAGACTGCAGTTGGTTCAGAACGCAGCCGTGAGAGCGATTGTGGCCGCGCCAAGGTACGCCCACGTGTCACCTATCCTCCGCGAGCTGCACTGGCTTCCTGTGGGTCTCCGGACGCAATTCAAAGTGTTGGTTATCACCTTCAAAGCCCTTCATGGCATAGGGCCAGGTTACTTACAGGACCGCATTCTGCCGCACAGCTCCCAGAGACGGGTGAGGTCCCATAGATTGGGCCTCCTTCAGGTCCCGTCGGCCAGACAATGTCGGCTGGTGGGCCCTCGGGGAAGGGCCTTTTCTGTGGTGGCTCTGACCTGGTGGAATCAACTTCCCCCCGAGGTTCGAACTACTCCCACCCTGCCAGCCTTTAAGAAAGCTGTTAAAACTCTCCTGTTCCGGCAGGCCTGGGGCTGATGTCCCCGGGGGCCCGGGATATGATCGGACTCTCGGTATGACTGGATTATTTTATTCTTTTATGACTGTTTTTAACCTTGTACGCCACCCTGAGTCCTTTGGGATTGGGCGGCATATAAATATTTGTAAATAAATAAATATTATTGCAAACAAGATAATTGCAAATAACTAACTATGGTTATTTATAATTTGACTTTCTGAATAAGGTTCTTTTGCCACAATTTTTTTCTACTATTTTTTATCTTATAAATTACAACAAAGTTATAAATTAGAAATAAAAAACTTACAATAGGGTAGTGTTGGATGAGAAGCCATTCTTCGGACATTATTGAGATTCTTCTTGATCATCTATTAAATGTCCAAGATTAAAAGATCCATTTAGAATTATTCAGAAATATATTCATTTAAAATTATTAGTAGATAAAACGCAGACACTACTATGTTTGCTTCCCTTCGTGATTTGGGGTTTGAGAAATGGATGGCAATCAATGACGAAACGCTTCCTACAGTGTTTATCAACAGAATCTAAATCCAGGTTCTTGGAAGCTTTTGGTCCATAAATCTAAGGTTTGCTAAACACATACACTAGATTTCAATCTTACCTCTTTTCTTGCCAATTCCTTTCTGATTCCATTAAATTTATTGGAATATTCCTGTATATTGTAAGGTAAGTAAGACAAAGGCAGAAGCAGAGGCATGTAAGAGAGAGTCAAACAAACTTTTACAAAAATAAGCAGGAGTGAAGAAACTATGCTTTGTATTTAATCATCCACAGAAGATTTAGGTGTGAAATACATTGGTTGGAAAAAGATTTATGTAATGAATGCTAGGTGACAAAGCAAAATTGTAGCAAACGCTAAGATGTAGTATAGCCATAATTTATTTTATAATCTGATTTTTTTAATCAGTCTGTACTACAAGATTATTTTTATCTAAAATGATGTATGAAAGATGTATGTAAATAGAAATAAATAGCAACCCATTTGTGTAAGGTAAAGTGATAAAAGTGACAGAAATTTTTAAATGTATTTCAGCAATTTAATTATGTCTGGCTTTTTTTCTTTAAGGTTACAGGCCTATAACAGACTAAGATAACACTGAAGCTAAGTTTTAGTGATTGAGCTGACATGCCTCAGATTTTGTGCTGAATAATGAAAACAAGCAAAGTTTTTCAGGAATACTTATGTGAGAAAGTGATAGAAGTATTAGTCCTGAATGAGAAAGTCACATGAGTTCTAGGGAGAGAAGGAACACAATATAATTAATAACAAAACAGAGCTCGGGAGGGGGAGAAGTTTAAAGTTTGTTGCTAGAATCATTTGATTGAGGAGATAATGGAAATCTAAATGAAAAGCGGAAAGTCAAATAAGAAGACATTGGCTGTTCTCTGGTACGTTTTTGTCAGATCTCTTCCATCTGTTTCCAAAATGAGTATAACATCTATTTATTATGCCAAGTTACAGTAAGAATTATAGTATAATGTTGTGATGTACTTTGAACACTCTATACAGCAGTATGTAAATGCTGATTATACTGTCTTATTAAAAGGAAAAAAAACTATATTAGGGAAAATCTGTTAAGCAATGAAATATATGATAGTAGTTTATAGTATAAACTGGGATGATTAAGTTGTGAAAAGCAGAGCAAGCTAAAATATAATGATTAGCAGACTTAGTAGAAGGGTGCCAATAAAAATTGTGACAATGAATACATATTACAACTTAATTGTTTCTATCAAAAATCATGCATTATATTGTAACTTAGGTTGAGGAAAATGTTGCCATTGTTGCATGACAAAAATGTAAATAATAAAAATATAAGAAAACTTTATGTTCTAATTTAAAAAACATTCTATATTGCATTTCATAAATCAATACATTATTTAAAAATGCCTGAGAAGTCTCAGAAACAATATCTCATTATAAACTACCAGCACAAAATCAACCTAAGAAACTTCAAAAATTCCAGATGATAACTGTAATTAAAGCATGAGGCATTCACAAATGTAACCTAAAGAAATAAATAAGTCTTGCCCAAACCAAAAGACAGTGACAGTGACATTGAAAAAAAGCATAAGGGTGCTTCAAAAGAAAGCAAAGAAAGAGTAAATTCCAGATGAGTTTCTTATAAATCAAGTATCAAGGAAAGCATGAGAATTTATTTGGTTTTGTTTCCTTTCTTCACTTAGTCTATGTGTTGCCTGATAAGAAAATACTAAAACATTTAGATGGGAAAACCCTCCTCTAGGTTTCACTTTCCTATCTAGGCTACAGTGCATAGAAAACACAAAGAAGTTCTAAAAAGAAGTTTAAACATCTAACCTCACATTCAAAATTGCTCAAATAAACATGTTAAGATTGATTTAAATTAATATTAATATTCAAAGTATTTGTTAAATCTTAACAGATTATTTAGAAGTATGTATTCTAAATAAAATAAAAGCCACTGAAATATAAATGCTGAAGATCATTATTTCTCAATAACGTGACTCACCATAGCAGCACCTCTGCCAGTCTGAGTGCTGCCAAGCCATGGCATATTGATTGGTGTTCCAAGAGTGCTGTGTGTATAAGGAGTAGTTCCTTGAATGTTTCCCAAGTCATCACGAGTATGTATAACTAAGAAGTCATCAGCTCTATAAAATAAAATGTTCAAATGAATATTGGCCATGAATTACTAGAGTAGAATAGAAGAATAGAATAACTTTATTGCCACTTTAAATGTACACTAATCAGCATACATTAAAATGAATTTTTGTTGCATTTAGCCCCCAAAAGGTAACTACCTCCATTATACACTACATAAACATGACAAAAGATTATGGATATACCCACAAACACACATATATACAACACAGAGCAACAACACAGTCCATTTAGGATGTATACATATACACGGCGAGAAAAAAGAATCCTGCGAATTTGCAAGACAGGTGGTATAAGGAACAAAGCTGTTGCAGAATCTAATAGTCCTGCTAGAAATACTTCGAAACCTCCTTCCAGAGGTGACCAACAGAAACAGACTGTGAATTGGGTGTGTGTGGGGTCTCTAACAATGCTTCGAGTTGTAAGTACATCGTGCTTGTAAGCAGCATCCCAAATAACGGGAGCGAGCTTCCTATAATCTTAGCTGGCCACTCTCTGTATGGACCTTCTAACTGAGGCTCTGAGGCTTTGTTACCACCAAACCAAACAGTGATGCAGTTTGTTAAAATACTCTCGATCATGCCTCTGTAAAAAGTGGCCAGGACAGAAGGAGAAAGATGTGCTCTCCTCATCTGACACAGGAAATGCAGAGTACCTACAAATGTCATATTCTAATTCAAAGCTGCTTAGGTACATATATCCATGAATTCTCATTTGATATTCCATGAGTTATTGGCAATAATTTATCTGATTTGTGATGCATTTGCACTTCAGAATTTCTTATGAGCTGTAATATCTACATAGCCAATCAGAGGAAGCTTCAAAGAAAACCGGTTAGTGGTTGAAGAGAAGAGAAATGCTGTCTGTCAGTCAAAAGAAGTGGTTTTTTTGTTTTTTTTAACTTTGAAAAACATCCTTTATTTTATTTTTGGTGTGATTTTGGTACCATTATCATGCTCTATTAGACAAATGAAGGATTTATTTATTTTTTTTTATTTTTTTATCAATTTTTATTATTTTATTTTCATTACAATCATAAGAAAAAAAAATTCAGATACATAAGAAATTAAAATCACACAAATTCCGACATTGCTCACCCATTTCCCCCCAGAACGCATCCCCCTCTCATCTCTTCACTTTCCCCTTCCTTGTACCTCCTCCTCCTCTCCTCCCCTCCCTCTCTCCTCCATCTTTCTACTTACTTATCCCTCTCCTCTTCTTCTCAATCGGATGCGGTCTGAGGGAAAATGCCCGAGCAATCCTCTATCACCAAAATCTGAACTATTGAACATACTACCCATACTCTCCCCTCCCCCCTCCCCCTTTCCCCCCCCGACTTCCCAGAGCTCAGTACAGGGTTACAAAAAAAAGAAGAAAAAAAAAAGAAAACTAAACATAGTCAACTTAAATTTACTACTTATACAATAACCGAAATCCTAATAACCCTTAACTCTCTGCAAACTTGAATTCATAATTTAATAAAAATCCATTATTCATAAAATAAATGAAACTTTGTTGTTCCATACTTCTTCTGAATATATTCTATCCATCTTCTCCATACAGAAACATATCTCTTTTGTGAATGGTCCTTTAAGTAAGCAGAAATTTTAGCCATTTCTGCTAAGTTAGAAACCTTGAACACCCATTCTTCCAAAGAAGGCAGAGAATCTTTTTTCCAATACTGACCCACCAATAGTCTTGCTGCTGTTATTAAATTCAGCATTAAAATAGTTTCTTTAACATCAAAATCCACAAAAATACCCAAAAGAAATAATTGGGGAGTAAATTTAATTTTCCTTTTAAAAACCTTTTGAATGTTCCACCAAATCATAATCCAAAAAGCTTTAATATTTTTGTAAGTCCACCAAACATAAAAATAAGTTGCATCCAAGGAACCACATCTCCAACATTTGGGTTGCAAATTCGGATACATACAAGATAACTTTTTAGGATCCAAATGCCATCTATAAAACATTTTATAAAAGTTTTCCCTCAAATTTTGTGCTTGAGTAAATTTAACATTTCTAACCCAGATTATCTCCCAAGAATCCATTAAGATTGGTTCCTGTATATTCTGGGCCCATTTGATCATACAATCTTTTACTAAGAAGGGTATTAATAAATTTATATGGGGTGGCAAGAAACCAAGGGTTAAGTTTAAGATTTTACAAGATGCTAGAGAAAGGGGTGGACTTAAAGCACCTAATCTGAAATTATATTATGATGCGGCCATTTTAACTTTAGTAAGTGATTGGCTCAATTTAACAAACAAAAATATTTTGGTTCTTGAAGGCTGGGACTTATTATTTGGTTGGCACGCATATTTAGTTTTTGATAAGAAAGTAGATTGGGTGTTTAAGTCACATATTTTAAGAAATGCCATACTCCGTGTCTGGAGGAAGTATCATTATAAACTGAACTATAAAATACCCATTTCGGGGATTCCTGGACAGGCAATTCAAGGGGTTTCTAAAGGGGTGAATTTTGACAATATTTCCTACAAAGAGTTGCTCATTTGGTCAGGTACAGATTGGCAATTAAAATCTTTTGATTTGCTAAGGAAAGAAAATATTTTACAATCAAGGTTTCAATATTTACAAATAATGGAGAGATGGAGGGTAGATAAGAAGGTGGGAATTACTTTAACAGATGAAAATTTGGTAATTCAGATTAAAGATCAGAAATTTGCTCATATTAAAAGAATTTATAATGAGTTGATAAAATTGGATTCAGAAACAAAAGAAGTGTTTTTAATAACACAGTAAGTCAGATCTAGTTATCAGGAAGTTAAGGTTAGTAAGACAAACAGAATGATGTATGAGCTGAAGTTTACTAAAGAAATGGACATGAGATTCAAAAGTTTTACAAAAAAACAGAAGATACTGTAGATCATTATTTATGTCAGTATTTCAATAGGATATCATTGATATGGCAAAAAATACAATAAAAAGAAATACCCTTTAGCTTCCACTTCAATGTCATCATCAACCCAAGTGTAGATCTGAGTTGCTAAAATTCCAGAAACATCTAGTTCTTGAATTTCATGGCTTGAGGCTATTGCAATACAATTCCTGTTGGCCTAAAATGCACAAATACATATTTTTTCACAATGTCTGTATATGGCCCCAATCTGCATATCCAGACTCAAGGCAAGAATAAAATCAAGAATCAATTAACGTAAAAGGACAAAAGATCTATACAATCTGAAGAGAAACCAGAGAATCAACTAAGGTATACTGAAAGCAGAATTATACAAAGCTACAATAGGTACATAGTCAACTTGGACTAAAGGCACATTTGAATAACACTTTAAACAGCCTTGGGAACTGCTATGAAGGATGGGACCAAATACATTTGAGAAACACATTCTCATTTCTACTGTTGGAAAGGCCTGCCACCTAGCATTAAAGAATTAATGGGATCAGCAAGAATGGCAGATTAAATTTCAGCAAGACAATTCCTGATATAGCTTATTCCTGTATTATGTTGGGCTTTTAAGTAATGGTCAGCAATTTGAAGAGGCACACAATACTATTATCAATCTATGCAATATTTTTAAATTGATGTTATTCTGCAATTGTGAGATTGTCCTATCAACAGTTTTTATAATATAATATATTATAAATATAATATTTAATATACATAATATGAAATTAAAATAAGGCTGAATAGCTGAGGTTTCTGAACTGTCTCCAAGGCATCAGCCTTACGTAAAATACACTACTGGATGGTGATCTGGGTATGTGTTACTGTTGCCAGGACATCTAAATAAGGTTGTAACTGGCATACCAGCTATTACAAGGGCTTCCATAAGCTGCTCAATTATGGGTATAAATTCCACAAGACCCCAAATCATGAGCCACTTTCTTCAGGGGTAACATGACTTACATCTAGAGTTAACTAGCAGGACTGATGTTATCAGTTCTGCCCAAAGTTTACTGACAAACAGAAACTCTTATCATATAGAATTTAATTTAATGAAATGGTTCCTAAGAATAGTTCCTAAAATTTCCATGGCATCTCCAGCTCACTGACGATACCTAGTTATAATATAAATTATCAGTTTTATAATTTTTTAAACATAAATTACTTCCCACTTAAAATTCCCCATATAGTTCAACTACACTAATTTTTGTCCTGCTGCTAATTTCGTAAATATATTCTTGCCCTGTGTTAAATATTTATACAGTATTCAGTTTCTGTGTTTATAATATTTTATATATTTTTAACATTCCATTTGTATATCACTCAGGGTCCCTCTGTGAGGGAGGTGGGTGGTTTCTAAATGTAAACAATGTAAACAATAAAAATAAAAACTATATTCAAGGAAGATGTCAGTGCCCTTTTGTGTTGTAGAACCAAAAATCTTTACTACGAAGTAATAATTTAATGTAGATCCTCTAGTTGCAAGTTCAGTAGCATTTCCTTCATATGGATGTAAGTTACAACATTTCAAAATATTCAAGGAGTATTCCCCCAACTCCATTTGTGTATACCTTATTGACAGCAAAGGCAGTAATAATGTCAGACTCTTTATGGATAATTCTTGCTTTACTTGCAGGAGATCCTGCATCATTCTCTATCTGTGTTAAAAAGAAAATTGAAAGGGTAGCATGCACAATACAACACAACAATAAGCTTTGATCTTTTAGATCATGCCAAAAACTAAATGATAAATATTAATCAGTAATATATCTATCCTAATTAAACATAATTATAAATTCAAGATAGACTAATAAAAACATTTTGGTGGGGATCCTACCTCTATGTAATCATTCATTCAGATTAAATTCAGTTCGTTGACCTAAAAAACTAGAAAATGGTAGTGAAAATTCCTAAAATATAAGCTGAGGCTAAGAAATATCTCATTTATTACTTAGCACTAATCATGTAAGTGCTTGAAATTTGTTAAGTACAATATTTATTTAATTTCTCTAGTCACCCATCTCAACAAGTGACTCTGGTGGCGTGTATCATAAAAATACAAAACAGTAAAAAGCCATGTTGGAATACTGCAGTTTTGGTCACCACGATGTAAAAAAGATGCTGAGATTCTAGAAAGAGTACAGAGTAGAGCAACAAAGATGATTAGGGGACTGGAGGCTAAAACATAAAGGAACGGTTGCTGGAATTGGGTATGTCTAGTTTAACGAAGAGAAGGACAAGCAGTCTTCCAATATCTCAGGGGCTGCCACAAAGAAGAGGGAGTCAAGCTATTCTCCAAGGCGCCTGAAGGCAGGACGAGAAACAACGGATGAAAACTGATCAAGGAGAGAAACAACTTAGAACTAAGGAGAAACTTCCTGACAGTTAGAACAATTAACTAATGGAACAACCTGCCTCCAGAAGCGGTGAAGCTCCAACACTGGAAGTTTTTAAGAAGAGACTGGACAGCCATTTGTCTGAAATGGTGTAAGGTTCCTGCCTGAGCAGGAGGTTGGACTCGATGACCTCCAAGGTCCCTTCCAACTTTATTATTATTATTATTATTATTATTATTATTATTATTATTAAATGTACATGGTCTCTGAGTAAAAATATTGCCATACATATTGATAAACTAAGATATGGGATTCTAAACACATTCGGGGATCAGGGCCAGACATATAACTAGGTCTTCATGGCCTTAATGAATATTGTACAATTCTGTACAGGTATTTATTCCTCAACTTAACAACAATTGAGCCCAAAATTTCTATTGCTGAGCAAGGCAGTTAAATGAATTGTACCCCATTTTACAATCTTTTTTGCCATTATTGTAAAAGTGAATCACTGCAGTTGTTAAGTGAATCAAGATGGTGCTTAAGCAAATGTGGCTTCCCCCATTGACTTTGCTTGGAGGAAGCCAGCTGGGAATGTTACAAATGGTGATCACATGACCCCAAGGCAGTGCAACTGTCATAAAGGCATGCTAGTTTCCAAGAGCCTGAATTTCCATCATATGATGATAGGGATGCTGCAATGATCGTAAGTGTAAAAACTGGTCAAAAGTCACTTTTTTCAGTGCCATTGTAACTTTGAATAGTCGCTAAATAAATGATTGTAAGTGGAGGACTATCTGCACACTAGTATACTGCTTAGATAAAAAGCCAGTTGATTGTAGATTTTAGCAAATTTGGTTTGATTAATATATTATATATAAGATACTAAAAGATTTTCTAGAAACCTTTTAGGATAATTAACATACATCTCTTATTATTATGATACATACCTTATTAATTCCCGATTCTTCTCCTGAACTAGTTTTGGTAAGTTCAGCTTGGTCTTCTAATGACTAAATCCAAAAGGAAAAAAAACAACAACAGAAAGAACTAGATGAAAAATTAAAAATTGATATATTAATAATATGGAACAATATGCAAGGTAAACATATATAGTAGAACCCATTTTTGAAATTACCTATAGTCAGCGTAATTTCCCCCATTTTTTAAAATAGTTAAATAAGTATCTTTACATGTAGATAATATATGTACTAGCTTTTTCAGAGGTTACGCAGCTATAATCTGGCTAGAATTTTACATGTATGACGGTTCAAATTTTTTTAAAGAAAAATAGAATTCTGTCCTTTTTTCCCCCAAAACCAGACATAATTAGATCTGTGCTGAACACTGAATTAAAGAGGCAAAAGCTCAGATACTATAACCAATGAGTCAAGAATTATTAATCATAGCATGGATCGTACAGCAGCCATGAAAAAAAGGAAAGGGGAATAGCTGATGAAGTTATTACTGGTGTCTTTTGTTTACTTGGAATAAACCAAAAAGATAATGCATGAAAACAGCAGACAAAGTAGTCAATCATATATTATTTTGTATCACGTTATAGAGATAGCTAACATGAATATTTCTTTTTCGTAATTGCCAATAATATAATCCAATGATTCAATAAACCACAGAGGATTGCAATTAGTTATATGCAATATCTTTGCCTTTTCTATTACAAGATTCCTAGGGGAAAATGTTTTGGAATTTATTTCTATAGAACAGTAGTAAAATTTTAAATCTGGAAAAAAAAGAGTAGCTTAATTAAATTGTAATTAATGGATTTTAATTTCTACATAAACATATAACACTAACCTCATTTAAACACTTTCTTTTGGCAAATATGTTTCTGATGAAGGTTTCTTGGACCATTTCTTGTTTAATGAGGTATTGCCAAAGTCTTTTTACAGATAATGCATAATGACTTTTGGATCTAAAAATGAGAATCATTTTTAACATGTGATATAATTTCAAACAAATACAGTTGATAAATTTTATATACATTCGTATATGTATTGATAATTGAAAGCAGAAAACTGTAAAATCAGAAATTTTAATGAGAAACATTAACTTCTTCATTCTAACAGGTATTCTGCTATATACACACTTCTTGAATAAAATTCTCAGTGTTTTAGAGAACAATGACATTTAGGTTGAAGATACCTGTTGCAAATATTCCTCAGACATAGAAAGGAAATAGCACAAATGCAAGTAAAACTTAATATATCTGACATTATCCAGTACATCATCTATTTTATTCTTCTCAACAATAATTTCTATAATTGTAATAAGTACAGCATAAGCAGAGTCTGCTGATCCAACTGAATTATTTTATTGAAGAACTACAAAAATGTTTGTATACTGTATATGACATAATTAATTTATAACATGCAAAATCGGATGGTTGTGAGACTAAAGAAATTTACTTAAGTAATGTATTTTATAAGCCAACATACATAATCATCTTTTCTGTTCAGCTCCCATTAATAGCAATTATTGAATAGTTTTAGAAATGGTCAAAGAATACTCAGGAAGAAATAATTAAAACTGTTTTCCCAGCAGCTGCTTTTTACTGATATCTATTGATTAAATGGTGGAAGCTGAAAGCATGACTCATGTTTTAAATTAGAATAATAGTGTGCTTAAGGACTGGGTAAGGATCACAAAACTCTCATTTAATCCTTAAAATAGCAGTAGCAATTGCACTTGGACTTATATATTGCTTCATAGAGCTTTACAGTCCCCTCTAAGCAGTTTATAGTCAGCATATTGCTCCCAACATCTGGGTCCTCATTTTACCGACCTCGGAAAGATGTAAGGCTGAGTCAACCTTGAGCCGGTAAGAATCAAACTGCTAGCAGTCAGCAGAATTAGCCTGCAATACTGCATTCTAACCACTGCGCCAAAGCTCACTCAGAGATTCTGAACTAAACGCTTTAGCTCTTAACTCATCCTCTTTTACATGGCTGCCAGTGTTTTATATATCTATGATATTTCTACATAAATGTTACCTAAAACACGATCTATTTTGCTATACAATTCAAAAATGTTTATACGAATAAGAGAAGCTTCCAAGAATTAAAGAAGCTTTTAGAACAGTGGTGGCGAACTTTTTAGAGACTGAGTGCCAAACTGCAACCGAAAACCCACTTATGCATTGTAGGGTGCCGAGTGGGTGTGGCCCATGGGCTGGGTGTGGCCCATTGGGTGGGCATGACTGCGGTGGTAACGGCAGACTGGGTGGGACTAAAAAGTTCAATCAATCAATTCCAACTTTGCAAGAACTTTTGTTCCCCCGTGAAAAGTTGAAATTGACTGATTGAACTTTTTTTTTTTGCACATGGCGGCGGAGGCCTAAAGCGAAAAGATTTTATAAAACCCAGCCGAAGGCCTAGAACTGAGGCGAATGGCGCATGTGTCCACAGAGAGGGCTCTGAATGCCGCCTCCGGCATCCGTGCCATAGGTTCGCCATCACTGTTTTAGAGTATATAGATATTACCCATCAAATTTAAGTTTTTACAAAGAAAATTGTCTGTTTGCCAGTAAGGGAAATAAAAATGAATTAGACAAACGAACAAAAATTGAGTTTGCAAGGGCTTCAGGTTTGCCATTGCGATCGTTGCGGCCGCTGGAAGCAAACTTTGACTTTGGTTTCGCTCCGCTGAGGGACCCTGGAGAGGGTCAAAAGTCGCCCTGTAGGGGTGATGAGCAAGGAGGAGACCCCTGCTTGATCTTGAGAGGGTGGCAGCCCTTCCACTTGATCTGGGGCAGCCCTCCAAACTGGCGGAGGAAAGACCAGCCATAGTAATATGGCCTGTTACTAGGCTGCAGACAACCAAAGTCAAACTTACCACCAAGCACTTTGAAAGCAATATGGATGAAACTGGGTGAGATCCTAAGTACTTTCTTTTCCTGTAAAAGCTGCCTGAAGTATCTTTCCCCCTGTGAGAAGAGAGGGAAGAGAATTTTTATCCCACCTTCTAAGAATAGTGGTGACTGACTACCCAGGGGAATTAAAGTATTAAAAGAACTTTAATCTAATTGGATTTATATATTCCTGAAACTTGGGGACCAAAAATTTTCCTATTTTTATTGGAGACGTTTGCTTTTATCTACAAAAAAGAAATAAAATTGGAAAAAATTTGGACTTAAAAAATCTTAAATGGCATCAGTGACATATTGTGGCGAAGTTTGGTATTACAACTTTTTATTTCCTAACAGAGACTTGGCTTGAAGTCCAGATCTTAGATAAGACTCTTTTGACCTTGGTACCACCTGTGAGAAACTCAGCTGTAAGAGAACAGCTGGGCGGCATAACTGGCCTACTTGAACTATGAATGTAAACCTTTACTGGCTTTCAGAGTTATATGCGGGGAATTGCCTTCCTATCTCTTTATTTGAGGAATATTGGTTACTATATGAGATGATGAAATACCTTGCACTATAAAATCTTGCTTGACAAACGACTTCTACTATAAAGACTATTTATAAACACGTGAAAGAGATGGATGAAGACCAGGAAAAGAACCTTTCCATGTTAAAAGCAATAGATGAAACCATTCTTTCAGCTTGTGATAAAATAAAACCTAACATAAAAGATCAAGACGCCAACTTAGATACACAAACTCATACTTTGACTACAACCAAAGAACTAACAATGCAGAAGATAACAGAAGAAGTGGAACAATCAAATATTAAGACAGAAGACTCAATTGACCAACAAATTCCATTAATTCCGTTAATGGAAAATTCAGAAAAGGGAGTGACAACACTGAAAATGGAAAAGACTTTCTATATAAATCAGAAGAAATTTGAAAAAGAAGAAGAACAGATTGAATGGAAAATAAACATATCAGGGCAATCATGGGGAATTGGAATAATAGGGAGACAACTTTATGAATACAAATGGGCTAGTCCTTCAAAAAAAATGGCAATTAAATGGTCTCCTTTATTTCAAATAATATATATAATAATAGAGGGAGATCTATTTGACGATCTAAAACAGCGGTTCTCAACCTATGGGTCGCGATCGACCATTTTACAGGGGTCGCGAAACAACGCGATCCGCTATTTTCCCCCCAGGGGGCGGCGCCGCGCATGCGCGGCACGCCGCGCATGCGTGGTGCGTTCGTGTGACGGGGTCGCCGTCACACAAAGATTGAGAATCGCTGATCTAAAAGCACTGATATGGAAGCCTAGTTGGCAAAGAAAGCCAGAATAAGGCTGAAGAAAATTGGGGTTTTGATTTATTAGAGGGGATTTCATATTATTAATTAGAGGATTAAAGAGAGAAGTTGAGATAAGGGGAATTCTGGTCATTAGATATAAAATATCTGGAAATTAGCTGAAAATAAGGATTTTATCTGTTTAATATTTAAAAATTAGACCTAAAAGAAAAAATAATTATCATGAATATGTTTGATTTATTGATTAACCCAGGTAATATATACAATGGTTTTGATTTATTAAAGGGGATATTGTATTATTAAGTAGATGATTTAATATGGTGGGAAATGGATAACTTTTAGGAAATAGAACAAGATTATATTCAAATAGATAAAAGGAGTATTTTGGATATTAGAATCTGTTATGAATTGAGATGGGAAAACTTGGTTACCTAAAATCTGAAAATTATAAAATTTATAATTTATAAAAATTATAAAAATATATATTTCTTGTTGTGGGAATCACTCAAGCATTCAACCTTCTTTTGGAGGTCTTGTCAATCTCAAAGTCGATTTTTTTCCCCCTCTTAATTCTACTCCGTTATCCATGGTTGCTCTTGATGGAAGACTTGTTTTCAGTCAAAGAACTCCTTCCTTATCATTTTCAAGGCCCTAGTTTTATATCTCTTATGTTTTCGTTTAATTACTTAACCCAGGGGTCGGTAACCTGAAACAGTGAAAGAGCCACTTGTACCCGTTTCCCCCACACAAAAAAAATCTGGGAGCTGCAAAATATGTGTGTGCGTGCGCGTGCACACGCAAAACAAGGGGCTTGATTGAAGAGTGGAGCTTAAGGCGAGACATGCACCGGCCCTGCCCCCCCATCCAGCTCTGGTATGGATGGCTCTGCTGTCCTGGTTTCTCCTCCCCTCCCCGCGCTCTCCCTTTCTGTGACTTTCTTCTTTCTGCCTTTTGGCGTGAAGGTTCCCAGGGAGCGGAGGAGGAGGCCGATGGGGAGAAGGAGCTGCTGCGGCAAATCTTCCGAGGCGGTAGCAAACGGCTACTCGGGCTCGCCTATCTCAGCCTGCTACAGGAGGCTGGAGTTGAGGCTTCTGGCTCACTCTGGGAGGGGTGCTCGGAAAAGAGAGAATGAGAAGCGGAAAGTGGGAGAAAGGATTTCTTCCAGCTCTCTAGGGTTTTCTCGCTGGGAGAGTGAGGAAGCAGCAGTTCTGCTCTGTGGAAGGTGGGAGCAGGCGGCCTCTCCTTCAAACTTTACCAAATGATTCCAAAAGCGAAGCGAGCTCTGTGTTCCCGGAATGTCAACTTTGCAAAAGAGGGAGGCGGTGGTGGAGTTGAAATAAAACGGGGTGGAGGTTGAGGAAACCCAGCAAGAGCAAGAAAGGCAAGATCAGGGAGAGGAAGAAAGCTTTTGGGTCTTGTGCACAGACATAGCTGACTCCTCCTCATCTCCTGCCCTTGCTGCATCTCCTGTGGAGATGCATTTGCGACTCTCTGTGTCTCTCTCTCTCTCCCACTCATAGCCATACTGCAGCTCGATCATTGAAGCAATTTCAATCGGCCCCTTCATTGCCAAGTGTCCCCATGGAACTCAATGGACGTCCACAGCGACTCAAAAGGCCAGCCGTGGCGCTTCCGAGTCCTTTGGTTTTACCGGCAAGCCACCGCCTTTGCCTCCTCGGCTTTGGCATCAACACAGATCAATGAGCAGGAGGATTGATTAGTGCGGGTCTCTCCTGGTCAAAGTAGCAATGGTTGGAACGGGATCTTGCCTGATCTTTTGTCCAAACTCAGCCAGGTGGGTCCCTTGGCCTTTCGAGTTGCCGCGGACCTCCACTGACTTCCATGGGGATGCTTGGCAATGAAGGGGCCTTGAAACCGCTTCAAGGATTGAGCTGCAAGATGGCTTTGAGTGGCAGAGAGAGACACAGAGACGCAAATGCGTCTCCACAGGAGATGCAGCAAGGGCAGGAGACAAGGAGGCGGTGGCTCGCTGGTAAATCAACGGACTTGGAGACACCGCAGTTTTCTGGGACACCCGGCCTGGGGTCTGACAGAAGACCCAGCCCAGACCCAATTCCCTACCCTGCCCATCTGGAGACCCCATCACAGTCCCCTCTGCAAACCAGCCTGCAGGATACTCAGGGGGGGGAAAGCCCAGCACCGGGCCGTGGGGGGAGCCAGGCTCTCAGGACCCCTTACCCCAAGGAGAGGAACTCCCCTGGCCAACATGCGCCGATCCTTCCAGGTGGTCCTTCTTCCCTCTGGCTCTGGGGCTCTACAGTGCCCGAGGGGCAGGAAGCCGTGGGACCCCGGCAGGTGTGGGGATGGGCTGGGGAGGGGTCATCCCGCTCCAGTTGGGTAACCTCCTCTTTTCAGAAACAGGAAGGACAGAGCAAGCTTCCCCCGCAGGGGATCATTGTCTACCTCCCTTTTCCGAGTGGGGATCGCCAGCCCCAGCAGATCCACTGGGCTGGCGAGAGGTCCCTTGAGAGTGCAGCTGCCGTTGCCTCCCCTCCCATCTCCCGGTGGGCTTCAGGGGGAAGCGCGGGACTTCGAGGGCCTTCCTGTTCAAAGCGAGCCGTGCGCCTTCAGGGCTTGGGAGACAGAGCAACGCTGAGCCTAAACGGGTCAGACCCCTTTCCTGGGGCCGCAGCTTGCGGGAGCGTCGGCCTGCTCAGCAGAGGCTCCAGCAGGCCGTTCCCAGGGGGGATCGCAGAACTGCCCTGCGAGTCTCCCTGGCCATATGCGTCTCGGACAGGGCCAGCCCAGGAAAGGGACTTCCTGGCTGCACTTCTCCCAGGGGGCGGGGCGCCTGGCCGCAGGGCCAATCAGGACCTCACGAGGTCGCAAGTCAGAGAGAGCGAGAGAGAGAGAGAGAGGGAGGGAGGGAGGGAGGGAGGGAGGGAGAGAGAAAGAAGGGAAGCACAAGTGCCTCTCTCTCTCTCTCTCTCTCTCTGCAAATGGCGGAGGAAGTTCCGGAGCTGCAGGAGAAGGCCCAAAGAGCTGCATGCGGCTCCAGAGACATGGGTTGCTGAGCCGTGACTTAACCAAAGCTTAATAATTTGCATTGTTCATGGTAATGAAAAGTTATAAGATTACAAATGGCAGAGCTAAATTGTGAATTTGTGAATGAAAAATAAGCATTCCCAAGAGATTCCATATACTTCACTAAATAATAGACAGGAAATATAATTGCATTTTATCTGTTCAAGGTATAAACTTACTTGAAAGGAGTGTTTGTTGGCTCTAGCAAAGCTTTGTGGCGAAGTAGCGCAGGGCCTGAAGATGAGGCATCTTGTAAAATGTGAACAGAAATATAGTTTTCTGGTGGACCTCCATGCATTTCAAGTCGTCTGAGAAGAACTTGTTCCCAGCGCTGAAGAGCCTTTAGAACCGCATGGCACAGCGGTGAACAAACTGGAAGTTCTAAGGATAGATTTTTTTTATTCAATATAGTATTTTCTTTAAAGTATATTATATTTTCTGAATGTTTTATACCACAGTTTCCACAATTGTTGCTGTTGTCAGAACATTAATAACACTAAAAACCTTCTAGACATGTTTTGTCATTAAGATATCTGTGAACTTCAAAAGTAGCTATGTATATCAAAATTGAAGTTAGTAAACATACCGTTGAATGAAAAACAATGTAAGAACTCTTCAGACTAAACAGAAACATTTTACTGAGTTAAAAAGGATTTAGTTTCTCATTAAGTATGCTTAGGTTGTCTGCATCAGCTATTAGTAATGTTCTAAAGAAAAATAAATTTTCCCAATTCCTAGCAGTTCTTGAACTAGAAACATTGCCATCTGCAGCAGCATTGTTGAGAGAGGGGGAGAAATGCCTATTTCTCTTCTCACCTCACCTCACCCACCCCATCTCACCCCTGCATGAATTGTGAAGCTGTTTGTAAATTGGCAGTTGTGTCTGAAAACAATGTCTGCTGAAGTTGTAGAGAATAAATAGACAGCCCATCTGAATTTAAACATTTGCAGTTAATATATTCCTACAATCTATTATCATATATGTATATCATATATCAGGTGTTCTGAATTCTACTGACAAATGTTCCATCTTGGCTGTCATCATTCTGAATGATCCCCAGCAGTAATGGGATTCAAATATGTGAACAACCAGTTCTCTGTGTGGATACCGCTTCCGAAGTCCATTCTGGGCCTGGGCAACAAAAAGTTAGCTACTGGTTCTACCGAACTGGTGCAAACTTGCTGAATCCCATCACTGTCCCCAGCTCAAAAATGTGCATGACAAGCTTGACACGATATTTCAAATCAAACTGGGTCATTTCAAATGACCACACCTATCAAAAGACTCAAAATATCTGGCATACAGTACCTCTACCTCTAGTTTATATGAATACAGTGATGTGCCCATATAAAAGCAGACAATGATGTCTATCAACACTCAAAAATAAATTAATTACCTGTAAGATCATGTCCAGCCAATGGGTAGAAACTTTTCAAATTACGGAGAACTAGCTGAACCATAGCCAAGCGCATCAATAACCAACTAAACGACAAAAAAATGTTATTGTTCTTCCAGCAATGTTGCTGAAGACCGAAAATATTGCGTATTTAACTATTTAGCTAAGACTTGTTTTCCTTTTTCACTTATTACTGTAAACATCATTCTCTATTACAGTGCTTCTCAACGTTTGTGTGACGGCGACCCCCATGCGCGTTCTGCGCGTGCACGGCGCCGCCCCATGCGCGACGTGCGTGCCGCCCCCGTGCGCAGTGCGCATGCGTGGCGGCGCATGTGCGGCGCCGCCCCCGTGCGCGGTGCGCGTGCACCGCGCCGCAAAAAATGGCGGATCGCCACCTTTGGCGACCCCCGAAAAATGGTCGATCGACCCCAAATGGGGTCGCGACCCATAGGTTGAGAACCGCTGCTCTATTACAAGGCAGCATATGCTATTCTAAATTCATTATAAGAGCAAATCAAGACACAAATAATTAATAATTTATTTTAAATTTAATACTAATTATAATGCTTCTGGAATCCTCTGCCCCATATATACTTCAACCCTATAAAGTAGCTGTTCAATTTCTTTTTGGATAAAACATTGTAATTAGGCAAGGCCACTCTTGAAATAAGATTTGAACAATGAATTTCTAATTCATTCCATATACTCTTCATTATTACTCTAAAAATATGAGTTCTCAAACTCATTATCTCTTTAAGAGTTTGTGTAAAAATTTTAGGAGGGACACACTGTTTTTTTATTATTATTTGAACATACAAAGTTGGATTGCTGTCAGTTACTCACACCTGCTCTTTCTGGAAAAACTGACAGCAAAATTTGGATTTTCCACAGTTCCTGCTACAAAGAACAAATAATAATCCAAAATAAATATGAATTAAAATCTAGATTTCAGGAATTATGCAAAAGTAAGACAACTCATCCTTATCATTAAAATGTGGTTTTAAATTTGTTTTCAAATTTATTTCCAATGAAACAATTTTAGTTTATAAACTTCTAAGTTTCAGTAATTTTATTTAATATATACATTGAAGTACAACTATTAAAAGTATATATTTAATTCTTGCCCAACCCTAACTCTAATAAAATCATTAGTTTTATCCATGGAATAGGGGATAGAAGTCAAACCTATATATTAATAATTTTAAGAAATCATGGCAATACAAATTTTGAGAAGCTTTAGCTTTGGGAAAGGATTACATGATTTCTTCTGCATTAAAATTTATGCCTATGCTAAGTTAGAACCTGAAAATTGCACCTTTATTTTCTCTAGAGAATGCTGTAATGTGTTAAATTTGCAGGATTCAAGGAATATATACAATACATTGCTGAAATATCAAAAGCTGCCGAGGGATTTCTTCCTACTAGTCTGCTGTCTTAACCAAAAGTTAGGGGAAACTCTAAATTAGCGTCATACAAAACATGACCTAATGTAAGAAAATGAATGAAAACATGCCTGCAAAATTGTTTTGAATGGTGTAAAGAAAAAAACTGTAGATATAATTCAGTAATAATTTATACCTAAATGAATTTGGATTAGAGTGTTCCTGAAGTTTTGAATCTGATAAGAATACTCCATCTTCATCTTCATCACTGCTATCCTGACTTTCATCTGAATCATATTCAAATCTAGTTTGAGATGATGCAAGATATGGCTAAAACAAGAAAACAGATTAAGAAAAAACATAACATATTTGGTTAAATAATAAATAATATCTACTATTTAAATATGATTTATTATATATATATTGTTGGTTAGGGGCTCACTATTAAAACAGAACAAAAAAATAATAACAATACATAAGAACTGGCCAAAGCATGTTTTATTTTATTATCTTCAAAAGCAGTTTTGGCTTAGCATAATGTAAGAATGCAAGCTTAATCCTAATATTTCTCAGCAGAGATTAGGATATATTTGAAAAGATTATCATTCGTAGGTGTACAAGTTTGAAGAAGGAGATGACTCAGAGATTGATTCGCCATTTGTCAAGGACAATAGGATAATTTTATTTCTAACAACATAAAAAAATACCTTTGCTATAAAGTAGTCCCAAATACTAAGTTCAGGAGGAATAAATTTCTCTTTGTAAATTGAACAGTCTTGTTCTTTTCCAGGTAAAGTAGTAGGTGAATTTTCTTTCGATGATGATTTTGATGTCAGTCTAAACCGCTTATTTTGCTTCTCACCATCATCTATAGGAGAAGAGGCTACAAAACAAAAACAAACAAAAAACAAAACAAAACCATAGGACAATGAAACATCAAATAAATGAAGGGTATCATTTATGGATTACTGCCTTGTCGTGGCGAAGGGGCTTGCGTAACTCAATGAAGCTATAAGCTATGCCGTGCAGGGCCACCCAAGACGGACAGGTTATAGCAGAGAGTTCTGACAAAATGTGATCCACTGGAGAAGGAAATGGCAAACCACTCCAGTATCTTTGCCATGAAAACCCCATGGACAGTACTAAAAGGAAAAAAGATATGACGCTGGAAGATGAGCCCCTCAGGTCGGAAGGTGTCCAATATGCTACTGGGGAAGAGCAGAGGGCTAGTACTAGTAGCGCCAGAAAGAATGAAGCGACTGGGCCAAAGCCGAAAGGACGCTCAGCTGTGGATATATCTGGTGGTGAAAGGAAAGTCCGATGCTGTAAAGATTTTTTCTCCATAGGAACCTGGAATGTAAGATCCATGAATCAAGGCAAGCTAGACGTAGTCAAAAAAGAGATGACAAGAATGAACATCGACATCTTAGGAATCAGCGAACTAAAATGGATAGGAATGGGTGAATTTAACTCAGATGACCATCAGGTATACTACTGTGGGCAAGAATCCCTCAGAAGAAATGGAGTAGCCTTCATAGTCAATAAAAGAATAGGAAAAGCAATACTGGGATACAATCCCCAAAATGACAGAATGATCTCAATTCGAATCCAAGGCAAACCATTCAATATCACAATAGTCCAAATCTATGCCCCAACCACTGGTGCTGAAGAGGATGAAATTGACCGGTTCTATGAAGCCCTACAGCACCTTATAGAATTAACACCCAAAAATGATGTCCTTATCATCATGGGGGATTGGAATGCTAAGGTAGGAAGCCAAAAGATAACCGGAATAACAGGCAAGTTTGGCCTTGGAGTACAAAATGAAGCAGGGCACAGACTAATAGAATTTTGTCAAGAGAATACGATGGTCATAACAAACACTCTTTTCCAACAACCCAAGAGACGGCTCTACACATGGACATCACCAGACGGTCAACATAGAAATCAGATTGACTATGTGCTCTGCAGCCAAAGATGGAGAAGCTCTATACAGTCAGTAAAAACAAGACCAGGAGCTGACTGTGGCTCAGATCATGAGCTTCTCGTTGCAAAATTTAGGCTTAAATTGAAAAAAGTAGGGAAAAGCACTAGGCCACTCAGGTATGAACTAAATCATATTCCTGATGAATATACAGTAGAGGTGACAAATAGATTTAAGGAATGGATCTGATAGACAGAGTGCCTGAAGAACTATGGATGGAAGTTCGCAACATTGTACAAGAGGTAGCAACTAAAACCATCCCAAAGAAAAAGAAATGCAAGAAAGCAAAATGGCTGTCTGAGGAAGCTTTGCAAATAGCTGAGGAAAGAAGGGAAGCGAAAGGCAAAGGAGAAAGAGAAAGATACACCCAATTGAATACAGAATTCCAGAGAATGGCTAGAAGAGATAAGAATACCTTCTTAAATGAACAGTGCAAAGAAATAGAAGAAAACAACAGAATAGGGAGGACCAGAGATCTCTTCAAGAAAATTGGAGATATGAAGGGAACGTTTCATGCAAAGATGGGCATGATAAAGGACCAAAATGGCAGCCTAACAGAGGCAGAAGAGATGAAGAGATGGCAAAGAAGAACTATACAAGAATGAGCTTAGAGACCTAACAGACAGAGAGATTAAGAAGAGATGGCAAAACTACACAGAAGAACTATACAAGAATGAGCTTAACATCCCAGATAACCACAATGAGATGGTCATGACCTCGAACCAGACATCCTAGAATGTGAAGTGAAATGGGCCTTAGAAAATCTGAGCAACAACAAAGCTAGTGGAGGTGACAGTATTCCAGCTGAGCTATTCAAAATCTTAAAAGACGATGCAGTAAAAGTGCTACACTCAATTTGCCAGCAAATTTGGAAAACTCAACAGTGGCCACAGGATTGGAAAAGGTCAGTTTACATTCCAATTCCAAAGAAAGGCAATGCCAAAGAATGTTCAAACTATCGCACCATTGCACTCATTTCACATGCTAGTAAAGTTATGCTTAAAATCCTACAAGCTAGACTCCAGCAGTATGTGGATCGAGAACTACCAGAAGTACAGGCAGGATTTCGAAGAGGCAGAGGAACTAGAGATCAAATTGCCAACATACGCTGGATCATGGAGAAAGCTAGGGAGTTCCAGAAAAACATCTACTTCTGCTTCATTGACTATGCAAAAGCCTTTGATTGTGTGGATCACAACAAATTGTGGCAAGTTCTTAAAGAGATGGGAGTACCAGACCATCTCATTTGTCTCTTGAGAAACCTATATGCGGGTCAAGAAGCAACAGTGAGAACTGACACGGAACCACTGATTGGTTCAAAATTGGAAAAGGAGTCCGGCAAGGCTGTATACTGTCGCCCTGCCTATTTAACTTATATGCAGAGCACATCATGAGAAAGGCAGGGCTAGATGAATCAAAAGTTGGAATTAAGATTGCCGGGAGAAATATCAACAACCTAAGATATGCAGATGATACCACTCTAATGGCAGAAAGTGAAGAGGAACTAAAGAGCCTCTTGATGCGGGTGAAGAAGGAGAGTGCAAAAGTTGGCTTGAAACTCAACATTAAGAAAACCAAAATCATGGCATCCGGCCCTCTCAATTCCTGGCAAATAGATGGGGAAGAAATGGAGGTAGTGACAGATTTTATTTTTCTGGGCTCAAAGATCACCTCAGATGGGGACTGCAGCCAAGAAATTAAAAGACGCTTGCTCCTGGGGAGGAAAGCTATGGCAAATCTAGACAGCATTCTAAAAAGCAGAGACATCACCCTGCCAACAAAAGTGCGTATAGTCCAGGCCATGGTTTTCCCAGTTGCAATGTATGGCTGTGAAAGTTGGACCATAAGAAAGGCTGAGCGCCAAAGAATTGAGGCCTTTGAACTATGGTGCTGGAGAAGACTCCTGCGAGTCCCTTGGACTGCAAGGCGTTCAAACCGGTCAGTCCTAGAAGAGATCAACCCCGACTGCTCTTTAGAAGGCCAGATCCTGAAGTTGAAACTCAAGTACTTTGGCCACCTAATGAGAAGGAAGGATTCACTGGAGAAGAGCCTAATGTTGGAAAAGATTGAGGGCAATAGCAGAAGGGGACGACAGAGAATGAGATGGTTGGATGGAGTCACTGAAGCAGTATGTGTGAATTTAAATGGACTCCAGAAGATGGTAGAGGACAGGAAGACCTGGAGGAACATTGTCCATGGGGTCGCGACGGGTCGGACACGACTTCGCAATTAACAACAACATCATCTATGAAGGATATCATCTTTCAAATCAATTATAACCTATGTACTTAATTATAACAAAAACAAACAAGTACTATCAATCAATGCCTGTTATGTTTAATTGTTGCAATTAAACAATAACATGGCTAGCTTTTATTCTCGCCTGTAACGTTTTGGTTATGTTTCCAAGAATATCTGAGATGCATTTTAAACAAATAATACATAATCATTATTTTTGCATAAATATGAGACTGGAAATATTCAATGTTCATGCTACAAATATTTATTTAATTGTATAAATTCTTAGAGATGCACTATAATAGAAACTAGAAACATATTGCTGGTATACAAGTTTTGTCTTTTTTCAATGCTCTGTATTAGGTCTATATATAAACATTTCTACCGAAAATAAATGTTATTTCAAAATAGTCATCAAACTATTTAATGAATAAATATGAAAATCTCACTTACCTTAATGCTAAAGTTATATCAAATATTACATATTACAGTTTAAAGTCTTTTAGCCAGAACAACAAGCATGCACATGCGTTGCTTACTACGGAACATTAGTTTTTGAACTAAATAAAATAAAGCTTACTCTTATGCTGAAATGGAGGCAGAAAATAAGCTGAACAAAATGTTACATGATACAGAGGCTAAAAAATATGCTTATTTTTAATTCCCATTCAACCTTCCCTATTGTGAAATAAATCTGCTACTTAAGCAGGCAATATTATTAACAAATTAACTGTACAATTATCAACAAACTTTAACCATGTTATAAAAAATGAAAATCCCATTGTTTTTTTTTTAAGAAATACACTTTAGACATGGTTTACCATTTTATTTTGAAGTTACAAGAACTCTTACAGTGTAAAGATGTGGAACGGTTTATGTTTGTCAAAGACAAAAATGTTCTTTAAAATGTGTGGAGTACTATCTACAAGCCCTTAAAACAAATGGTTCTTTCCAAGAATTGTGTAATTGCTTTCCATAGCAATCATATGACCATCTGAAAGACACATATGATTTATGTACTTGCAGATGGGTGCTACATTTACTTGACATGATTTTCGACTCTGTCATTTTGAGAGAGGAAAAATTAAGGATGTGAAATCATGATGTTTTATCTTTCTAAAAGAATGACATAACAGAGAATGGAAAAAAAATCTGAGTTATGGCCCCAAGCCTACAGAAGTTGTTCAAGCCAATTCAATCAAACATTATTACAAATACTAAAATAAAAATAATTAAAAAGCATTCTGAAATAATACTGTCTTAGTAGGTAAACCCATAAACTGTATCATGTTTTGCACAAGCAGCAACATTTTGAGCATTCCACAGCTTGCAATGGAAAGTTGCAACAATCATTATAATTTGCATTCCATTAGCTTGACCAATTTTTAGTTGAAAGCTATCACAGAACTATTTTGGTATGACATGCCTTTTTTTAACATACTGGGAAATAAAAGAATTAAATTAAATCGTGGTTTTATATTAGTGCTTTTTTTAAAAAAAGTAAACTACAAATTTATTCTGTAAAATGTTATTACTTGAAAGAATGGTAGATTTCTTCATGTATGCAACGTTTTAAATGGATATATCTTCCCAGTTAAATATCCAGCATTCATAATTACTGATATATTGGCTTGCAATATATATGTAAATCTAAATATACTATATCCTTCTGTAATCTGTATCATCATTTTACAAATGTCCTCTCACAAAATAGTAAGGTATATAGAATTTATGCTAATTTATTTGCTAAGAACATATTTAAAAAATTTCATTTATATAAAAAAAGGTTTTGCCATTATATTTTCATTCTTACTACAATTTAATTCTCAGGAAATTATATATTCATTTGTCATATAGTCTGCCAGTATGAATTCTGAATATTGATTCTGTTATTCCACTCCTTCCCTCTACTTAGAAATACCAATAATTGTTTCAATGAAGTAAGACACACTGTATATGACTTCGGCAAAATCTAAAAAGTGGTACGAGAATGCTTAAGTCTATAGCAGAGGAATAACCTTAGTAAGGAAAAAAAATTTTTTTGTAGATTACACAAACTATTTTTTTTCTTCAGATTTTTTAATTCAATGTACAACTATTACAACTGATCACTCCACTTTCATTTCAAACATAGCTACTTTGGTCTTTGACACATTAATTTTCAGATCCATGTTCCTTGTTGCATTGTACATGTATTGCAAATTATTTGGGTTTTCAGCCAACAACATGGCATAACTTGCATACTGAAATAAAAAACACATTCGTATTCCACCCAATACAGTTCTGATCTACACCACAAGCTTCTATATTCCTTATTTATCCAACCATAATTGCATTATGCAGATGTCACATATCTTTGTTTTTTCCCCTTGCACAATACTGAACCATTCACTAAGCATTCCTATGGTTCTTATGCATGCTTTACTTCTTTCACATATTGTTCTTATCAAATTGAACAAGCAATCTCCAGGTCAATACATTTTCTAACAAAACTTTGCATTATTCAAGATTATTTAGATACTTTTTTTGAATCATATAACATAAACTTGTTTTTATCATATATTTCTCAATTATTGCTGAAGGAGAAAAACCTAGTCTATGCATTTCCTCTCCCCCAAATATTGCTCACTGTCACCACCCGTATCTTTTCAACCAAAATTCTGTCAAACACCTTTCCAGGCACACTTGACAAATTAATTCTTCTATAGTTTTTGCATTCATTCTTGCTACCTTTCCTTTTATACAACGGACAACAAGAGCATTCTTCTAGTCATCAGGCAGAGATGTGGTCTTCACACATGCATTAAACAAGACCAAGACCACTCAATAAACAAACCCTACATCTTTATTTTATTAACATTTCTCCAATTATCCTATTATAACTCTCATCCTGAGATCTTTCATTATTATTATTCATCACAATAGTCAACTATCACTAACCTATGAATTCCTATTTTCACATGCTCCCACAAATCAAGATAATGCCAATTCAAACTTTGTGAGATATATTTAGCTCTTTATTTTAATCAAATCCATTCCAAAAGACCAGGACATTTTTGTTTAGATCGTTAAATTCTTTTCATTTCTTGTATTCACAATTGCATAAACTTTGTTTTATTTCATTCATTAATGAATATTCTTTGTCATTTATTCCACCTATATTCCAAATAATGATATTCTACATGCTCTGATCATCACTAGATGGGCTCATCAGCATTGATACTTATGGGTTAAGTTAACTGAGGTTTTTATATAATGGCTTTTAGTAAGATGGAATAGAAATGATGTACGTTAGATTACCAGTCTTAGTCATACATGTGTCACATCAGCATTCTGCGCTACTAGTAAAGGCGGTTGCTTCTGGCAGATTTAGGTCAGTATTTTATGAAAGCAATGAAATCTCAATTTCAACTTAAGCATGATTACGTTACTCTATACAACCAGAATGCTAATCCACTATCAATCCAGATGATATCCCTAAATAATTGGGATTAGGTTTCATATCAAATAAAGCCTGTAGTAATATTAGCTTTCTCCAAAGCTGAAATTTTGGAGAAGATAGTGCATTTTAATTTACTGATTTCTTCTCTTTAGTATACTAAAACTCAACGCTTGTGTATCTTGGGCATCTTTAAAAAGTCTATCTTTTTAGGCCAACCATACCTAGTTACTTATATTTTAACTACATAAATATTTCAAAAACAAGTAATCAATAGAAATATATTTTTTCTATCTATTCTTTCTCTCTTTCTTTTCCTTTTCTTTCTTTCCTTTCTTTCTGTCTCTCTCTTTCCACACACACACACAAACACATACCTATACACAAACTCAAGATGGTAAACATCCTTAATAATCCTTCACCTATTTTCCACCCAATCCTGTGAGGTTGGGCTAAGAGAGAGTGACTGACTCAAAAGTCATTCAGCTGGCTTTCATGAGTAAGGCATGCCTATAATTCACAGTCGTTATATTTAACCCAGCATCTTAACCACTCTTGCAACCCAAAATAATGCAAGCTAACTTAAAAGGAATAATTTTTATTCTCATTTTTAGAATGTCTGATTCACTGAACAAACCAGTGCACGAAACTATATAGAGGTAGTGCTTGACTTACAACCATTTGTTTGTGACCGTTTGAAGTTACAATGGCACTGAAAAAAGTGACTTATGATAGTTTTTCATACTTACAACCGTTGCAGCATCCCCATGGTCATGTGATTAAAATTTGGATGCTTGGCAACTGGTTCACATTTATAATGGTTGCATGTCCCAGGGTGACCACCTTTTGCAGAACAAGCAAAATCAATGGGGAAGTCAGATTCACTTAACAACCCTGTTAATTTAAAAATTGCGGTGATTCATTTAACAGTGGTAAGAAAGGTTGTAAAATGAGACAAAACTCACTTAACAACTGTTTCACTTAGCAACAATATTCTCAAAAGTTATATTATTTTCTATTTGTCTCTATCCAAACACAAACGCTCAGAAACGTTCTACCAAAAATTCAAATCCAAATTAAATGTATAAATCAATTATGCCTCCTCCTCCTCTGAAACAGTCCAAAGAAAACCTATTAACAGATTTATTTATTTTATCTGAAATTCACTGAAATCAATTTTATGTATTTCATCCTGACACCTTTGTCTAAATCCACAAAGAAAACTGATAACAGTTTCTATTTTAAATGTTTACATTTATTGTGGAAACTGTACTATACTATTTTTACTTTAGTAAAACATTCAACACAAAATTATAGAGCCTATTACAGAATAATCTCTCCCAAGATCTCTTGGTGTCAGACTTGCTAATTACAAATCTAATTATTAATTCAGTCAAAATAAAATTAATTGTATAAGCCTATCATTTGGAAATACCAAGTTATATGTTTCTATTATTTGCTAGCCTACACTATTTTCAATTAATACGGTAAATGCTTTTTCATTAAAAATTACAGATATTGCTAAGCTAACAAAAATTCATAGCCACATGCATACAGTCATGTGACACAAACAAGCAGCTTGATGGACAAAAATATATTGGAATATTTCTGATAATTGCAAGTCATGGTCTTCTTTCATTATTAAAGATAATTTAGTATGAAAATAACCAACTACGTGATTTGTAATTGTTGAAATTTTGGTTATTTTTTCTGACATTATAAATCACAATTAAATCAGAGATCATGACTTACAAACAAATTGCTTTTGCTTGATTACAGTACTTTTTTATGCAAGGTCACATCACATATCAACACTAGATTCAAATGCCTAGAAGTGAAGCTAGCATCTTGCCTGCAAGTTTGGTAGGACTATGAGAACTGATGGTTGTTAGAGATTTGGTAAACCCCACGCATTCCATAGAAAATACTACTACCTGATGTGGGCTAGGCAAAGGGAAGTGCCTACCTGCCAAAGAGAGAAAACATAAGACTACGCTTAGATAGAATATTGCTGTCATACATATTAGAAAACAAACTTTTCAACATTTCTAAAAATGTTCGGCTGGTATGTGGTCAACATTACAAAGTTACAGACATTAAATGATTTTGATTTTCCAAACAGAACCTTTTTAACATTTATTTAGGGCTCTTTATTTATGATTATTTACTACTGCACTAGATTCCTGAATATAAGAAAGTGTATTCCTATAAGTAGGCATGCATTAAAAGTGAACAGTTATATTATTTTTTTGACAATGGGAATATTATACCTAATATTTAAGCCATGTGCACAAATAAAAACCATCATGGATTGGAATTTGATCTTTCACTCTTTTATTTGTAAGTTCTTTTCACAAAATTCTAATACTATCATTGCTAAACAAGCCAGCAACAGGTAGTATGTCTTACTGCCAACTTGTTTAATCAAGATTTTTTTCCACATTTATTTTCTTGTTCAAAAGGAATAAATCAACACTTTAATAAAGTGAAACCAAATTCTGATTTATATTTTTCATTAAATTGGAAGGAAGAGATGGATGTGCAAAATACAAAAGTTCAATTTTTATATAACATTATTCCTGCTCATGTATGTAATGATAGTTAAGATTTAGTATTATATAGGAATTCTGTCACTGTATGATAACATTAAAAAAGTCCCTGTGGATTTTACTCCACTAGTCATTGTCAACTACAGGGGGTGGTGCCCATCTCCCTTTCAGGGCCATTGAGCCATCACTGTTCGAAGATATTTCTGTGGTCCTGTGGCAACCATGTTATAGAGTGCTGTTAACTTCCCACTGAAGTGGTACCTATTTATTTACTCGCATTTGCATGCTTTTGAACTGCTAGGTTGGCAGGAGCTGGGGCAAGGAGAGGAATTCACCCTATTATGTGGCACAAGAGTTTTGAACCTAGGCTGCCAGCTTTCCAGCCAACAAGTGCAGTGTCTTTACTGCTGAGCCACAACGCTATCCTGATAACATATTCAGTATAAAAACTAGAAAGAAATTGAGTTCGGTAAATATTTACATAAAGAAAAAATATGGAATGTACTAACCCATCTTGGTTGTTTCTTGAATTGGTCCTTTCTTGGGAATCTTTGCACCACCACCGAAGACAGCAAACCACATTTTGTCATTAAGGGGATGGGCCACAATCCTGAATAATTCATTGCTGGAATGTGTTGCTAGACCATGAATGAAGAGACTAAGGTAGACTGCCGTAAGAATTTCACAGAGCAAAATTGTGATTCCAGACTGAGCTTCTTCTCCAGCTTGATTCAGTAATTGTATTAAATCCATTATTCCTGGATAGACAGGAAGTGCCATATAGTAATAAATCACATAAAAGGAAAGACAAGAGAAACCATTTGCAATTATCTCCAGGAACACTAAAGAACTATAAAGAGACATTGATAATATTAGTGTAAGATTTTTAGGCTAACTGACTCTTTGATGAATCCTGAAGTGAAAACTACAATCAAATCTAAATCAATGGGAATGAGTGGTCTAGAGTCTGTTGAAGAAAATATATTTAACATAATAGTCCCATCTCCCAAAATATTTCTTCACAAATGAAAATGAATTCTTAAATTTGTAGTTCTAAACCAATATATTGTAATAAAGCAATTTTCCTATAAATAATGCAAATAACTTCACATTTTTATTACATACTAAATCAGAGATTGAATCATGTTGTCTGGGAACATCTATATTACAATTTTAAACTGTGCATTTATGTACTTTATATCACCCATATTTCCATCTTGGTTATGAATTTTAGTTTACATTCAACAAAAATTGTTAATAAATTGTGGAGTTGCTTTAAATTATGATTAACCTTGTGAAAAGTGAAATGGGGATAAAAATACATGTACACATACATAAATATGTGTTTTGCCACCTTAGAAAGCCTGTCATTCAGCAATTGCCAGGAGATTCTATATGCATAAAGAAATTAAGACTCAGAGTGACAGAATTAAGAAATTAGTACTGTAAAATCCCAACAATGTAATATTAGTTTCAACTGGTATACTTTAAATCATAACTAATATCTAATAAGACTCCAGAGTGGTGGTGACCAGCTTATTTGGTGGTGACATCAGAAATAAAGTTGGCCAACAAGAAACAGTATCTCATGCCTACCTATATCACTAAGAAATAAACACATTTATACAAATATTCATTTCAACCATTTCTCAATCTTGGCAACTGCAGATGTATTAACTAACCTCCAGAATTCCCAGACAATATGACCATTACTGAGAATTCTGGAAGTCAAAATCCACAAATCTGAAAGTCATACCAAGATTAAAGAAACACTGGGTGGTGGGTGGGACAAAAGAGGATTTCCTGGAGATTCAAATATGTTTCCAGGTTTCTTATAAACTCTCTGAGCATTCTTTACACTCTTTCCCAAACAGAGAAACATACCATGCTGTGTTGAACTTCTTTAAGTGATTGCTTTTTTCTCCACAGAGCACAAATTATTTCTTGATTTAAATTTATATGCAATAGTTGGAGTTTTTCTTTTTCTTTCTGAAATATCCTTTATTATGATTTAACAATTTTTATTTATTAATCATTTTATTATGACTTATGCTTTATTTCGAACTACAAAATTCCATATCTTAAGTTCTCTTTTTAAAATCATTTAAAATCATCTGACTTTCTCAGTGTTATTGAAGATTAAAAAATTGACCTGATATGCTCACTATCGCAATGTCAAAGGAAATGGATGAAATAACCCAACTTTCATTCATTTAGATAATATAGAAAATCGTAACTATTGTTGTTTAACCAAGAACAAAATCATGATTACAGGCTCATATTAAAAGCTTTTCACCAGAATTCATCTTGATCATACTTCTAGTTCTGAAGGACACAATAAGTCAAATTAAAATATCTCTTTGTACTGTATATGGGCTGCATATGGTCATGGGCTGCATTCATAGTGAATACTAAAGTCAAAAGGTTTTTTTTTTCCATAATTATTCATTAGCCAAGGCAGAGGGAATTTTGTTAGCTTGGTGAATCTGGTTAAACTTAATGAGAACAGGCTTTAGATAAATTAATTTGAATGAAATTAAACTTAACTATACACCCCAAAATAGCTAAACAAGCAGGTTAAAAACAATCACATTATGCCTTATATTTATCTTTGAATTAGGACTTAATTATTAAAGACCATTAATCACCATGAGGTTATCTAATACTGTATTCAATCTAAAGTGGAAGAAAATATTACTAATAGCCAGAGGGTCATACTAGAAGAAGAAACAGGAAAGGAAACTATTTTAAATGTACTGTTGTAACACAGAACAATATACTGTACTTCAAAGAAGCCAGGCAGCTCAAAACTCCATGAAAAAAATTAAATGTCGATTACCTGGCCATTGAGCTGGTGTAGTATTTGGTGTTACTGTTTCATCTGAACTTGCTGTTCTTAGAGAATGCCGATGAGAGAGCAGCAATGTCTGATAAATCATTCCAGTGAACTGGTTTGCTTGCAATAAACTATTTTTTTAAAACAACAACAAAAGTTGTAAAAATTAATGATGGATTTTCAGGTATTTTGTTTGACTATAATGGTGAATCACATTTTACTTAGCTTAGCCATTTTATACATATTCTAATCAAGAGTGTTAATAACATTAGCTGTTAAAGAGCTACATTTTTGCATTATGATCTATTATTAGGCAACCTGCTATTTAAAGTCAGCTTCAAAGTGAGATTGATTACTGAATACATTAGTGATTTACAACTATTACTAAGATCAGGGAAGCTTAACATTCAGAAACATAAAGTATCTGACTTAATTTTTGGACTTCCTTGCTTCTTCTTCACTTTTGTGGAGAAAGATGGCATTAGAAATGGTCATGTAGAAATAGGATTATGGATGGTTCTACAGCAGAGGTCCCCAATCTTTTGGGCACTAGGGACCAATGCCATGGAGAAAGGTTTTTATGCGGACCAGAGGGGATATGGTTTTGAATACTGCCTGCATCCTGAGGATGGAGCTTTGCTTTTTTGTGTGGCTTGCTTGCTGGCATACTACAGTCTGGTGCCAGTCCACAGACCGAGGTTTGGGGACCCCTATTCTCCGTACACACATTTATTATGCAGGAATTCTAAAACAGAGCTCCCCAACCTTTCCATGTTGGCGGCCTGGAGTGAAAGGGAACAGGAAAATGTACATGCGCACATGCGTGCATGCATGTGCAAAACAGGCACCTGCATGGCAGTGGCCCTATCAACCACATGCCTGTGAAATCAGGCCATGAGCACCCACAGTGGCGGCAACGCATGCACGCATGCACAAACAGGCTGCTAGTGCCAGCATGATGCTGGCAGTGGTGCTAGCGTCCCATGCACACATAAATGGGGCCATTGGCACCCACGCGGTGGCACTAGGGCAAATGGGGAGGGCGCATGCACACGTGCAAACACTCACCAGCCATTCCCGCAGCCTGGTAGCCAACAGACCACGGCTCGGTACCGGGCTGTTGCCCACAGGTTAGGGAACTGTGCCCTAAAATACTGACAACTAATCTTATAGTTACATGGCAGCTGTTTTTTTCCTGTTTTATTGTGATTGTTCTTGAAGACTGCTTGGAGAAGTCCCTGCAGTTTTCTTGGCAAGGTGTTTTGCTATCGTCTCTTCCTAGGGGTGAGAGAAAGTGACTGGCCCCAAGTTATCCGCCTGGTTTTGTGCCTAAGGCAGGATCAGAAATCTTCTGGTTTTTAGTCTTATGCCTTAACCACTGCATCAAATGAGCTCTCACATTACAGCCTAAATAACCTTCAAAATACTAAATCTCATGAAATCTCTTGTGAAATTGTCAAAATATTAGGAAATAAAAGAATCCAAATTTGTATTAATATTTGCTCATGTTATTCATAGTTATGACATAGAACCTTAATCCTTTGTTAAGAACATTTTCCAAGCAGATTGAAAGAAAATATTTAATAAGCTGGTCCATACTGCTTTGTAAAACGTCACAAAAAGAAAAAAAAAATTCCCAGCTTATATGTTTGCTTGAAATGTATGAATTTTACATCTCATTTCTTCAATAGCAAATAACAAGCAGATTCAAACTATGTTTGAGTGAGCCAGTACACCTAATCCTATATTGGCAATATAATTATTTCAACTTTCAGACAATGTTTGCAGCCTTATCAGAAGAAACTAGAAATGGAATAAAGACCCTTCCACATGCTTGTCAATTCTCAGATACATAATGATTTCTAATACAAGTAATATGATATTAGCAGAAGCGATCAGGAAACAGCGAAGTCTAATTATGAGAAAAAATCAGCATGGGATATCTGTGAGCCAGGTCTACTTCATTAATCAGTTGCTTTTTATGTCTGATCTGAGAATTTTTTAGCTTTTCTTATATTTCTAATTTAACTAAGTTAGCCAATTTAACATTAGATAAGTAGACCCTGATTAAGCTAACAATCTAAAATAAATGTATTTGTCAGTATTATAGTTAGTTAAATACGAATATTGATTCCCAAACTATAAAAATGTAATGTGGAGATGAAGATACAGGCGACAAAAATGGTAATAATCTTTAATGAATATCATATCATACATTAACTATAGTGCTGTTGAATTACACCTTTTCTTATATTGAGGTCGTAGTACTTTAGATTATCAGAGAATAACTAACCCCATTTTTGAAGAATACAGGTAGTTCTCAATTTATGACCACAATTGAGCCCAAAATATATGTTACTAAGTGAGACATTTGTTAAATAAGTTTTGTCCTATTTTACGACTTTTCTTGCCATGACTTTTCTTTTCTTTCTTGTTAAGTGAATCATTAATTTAGTAACCCAGTTGTTAAATTAATCTGGTTTCCACACTGATTTTGCTTGTCAGGGGTTGCAAAAGGTGATCACATGACCCTGAGACACAGCAATGGTGATAAATATGAACCAGTTGCCAAGCATCTGAATTTTGATCACATGAACACTGGGATGCTGCAATGGTTGTAATTGTGAAAAAATGGTCATGTCACTTTTTTCAATGCTGTTGTAACTTTGGACAGTCCCTAAATGAACTGTTGTAAGTCAAGTACTACCTGTACAAGCAAAGATATAATAAGAGGTTAACATTTTATGCATTTTTATACCAAATTTTGATTGTACCTGATAGAAGGGAAAAATAAAAATTACCTGCAGTTATGACCCCCACAGAGAGACTGGTATATGCAAGCTGATAAAGATGCTGCTAATGTGTGCATTACCTGTATCTGGAAGAAACACACATTTCAGACAAAATTATTCAGATTATCTTGAATCCCTTGTTTTCATTTTACTTGCTCGAGAAAGCTATTCATTTAAACATAAAGTAAACAACTCCCAATATACATATAAATATTAATATGGCCATCATTATAGTAATTAATGTAATATTTTTTTAAAAAAAAGTTCAGTAAAAGACTGTCAAATTATAAATACTTGCCTGATTATTCTGTACATCTGGATGGGGCGGAGAGTCAAGAGAAATGATAGCATGTAGTATATCATGTGTCAGGTTACTAAGATGCAATAATGGATTGGCCACCACCGTTTTGGCACTTGCGGTACAGGCAAAAAGAAGAGGTATTGCACTCTGCTCAGATACAATATTACTATACGATTGCTCTGAAAATTCCTTTATAAATAGGATGGAAAATAAAGAGTATAATTTGATTTTCAAATTTCTTACAAAGATGAGTTTGCTTCTATACCCACACATACACATTGACACAATGTTAATTGGAATAATTCTCTTTTATCACCCAGAAATGTCAGTAAAGGTGGAAGAAAACAAGGAATCCAAATTTCTTGTGGGGAAATGTTTGTTTAAATTACAATAAAGTCTAGGTCCAGTGACTAACAGGCTGCATGACTTTGATTTTTCTAGGCCAAGGTTTCATTAGTTGCTCTACTAAGCTTTTTTCCCCCAAACTTCCACTTCAGTTTCCATTTTTAGAAAACTGGAAGTTCAAATACTGGAAGTACGAACCTAAAACCTTTTTAAAGAGAAAATCTGGAATTTACTGGTTTTTCTCTGAAAACAAAATTATAAAGATATAGCTCAAACAATCAAGCATTCTAGGTGTAGGGCCAGAAATATATGATTAAATTGGTATAAGCTAAAAATAGTTGGCTAGTAATTTATTTCAATTATTATGTATTAATATTTAAGGCCAAGGCCAATCAATCAGGAAAAACCCCCCTCTATTTACCTGTTGGGATTCTTGCAGAAGCAAAATGAGTTCCATTCGTACAGATGCCAAGCCTCCACCATGAGATCCATGGAGGATGCAGTAACTAAGAAACATTCGCAAAAGTGACTGGTATTTTATAAGCCAGTGTCTTCTTTGAATATTTTCTTTTAGTTGTATATCTGACAGGTCTTCAGTTCTTTCATTTAAAGAATTTTCACCGATTAGTGGGATGATTTCTGCCTGAGAATCATCTGCTTCAATATTGTATTCACATGTCTTCTGAAGGGCTACCACCTCCCTTTCAAGCCAATTATATAGCTGGTATCTTAATTTTCCGCCATCTACTTCATAGCCAGTGGATAATGTTCGAAGTTCCTCTGTAAGAATCTTCAGGCATGCCCTAAATTTCAGTTGTACACAAATGATGTCTTCTGATGAAGCTAAGACATCATTTTCACTTCCTGAACTGTAGGATTCAGTGCAGCAACTAACTTCATTTGTTTTTTCACCTGCTATCTTCTGCAAAGGTTTCATTACAAGGCAAGAATCCTCACTTTCCTCATCTTTGTCACTGTCCCATTTTAATTCCAATGGGTCATCTTGGAAGACTGCAGCTGGCTGACTCCAATCAAACAAAGCATTAGAATTTGAATATTTGTCTGATGAAACATCTGATAATGGCCCTAAACCATTTAGTACTGGTTCTGTCCTGTCAGTACTGAAAAACTGGTCATCCTTTGATTCTACCGGCTTTGGAGAAGAAGGTGAATATTCTTTACTAGTGTTCCTTAAACTAAATGTTCTTCTTAAACACTTTGATTTTTTGACCACTTTAGGCATCTTCGATAATACTTCTAAAGCCAACATCGGACAGCCAGATTTCAAATGAGTATATGCTGCAGTAAAGAATAATTTTCTTTCCTCTAAATTGATTTCATCTGCAAGTCCTTTTTCTCCTGTTACACATATCCTTGTGGAAGATAATTCAGAAGACCCAAAATGGCGTCTCAGCAATAAAGGATGTGTCCTTAGATAATTATAAAAATTGAATACCGAAGGGCTACAGTTTGAGAAGCTTCCTTCATCTATAAAAATATCACATGAAAGAATAACGAAAAATTTATTTTTTAAAAGAAATAAATCAGATATTGTCTTGCTATCAATATTATGACACAACATTTATACCCTAAGGCAACACAGATTCCCATTGAATTGTAAGAACACAAAAAGTCTAATCATCTTGTTCAATATATCTACTCTGCTTCTTAAAGTGACAAAATGATTTATCATGAAATATTTAAGTCTTTTCCCTATATTTCTTATATTTTATTCCATCTCAGTATGATTCCTTAACATTAATTGTTGCAATAATCACAGAAAGCTTCAAGATGATGCTTTGGGATAACAATATTAATAAACATAATAAAAACAAACTTCAGCTAATGAGAGAAATCAGTACCTATAATGTTTTGTGCTTCAAGTAGTGTCCTTCGTTTAGATGACACTTAATCATTTCAAAATCACCATTAGTTGGTTTGGAGGCCACAATTCCTCACCATACATGAGAACTACCCATGACAATATGTACAATATTACATACTACTAGAAGAGTTTATTTAACATTTTAAAGCTAATTTAACATGCACATATTCCAAAGGTAAATTTAAATTGCCTCAGCTTACCTTCATCATTCAAAATGGGATGGTTTAAAAGAGTATCAAGAGCATGACCATATTTTTCCAAAATCCAATAAGCCATACTTCGGAGAAAAGGATCAAAATGTGGTTTTGATGGACTTTCAGTGGAATGAGGCTTACTTCCCAGAATTTTCTTCTGAAGAATTGATTTGTAAGTACCAGATATTTCAAATTCTGATTCATATAGTCTTGCAATTACAAGAGCTAGCTGAATATCATTTAATTTCTCTAGGCAGACCTAATTAAAACAAACAAAGGAGTGTTGTTTTTTTAAAAAAAAGATCCAATCAGAAATAAGAAACACAGGCTTATTTTAGTTCAGGATTATGTATGCAGCAATCCAGATACCTCTGGAGTATTTTTACAGATAATATGGAGGCTTAACCTTTTTCTGCTGTTGTTCCTTTACTACTGGTTTTTGGGGGCATGATACTTGCAGCCTAGACATAACATTGCATCTTCATCTTGAGAGACCTATCCTTCATGAATTTCTCCTACCCCCTTTTCCCCAGTGTCCCAGATATGCTTGCCTTTTCTCATAGGAAAAATGTTCAAGACCCCTATATCATTTTGGTTACCCTCTTATGCACCTTTCCCGCTTTATTGTGTTGTTTTTCATATATAGCTGTTAAAATAGTACATAGGCTTACTTAAGTAAGATGGCTCACGCTTGATTTGATGGCATCACAATTATACTCAGCCTATAGCAATAGCACTTAGACTTATATACCACTCCATAGTGCTTTACAGCACTCTCTGAGCATACTGCCCCCAACAACCTGGCTCCTCATTTTACCAACTTCAGAAGGATAGAAGACTGAATCAACCACAATCAAACTTCAGGCTATGAGCAGAGTTAGCCTACAATATTGCAATACAGGGCCCCTTAGATTGCAAATTCGTCCTTTTCTCCATTCTGTATTAAAACATAGTTTAGCATTCTATAGTATTCTCAGCTCCTTTTGTTTTGTATAGACATTGGACAAGGCTATTCCTGTTTTCAATCAGTTTAAGTGTACTGTATGTTCCGGCGTATAAGACGACTGGGCATATAAGACGACCCCCAACTTTTGAGAAGTTTTTCATGGTTTAGCAAGTCATCTTATACTCCGGAAAATATGGGTACCTTAACTTTCTAATAAAAGTAATGTAAGTCTTAAACACATTAGCATTTCATTATATTTCATCGCTTGTTCCTGATCTGCTGAAGACAAATGTAGCTGGGTAACATCCCATAATAAGCATGGGGATGCACTTGTGAAGCTTTGCAGTATATGAGGAACTGCCTCACCCCAATGGGACTAGCTGGCCCCTCTCGTTCAAGTGGAAGCAGCCTAATTTGGATCCCACTGACCAAAGAATTTCTGCTGCTGGGCTCCAGGAGAAGATTTCTGCTGTGCCCCCTCCAGAATATTCTACCATCAGAGGTGAAATTCCCCCCCCCCAACACACAAAACATAATCCTGGCCTTCTGGCAGAGCCAGAAGTTCCAGTTGACGGTTAAGCCAAAGGTTGTCTGGGGCCCCTGGTAATGGATGCCCTGCAGCGGGGATGGCCCGATGGGATTGTCGGAGGCCAAGACTGCCATTTTGTAGAGTCTGCTGAACACCCCCGTGTTACCGACGCTGTTGATCTCCATGGTGGAGTTGAGGTCATTCTTCCAGGTGCCGATCAGGGAGGACTAAAGGAGAGCGGGAGGGAGGAGGAAAGCAGGTTGCAGTGCTAACCAAGCCCAGCTGTCCAACAGGTAGAGACTTTGGATCCATTTTCTCCGTGAGATCTGAAAACACCCTCTACTGCCACTTGCCCAACCCCCAAGGCTGCCCACGCCAGGTGAGGCTGGCAAAGGTGGCGCATCCTAAAGTCTGTCGGTGGAGGCCTGCCAGACTGCTTCCGTGACGACACCCTGCGGGCGGATCGCTCTGTCATGTGCACAGTGAGAGCACCAGCCACAACGGCAAGTTTCCAAAGAAGGAGGAGCATGGAGGAGGAAACGCTGAGTGTCCGTCTGTCGGGATCCCAGGGCTTCTGGTGCTCAGCGCGACGGCACTAGGTGTGGTCAACCCCGAGGAAGCGGCACACTGCGCAGCCCGCCAGCTCCCACCAGCTGCTCCTGCAGCCCACCCGAGCAGAGGCTGGTGGCTGAGGGGATTTCCCCGGGGGAGGAAAAGCCCCGCTTGCACCGCCTCCCTCCACCACCCTAGATTGGGAGGGGCAGGATCCCTGCCCAAGAGGCAGATGCTTCTGTGAAATCGCTGGCCTTCTGCGAGCGCTGAGCAGCATTTCGGCAGCAAGGGGGACAGGGGCACTTCTTCTCGGGAAGCCCCCGCCACTGACCCAACATGGGCATTCTTACTTGGCTGGCTCTCCGCCAGCGCTTCTCTCCCACTATTGGTCCGCCAACACTCCAACCTTGCCCCTTCCTCCCGGCTGTTTCTCGGAGGGACACTTTTCTAGGGCTATTTGGCTGCGTGGGACACTTAAACTCTCATCCAGACAGCCAATCCCCGCACCAAGGGGTGAGGAGCATGGGGCGCAAGATACGGGGGAGCTTGCTTTGATGTACCGTATTTTCCAGCATATAAGGCAACTGGGCGTATAAGACGACCCCCAACTTTTGAGAAGATTTTCATGGTTTAGAAAATCATCTTATACGCTGGAAAATACGGTACTATAATATTTATATTCATATCTGACAGAACCGTATTTAGATGATGCTAATAAGCATATACCTGTTCTTGTAGTCAGACTACTGAATCTCACTGGACTTCATCCATAACATTCAAATCTGCTTATACTATTAAAACAACGAGTGTGTGTAAATACATGATTAGATGTATTGTAAATTCTTTCAATAATCTAAAAAAACATATTACTTACCTCAATGGCATCTTTTAAGTGACCAGCCAATAAAAAAAATGCTGTAGAATGTTCAAAACGTTGCTTGCCTAGCAGTGAAAAAGCATTCTTCAGTGCTGCTTTACGCCATCTGTCTTCTGTAAAATTGTTTCCAAAGAACTGTGTCATTTTAGTATCTTTTAGGGACCTGCCAATGTAATCATTTATAACTATTAAGTCATGATGTACAGAAAGAAAGGAATAATTTATATTTATCAAATTTTTAAAATCAAGCTGCTGCTAAAATTCTACATGTGCAATTAGAAATGACCAATATTTAACTTGGGTACTCTGCTTATGATACAATAAAAATACTCATATGAAATGCCATGTTAAAAATAAGGCACATAAAATAATGCTTTTCAAACTTTTGGTAGTTATAAACGCCTTGATAAAAGATTTTGAAGCTGGGAGGACTGCCCAGGTAAACAAAGCCCCTATATTCTGGTCCTTAAGAGTATGGGACTTCACATTCATTTATGTCTTTCCATTCCTTTCATTTATATTCTTTTAAATGAAACTTTGATTCTAACATTTCAATCCAAATTTAAGTATTTATTTATCACTTGAAATTTTATGCACCCCTCCAAGTAGGTTCCTCCATAGAAACCTCTTTAGTATCACTGAGGATTATTCTGTTTATTCTGTTTCTGTTTTGTATATGGTGACTCATATCTGGCTTGATAGCAGATAGCCTGTGTTTTAGTTGAAGTTCTATATCTAATTGTTTCCTTTTATTATATTGTATTTCTATTAGTGCTACAAAAGTACAGCCTCGAGTAAAAATGTGGAAGTTGCTTGGCATCAAACCTGGATTGTCTAGCACAGGGGTCCCCAACCCCTGGTCTGTGGACTGGGCCGTGGCATACCAGCAACTGGCCCACACAAGCAAAGCCCCATCCATGGGATGCAGGCAGCACACAAAACCATGCCCCCTCTGGTCCATAGAAAAACCCCTATCCATGTAACCGGTTTAAATTTTATTGATTCAGATTCGGGAATCGAAGTTAATTAAGGGTGTAAAGATAAGGAAGAATGAGTATAAATTGCGGGCATTTGCGGATGATTTGGTTTTAATTTTGGAACAGCCGAATCAGGCGATTGATGGTTTATTAGAACTTATAACACAGTATGGGAATGTTTCTGGTTTTAAAGTTAATAATTATAAGACTAAGATATTATCTAAGAATATGTCAGTTAAAGAAAGGGAAAGTTTGATTAAAGCCACAGGTTTTCAGATGGTAAAAAAGGTTAAATACTTGGGAGTATATCTAACTGCTTCAAATGGAAAATTGTACAAGAACAATTATGAACCACTATGGGCAAAAGTCCAAAAGGATTTAATAGATTGGAAAAAATTGCAATTGTCATTGTTGGGGAGAATTTCAGCTGTAAAAATGAATGTTCTACCAAAGTTTCTTTTTTTGTTTCAGATGATACCTATTCTTAAAAAAGAGGCAAATTTGGAGGAATGGCAAAAGGGTATCAATAATTTTATATGGGCCGGGAAGAAACCAAGGGTTAAATTTAAGATATTACAGGATGCTCGAGAAAGAGGGGGACTTAAGGCACCCAATTTGAAATTATATTATGACGCAGCCGCCCTAACTTGGTTGAGTGATTGGCTTAATTTAACAAATATGGATATTCTTTTTTTGGAAGGTTGGGATTTAATATATGGTTGGCATGCATATTTAATTTTTAATAAGAAAGTTGATCGGACTTTTAAATCACATATTTTGAGGAATGCTTTACTTCGTGTTTGGAAGAAGTATTATTATAGATTAAATTATAAAATACCTATCTGGGGGATTCCCAGACATGCAATTGAGGGAACCTCTAAGGGGACAAATTTTGATAAAATTTCATATAAAGAATTGTTAATTTGTTCTGGTTCGAATTGGCATTTGAAATCCCTAGATGTATTAAGGCAGCAAAATATTCTACAGTCATGGTTTCAATATTTACAAATAATGGATAGATGGACTGTAGACAAGAAAGAGGGAATAACACTAGAAGATAGACAATTGGTTATTCAGATTAAAAACCAAGGTCCGGCTCATATAAAAAGAATATATAATGTTTTATTAGAGTTAGATTCGGAAACAGAATTGGTTAAAGATTGTATGATTAAATGGGCTCAGAATATACAGGAGCCGATCTCATTGGATTTATGGGAGATAATTTGGATAAGAAATGTTAAATTTACACAAGCTCAAAATTTGAGAGAAAATTTTTATAAAATGTTTTATAGATGGCATTTAGATCCTAAAAAATTATCTTGTATGTATTCCAACATACAGCCCAAATGTTGGAGATGTGGCAATAATGATGCGACATACTTTCATATTTGGTGGAATTGTAAAAAAGTAAAGGCTTTTTGGATTATGATTTGGTGGAACATTCAAAAGATTTTTAGAAAGAAGATAAAGTTTACTCCTCAACTATTTTTACTTGGTATTTTTGTTGACTTAAATGAAAAAGAAACTACTTTGATGTTGAATTTATTAACTGCAGCAAGGTTACTAGTAGGTCTATATTGGAAGAAAGATTCTTTGCCTACTTTAGAAGAATGGATATTTAAAGTATCTAGTTTTGCAGAAATGGCAAAAATTTCTGCTTATTTAAAGGATCATACACAAGAAAGATATATTACTGTATGGGGAAGGTGGATAGATTATATTCAGAAAAAATATGGAATTAAAAAGTTTTATTTATTTTATGAATGAATATCAAATATTATAGAGAATTGTTTTATAAGTTATGGAGTTAAAGGTTAATTATGATATTTTTTTTCTTTCTCTCTTTTTTTTTCTTTTTTCTTAATTATTATAATTTTCTTTTTCTTTTTTTTTCTTAACCCTGTATTCTGCTCTGGGAAGTGAAGGGAGGGGGGGTGGGGGTGGGAGGGAGGGTAAGGGGGGGTTCTCTATTTTAAAATTTTATTGTATTTTTATAAATGATTGTATGTTTTAAAAAATAAAAATTTTCATGTAACCGGTCCCTGATGCCCAAAAGGTTGGGGAACTCTAGCAGCTGAAGAGGATGAAATTCAACTTTGGAAATGCCTCATGGATTGCTCATGAAATACAGTCATATTGCAGTTAAATTTCCATCTTGTACTTCTGAACTTTGCTCATTGTTGTTTCAAAGCATGTAAAGGAGGAAAGCATGTAAAAAGAACAGACAGGGCCAAAAGATGGAGTACTTTTCTGATAGCTGTAAAACATTTGTCTACTGTTGGAAGAAGCATGTAGTTAACAATGGCGAGTTAGCTTGATATAGTAGTTAAGGCATCAGGCTAGAAATTATGAACATGGAGGAACTATATATTTATTATATTATATTAATTATATTGTCATGTCATGTCATATTATATTATTATATCCCTGAAAAGGGCCCAGCAGTGTTGATATAAATTATGTAGTAGTTCTAAGCTAACTTGAGTTCAAGAATTGAGATCCTGAGGAGCTTGAAAAACATTGTAGGTATTTCATAGTACATAAAGGACATTAAGGAACAACTTCTCTCTCTCAATAGATTTATCATCTCTCTCTCTCTCTCTCTCTCTCTCTCTCTCTCTCTCTCTCTAGATTGTTCCTTAATATCCTTTATGTACTACTGGAATATCTATTACTTCTACCAAGTAGTAGGAATGCAAGAAAACTAGTTGTAATGTGTACTGAATTAAATTCTGTTATAAAATTGTACCTGTATAGTCCCCAAATTACAGCCTTTTTTTTCATTGCAAGATAGAAAATGGCTGCATCCAAAGGATCATTGTTTCTTTGAAAGGCTGCTTTAGCGACCTGAAAGGATAATAGTAAATGCTGTGGTTACAAATGTAGTATTTTGTCATAGTTACGTTCAGAAAAAATTCTGAGCAATTACTGAAATAATTTATATTTAATATACAGAAATAGCTAAACCAACTCTATTTATAAAACATATATGATTTTCCTTTAGAAATGAAACCATTATTTATAAAAAATAAATTTTATATTGTATGTGGATAAGAGATTTATCTTCTAGCAAGCTTCTCGGATTTCAGGCTTAATATAAAATTAGAGAACACCTTTCCCTTGATCAACTGCTTGCATGAAATCTCATGCAGTCCTGTGAATGCAGTTTCTAATAGCTCATAGCTACTCTGCTATTGCTTAAATAAAGGGGTGATATAAATATACGAAAAGCAAAAGTTTGCTCTGAATACATTCATGCCTGGTAATTTTGAAACCTACCATCAGAGTTATATAAATTTATATAATTTATAATTATAATTTTCATCTTGTACTTAAATTGCTGAGGACTCCATATCTGGTCAGGGGGAGCACTAACTGACCTGAAGTAATCTAGGAATAGTTGAACATCTTACTAAAATAAATCCAATTAACATTTCTGCTGCTTAAAAAAATTAAGCATAGTAAACATTGCAGATTCTATATCCATATAAGTTAAGAAAAATCATGAATGGGTTGTTCAAAAGGTGTATGTCTCTCCTTCAACTATCTAGGTAGGACACTCTAGTAAGAAATCTCAGCAGGTAGCACTACTTTGTCCACTTTGTTTGGATTTGACTATAAGCAGGTGACACCTTGTTTTTACTTGTAAAGGAAATCATTTGGGGATGTAGATTAGAATTTTGGAACAAACAGTACAATTTTTCTGTACTGATGTTAAGGAAACAATATGGCTGTGTCCATGTAGTTATCAGAAATCAAGCTTAACAAAAAGAACAGTACTTTTACTTTACAAAATTCATTGGGTGAATCACTTTAAGAGTAAAAATATTAAGTCCTCTTTAGTTCATCTGGTTGTTCACTGCCATTTCTTAAAAATGTATCTATTGAAAATAATTAAAATTTATGTTTCTACTTACTACTTCTACTTTATCTCTCTCTTTATAAAAATAAAGTCAGATATAGTTATGTCAATAGTTCAAGTGCAAACTTCAGTTTTGTTAAAGGCAAAGTGTTTGTCACATATGTTCCTTTAATATTAATCAACAGGTGTAAAACTGGCAGACAAAAATATTATCTGCAGCGATACTGTATAATTATATTAGAATTATAATATGTGACTACAGAAGATGAACTATATACAAGCCAACAGTAATAAAGGTAGAAAAATTGCTCATGGGAAGCTATTTCATGGAAACATTCCTTTTCAATCTTTTTTCTAATCCATATTTAAAAAAAAACATTCTGCTTAAAAAAATCTGAAAAATATATCATCCACTCTAATATCTAAATGAAACATATAGCAAGATACAACCTAGTTTGTTATAAACTGTCTTTACCTTCTCAATGCATCTGCGCAAATTATGGGTATTTCGAACCCACCATCCTATTCCCATAGCTCTAAGTTCGGACCATGTTGGATCACCTTTTTGTATTGCAGGAAGCATGTTTAGAAGTTCTTCTTCTGCAATAGAGTGAAATGCCCAGGCAAAATGACTTGAAGACAAACCTGAAATAATCACAAATAATTATGAAATAATTATTTATGTTATAATTGATAAAATAAAATATATTACCTTTAAAATATTTAGTGATTCTTTTTCTGATACTTAATTTTTTTAAAAAAAGAAGTTGGTGACATGAAGTAGCATACAAAAAAAATCATGTCATCATAATTTATGTGCATGATTAATTACTTGCAAATAGGTACACTTAAAAAGTTGTAAAACACAAAATATTTAAGCCTGTATGCCAAAATTAAAACAAAAACTAAGGTCCGTACTTAACTGTTTAAAGATACACCTACACCCACAAGAATTAATGATCCTCTCCTAGAGCCAAAGGAGTTAACAGTCAGAAAAACCTGTAATATTCAATTGTTCATTGCATCTCTTCATTATCAGCACTATTCCAAAGGTTTTCCATCTCAGAAGCTCACATTTGTTCAGAAACAATCCTAGTTATGTCTAAAATATTGTTCTGTTTTGCATTAGTGTCTCACAGAATGAAGAAAGTATTACCTTGATGTAGTAGCTGAGCTCTGTGAGCAGGTGGCAGAGACGTTGTCATAAAAGTGTGAAGACGAACTGCCAAAAGAAACTTCAAACCACATTCGTCAAGTGTTTCTCCTCCTATGAATGAAGATTCAGTCTACAAAATGAAACTCTTTAAACAAAAGTCTATGATCATTTGCCATATTTTCCATTATTTATATATTTTAAGCCTTGTTAGACATAGTTTCATAATATAGGGAATGGGTAACAAATGATTTTAAAGCAATCAACAATTAACATAATATTTAGTAACATAATTATAGCAGACAAATAAAGCCCTACAATATTTATTTTATTTTATTTAAAATCAATATTACTAAATTCAGAAGAAAATGTTGCTGTGAAGGTAAAGGTTGCCCCGTAACTATTGCAGTATATGGAAATTTGCAGTCCATATAGATAAAAAGGTAGCTCTTCTAGTTTTCAAACTTCAAACCTTTAAACAAAATCTTTCTATTTGTAAAATACTTTCTTAGGAAGTAGCAAACTTAATGCTAAAAAGAACAGTAACTATGGAACACAGGTAGAAAAAGAATTTAGAGAATCATATTAGTGTGAAATAGTATAGGGTTTTCTGAAATGGTATAGGGTTTACTGCCTGAGCAGGGGTTTGACTAGAAGACGTCCAAGATCCCTTCCAACTCTATTATTATGTACACTTTATTATATTATTGTTGTTGTTGTTGTTGTGTCTTTTAATTAAACTACAGTATTAATTTTCTTTGAGTACTTCCCAAATCAAATACATTTTATTTATTTATTGAATTTCTATATCTCAACCTGTGATTTTGTGTGGCTTACAGTTCTAATTACCAAATTTAGTCTACTGTATATCGTTAAATTTCATATAGGCCAGTAGCCTTCATAATTAATTGATGTATTCTTTATTAACAGTGCTATCTAATAAGGTTTAGAAGATTTATTTATTTATTTGGTAAGTTAAGTATAGACAGGACTGTTAAAAAGAAAATATGGATTAGTTATTACAAAACGTACCTTTGCTTCTGTCTCTGCTTTCTCCTATATCAGTACTGGTAATGGCAATTGTATCAGCTAAAGCCATCAATAGCATCTGTTCCATCCTGGTAAGTCCTGGTAAGCTAGAGTGAAGCAAGTGCCGAGAAAGAACTTGGGCATGCTCTTGTCCAAAGTAAGTTGGATTATACTGAGAAAGATCAATAACTTTTGGCTTTTTGTCATCTTCATCTACTTCAATTGTAGTTAGTTCATCTGTATACAGGCTGGAATTTTGAAATAGATCCTCATAATTTTCATCAGTCACATGTTTGTTAGAGTTTTTTGGAGTATTTGACTTTTCAGTACAAGCATAGGAACATTCTTCATCAGCAGCAAGCAATGCATACAAAGGAAGAGGTGGAACAGAATCTATTTCTGTATAGTCTGTTATTACACATCTGTTAAATGTCATAGGGTCTCTTGTACTGCTCCCACTAGCACAGATTGAGAGAGAACGGTACCTTTTCTCATGGCAGGGATCATTTATAGCAATAACTTCTCCAGCAATGGATTTGACTAGATGAGATAAAATGGCCTTTGCTCTACGTACTTTCCCTAAATCCATGAGTTCCAAAAGTTGCACAGGATGATACTGAGGTAAAGTAGGACATAATGAATGAGCTGCTTCAAAAAGACCAGAATCTTCCATCTCCAGTGACAGATCAAATACAGTTCGTTTCCCACCAAGTTTTTGAGCAAAGCTAGTCATGGATCTGTTTAATGTTCGTTTTGATGGGGGAACACCATACAACTGGCTTTGTTTAACTAAACTTGTTATGGATGGTGTACTACCACTGTAAGAGTCTGCAGTAATGGGATCTTGCTTTGAAAATGGCTGCCATTGAGAATAAACATGCATTTCACAATCCATCCCAACTACAAGGATGCCATCACGAACCCAAGACAAAGAAACTGGTAAAGGAGGTGACCCCTCTACTGATGAGACCAAGTCCACACATCGTAACAGTATAAATCTAGATGTACAAGAGGTTTTAGCATTTTCCCATACTGGCAGTACAAGCATTTCCTTGGCACTTTGTTCCTGTATTTTCCCAGCCAACTGACCAAACATATAAAGCTTTGAACCAATGCTTACTGTTAATATATGAGAGCCATCTTCCCTAGACATCCAGTCTAAATGAACCAAATGCTTTGTTCTGGATGTTAAGTTCTTATTTCCTATTGCCACTGAACTACTATTGACACTCAGAGAATCCAATGTTAGGTTTAGTTCATCTATATGAAGCGTTTGTTCCAAGTTCCAACAAGAGCCTCCTGAAGATTCACATTCAAAAATACCAACATTCACAAAAAAATCTTGAGAATTACTGTTTTGGGATGGTGTTTGCTTGTATGCCACAGCTAAACGATTTGTATGAGCACAGCTAATTTCAAGAGGTAAACCAGACACTTCAAGAGCACTGCTACTAAGATGTCCATCTTCAATAAGCAATGGCCATTCTTCCCATACATATGTAGCACTGTTCTTAGTACTCTCTGGTTTGGATAATACATCGGTTTCCTGTGTAATTCTACACCTCCAAAACCTAACTTTCCCATCTGAGCAAAGTGTTGCAAGAAGATAAGGAGTTTGGCAGACTGGATAAATTGAAGAAGAACTTAAGTGACCTAAGATTAAAAAATAAAAATCCTTAGAATAGAATAGAATCCTTAGAGGAAAAAAATCAGTTGAATATGAGATTTTTAAGCAATTTTGTCAAAACTTAAAAGAGCAAAGTTTAGTTTATAAATCCAACAGTTTACTGTTGTAACATGGCGTAACCTTTAAAGCAGTTTAATAGCTGTTTTTATATTAATTTTATTTAAATATTAGGCTTTCAAATTACTGTTAAGATTTAAGGAAAACTCTGAAGAAAAGCTTAGATGAAAATCAGTTAATACATAATTTCCTCTTACTCTATTTGTTTTTTAATTTACAAACCTGCTGATGGTTTAATGCTTACTATCTCCACTCCTTCTGGTAAATTCAACTCTTGACTATAGACAATTTCTGAAGAAAGAACTAACTGGCTGGTGCTCTGAAGATTATCTCTGCAAACTTGGTATTTCTTTGTGAAGGAACTGTGAAGCTTTTCTTGGTCTGGAGAAGGAGAATATAGTTGTTCTTGAGATGCTGTTTCAGAAGCCGTAGGAGATATTTTTTCATTTACAAAAATTGGGATATTTTATCTAATGTTTATTTAAAATACAATCAGGTCTATGAAATTTCAAGTTATTCTGAAATTACAATAATAACTAAATTCTGTGCTTACATCAACATATTTATTTTTCTACTACTTCTACTACTTTCATTACTACCTCTTTCTATATGGAAGTTTGATTGGCACTTTTGGGATTCTACATGCTTATAATAACCTTTTACTTTCTAATTCTTATGGATTAGTGCACCCAAGGTTTTTTTTTGTCACTGAACACCCAGAACAGAGTTCTGGCACCTTTTTTGGATGGAACCTTGTAGGGTAGCATGGCGGGTTGTATGATATGTGTGAGGGTTTTTTGTTTTTTTTTTTTTACAAAAAAAGCACTGAGTGCACCACCAAATACTAATGTATACATTGTCTATTCAGTCTTAGAGACGAAAGAGTTTTGAAATATTATTTTACTTTATTAATAATTTGCCTGTGCCTTTAGTCAAAATGTGTAAAATTTATGCGACAATGACAAAGAACAGTTAAAAACCATACTTATGTGTATTTGAAAAAGAATTCAGAAGTTATAGAACATGGAACTGAGAAATTCAATAATAAATACTTAATGAACTTATCCCACAATTACCAAATGAATACATTATTCAAGAAACATATTGTATAAATTCTTACATATATTTTACAAATATTTAGAACATACCCACTGAGACTGGCAGGGATTTCAAATGTAATTTCCACATATGTAACAGTGAGCAGTTTTGAGTATATTCAATTACAATTAAATAAAATTTTTCAGAAAATCCATTTTTCTGAAATCCTGCAAAAAAAAAAAAAAAAAAAAATTCAGTACAACACAGCAATTAAGAATTTCTCCAGCTGTTTACTGTTGCTCCTTTGTATGTTATGCCAATTTTAAATATGTGAAATTATCGAATTTTTACAGATTTAATCACATGTTGTCAAGAACATTCAGGTTAGTTTATTTAAGATAGTCATCTTTTGAAGACACAGATAATCCTGTTCAGAAGCTGTAATCTAGCACTTGCATTTGGAAACATGTTCATACTGATCAGAACTTAATTACAGGTAGTCTTCAACTTATAACAAATTGTTTAGTGATTATAATAATAATAGTAGTAAAGTTGGAAGGGACCTTGGAGGTCATCTAGTCCAACCCCCTGCTCGGGCAGGAAACCCTACACCATTTCGGACAAATGGCTGTCCAGTCTCTTCTTAAAAACTTCCAGTGTTGGAGCATTTACTGCTTCTGGAGGCAAGCTGTTCCACTGATTAATTGTTCTCACTGTCAGGAAGTTTCTCCTTAGTTCTAGGTTGCTTCTCTCCTTGATTAGTTTCCACCCGTTGCTTCTTGTCCTGCCTTCAGGTGCTTTGGAAAATAGCTTAATTCCCTCTTCTTTATGGCAGCCCCTGAGATATTGGAATACTGTTATTGTTTGAAATTACAACAGTAATTATAGTTCTCTACAGTTTATAATTCAAAAGTCTTCTTGGAACTAGTGGTACAACTACAGTAGTCCAAAGGCATCAATGGGACTTAATGTCCGTTATCAGATTAGATTAAATTTATCAAATTAACATTATTAAACAGAACTCTATCTAGTGAAAATTGGCCTTGTTAAAGTTAATGTATGAACTCCTCACAGATGGTTAATATTATTATGTTATGTTGTATGCAGGGCCTACTTTAAGGGTTGTGAAATAGTTGATATAGAGTTCAATGACCAACACTGAAAAATAAAATAAAATTTCACCCATGTTACTCCCTTTGTATATTTCTAAATGTTTTTTTTTAAAAACTATAAACGATATAGATGAGAAAAGTGCAACTGGTTCAAAAACAACATAAGCATTTCAAAGGTACAATCACAAACTGTCAGACCCAAAGTGGCTGAGACTGTTTTAAATTTTTTGTTTCTATGTTTATTATTTTTAAATTGCAAAGCTAAAACATAAACCTTTAAAATAATTAACTCCTGAACACATAGAGATCACAAATGCTCTCAGAAATACTCAGGCAAAAAACATTTTCCACATAAAAACCCAAATCCCACATTTGCACTAAATGTAAAAAAACATAATAAATATCATTTGATGCTGAAAATAAGTTTATAATACCAATTGGATATAGAGCAAGTGAGATTAAAGGAAAACAAAGTATGAATTGGCTACATTGCCTGCCTATAAGATTCTAAATCACAACTAAACAATTCGTGGCTTAGCATATTTTGCTGCTACATGAAATTTGCATTGAGATTGCAGCTAAAACTGATAACAATCTGATAATTTTCTAATTATGCACAGAGCATTATCTTTAATTTAGTCCAGAAGTCAATGTGATTTGAGAAAGGAGCTGCTGTAGCTGTTGGACCAATTTTAAAAACACTAACAGCAGCAACCTGCAGCACAGGGTATGTCTATATTTACATTCAGAGGAAAATCAGTTGCTTCTTCCTATTTATACTTCTCATTTTTGACTAATGTGTAGCACATGGTAAGAGGGAGGATAAAATGATTGTACTATTTCAGATTATAGACAAAAGCAACTTCTGAAGTTTCCTTCATAATAAACTCTTCATAAACATAAAACTTATATAGCAAGGCACCAACTAAAAATGGATATTTGTCCCAGAAGGACAACTCCTCCTTCTCCTCCCATGGAAATTCTTTTCTTTTCTTTTCAACTCAAGGATTTTTAACAATGACATATTTAATTTTTAATCAGAAGTTGTACAATCCTCTCTGTTCTCATTGTTCTATTTGGTTAGGCTCACACCCATACATCCTTCTTTCTTGTTGATAATTATTGCAGTTTTACATAAGAATAACATATTGAGTTTGGTAATATTTGCCTGGTGTGACTCTTTTTCTATGTTGTTTGAATAAAAATGAACTTAGGAAGGAGGAAATCTTTGACAGACATGCCTAATATCTAGGATATTGAATCTTTTTTAAGTGAAAAAATTTATTTATATTATTAAAATTTCTATCTTTCTGTTCCCAAAGTGCACAAGAGAAATTGCAAGTTATAAAATCTAAAAATAAAACACAGCAATTAAAATTAGGGATCAAATTGTATATATCAACACTTTCCCATTTCAAAGAAAAGGTAGAATTAAAACTCTTATTTGTATCTAAATTATTCATATTTTAGTGTAGAAAAAGAAATGTCTGTATCTGATTATAAAATGTATTATTTTACTACAAACATAATGTTACAAGCCAAAGTGCTTATTACACAATACATTTTATACATTATACTTACCAGGATCAAGTAGTATTGCCTCTTTTTCTGAGAATCTATTCTCAAGTTTATTCGTAATGAAATCTTCTTGAAAAACATGAAGTAGCTGCATTTTCTCACCATGCTAAATTAAAAACAGGTACATTTTAAATATAATAAACAGAGTGGCAACAATCTAAATACAGTAAAAAAAAGATTCAAGTTAATTAGTTTATGATATAAAATATTAAATACTTAGCTAACAATAAACACTTGGGGACTTTCGCTTCCGGATCATGGCACTTTCAGCCATACAAAGAGCTGTCGCTCTTTGTTGGCTGTTTTCTCTCTACCGGTAGACACTTATGCGGATCTTAAATCACCCTAGAGGGGTGACCACCGTCAAGGAGGCTTTTGCTCGGCTGCCATGGAGCAGCGGCTCCCCCTACAGTCCGAGCTAACTCCGTAGGGCCAATGGAGAAGATCGGTCAGTAAAATGGCCGATCACTTTGCTGTGCTAGCTGAAGTCAGAAAATCATCTAAGCATAAAGAACCACCGTGGTAAATCCGGGTGAGACCCTTCCTCCCTCTCTCCATTCTGAACTATTTTTCCTGCAAAGAGCTTGCTTTTTGGATGACTTCCCTGTTTTAAAAAAGCAACTTCAGTCTGTTTGAGGAATAATAATAATAATAATAATAATAATAATAATAATAATAATAATAATAATAATCCCCCAGTGAGGCACTACCTTGACGTGGTTGTGGGGCTTGTGTACTCTGAGGAAGATGAGAGCTATGCCAGAGGTTCAACCATACTGGACAGGTCTCATCAGAGGAGTCAGACAAAGAGTGTCTCTCCCATAAAAAATATGGTGAGACGTAAATTTCAGAATGCCATACCGGCTCGGACGTCGCCCGGGTTAACAAGGTCCGCGCTAGATATTGGAGTTCCTGGATATCTGGTGAAAAATGGGTTACAGGACTCAGGACTGTTGGCTGAGCAACCAGGGCCAGCAGCTGCAGAACTACTGGAAGAAAAGGTGTTTACCCGTCGCAGATACACAGTGATGGAAAACAAAGAAATAATGATCTGTTACTACAGATCAAGTCCAACAAGACGAGGATATCTAAAACGAATGCACCAATTCTGGAAAGAACAGCATCCAGAATCAGAAATAACAGAACAGAGACTAGCAGATCAACGCCGATTTATAACACGAAATAAAGTATTCACAGAAACAGAATTGGACGAACTGCAAAGGTTTACCCAGGGCAAAGAAATCAAAGCCTTACCAGAAGTAATTCAGAATGTAGAGGCAAACCAGGGGGAGTTGGCAGTGAAGGAATCCAGCAGAGATATACAACTGTTCTCATTTGGAAACCAGGCACCTCTTCCTCAGGAAGAACAAAACCCTCTAACTAAAGAAATAAAAGAATTGAAACAAAGAATAACTGAGCATCTAGAACAGCACAAAAACAACAGAATAAGGCTGCCTGCATTGAAGCTTGTTCCAAAGAAACAGCTAGCACAAGCATTAAAAGATGCAAATACTGCAATAGCAAGTATAAGCACCAATTCACTGCAAGAAACAAACCAACTAATGTACAGCACAGCTGCAGTTATAACAGAATACCTGGGATGTAAAATCAACAAAAAAGAAAAACAAACAAACAGTGCACCAGAAAAATGGAAGGTTAGACTAGAAAATAAGATCAGCAAGTTAAGATCACATGCAAGCAAGCTAGAACAGATGAAAGAAAAGAAGCTGAAGAACAAGAAGACCAAAGAATACCTAATCAAGAAATACCACTTAGAAACAAGGAAGATCAAGGAAGCACTGGAAATAATAAAGCAACAAATAACAGCTATAGCCAGGAAAATCAGTAGATATGAAGCTCGAATTGCAAACTATAGGCAGAACCTCCAATTTCAATCCAATCAGAAACGTTTCTACCAATCCATCAATGGAGAAACTGCAAGGAATCAGTCAGTACCTGACAAGGAAGAAACAGTGCAGTTCTGGAAGCAGATATGGGATAACCCAAAGAAATACAACAAGGATGCGGCTTGGTTAAAAGAGGTGGATGCAAATAAAACAGAAGTTGAAATGAAAGAACTAGTAATAACAACAAAAATGGTAGAAAAAAGAGCAAAGAAAATCAAAAATTGGTCAGCACCAGGTGAAGATGAACTGCATGGGTTTTGGTTGAAACATCTAACTGTTATACACCCACTCATTGCCAAGCAGTTCAACAATATACTACAAGGAGGAGAAATTGAAAAGTGGCTAACAACTGGGAAAACCTACCTAATAATGAAAAATCCAGCAAAAGGGGCAACACCAGGTAACTACAGGCCAATTACCTGCTTACCAACAACTTCAAATTACTAACTGGTGTGGTAGCTGATGCAGTACAACAGCATCTAGTTGAAAACAATCTCTTTCCACCTGAGCAGAAAGGAAACCGCCCCAATAGCAGAGGAACAAAAGATCAACTCCTAATAGACAAAATGATCTTGGAAAACTGCAAGAGAAGGAAGACCAACCTGAATGTGGCATGGATTGACTACAAAAAGGCATTTGACTCTCTGCCACATGATTGGATAATCAAGTGCCTAGAAATAACAGGAGTCAGTAGAAACATCAGAAAATTTGTGCAAAGATCGATGGCACAATGGAAGACACAGTTGCAGATCAATGGTGAAAAGCTGGGAGAGGTTAATATCAAGAGAGGAATATTTCAAGGAGATTCATTATCACCATTACTATTTGTTATTGCACTGTTTCCTCTGTCAACAATACTGAATAACTCAGGACATGGCTATCAAACATCAAAAACATCTGCTAGACTATCCCACCTCCTTTACATGGATGATCTGAAGCTGTATGGAAAAACATCATCTGAAATAGAATCGCTGCTCAACACTGTCCGTATATATAGCCAAGATATTGTAATGGAGTTTGGCTTGGACAAATGTGCCACACTTACTATCAAACAAGGAAAAATAGTGAAAACTGAAGGAATCAAGATGCCCCACGAAAATAACATTAAGAGTCTGGATGAGGAAGAGTACTACAAATACTTGGGTATCCTTCAAGCTGACAACATCAAGCACACTGAAGTCAAGAAAAAGATTAGAGGTGAATACATCAAGAGAGTGAAGAAGATCTTAAAATCCAAACTCAATGGAGGAAATACCATAAAGGCAATCAACACCTGGGCAATCCCAGTCATTAGGTACACAGCTGGAATAGTGGACTGGACTCAAGCAGAACTAAAAGCAATGGATAGGCAGACCAGAAAAATAATGACAATGAATCATGCCCTTCATCCACGCAGTGACATTGATAGACTTTATCTACCAAGGCAAATAGGTGGGCGTGGAATGCTACAAGTACATCAGATGGTTGAAGAAGAAAAAATGGCTTTGGAAGAATATCTGAAGAACAATGATGAAGATGCACTGAAATTAGTATATCAGGAAGGCTTACTAACTACTGGAGAGACCAAACTGGCCTACAAGAAAGACCAAATGAAGAACAGAATAGAGGCATGGGAAGACAAAGCACTACATGGCCAATACATTAAAAAAATAGCTGGGAAAGCAGATAATAATAAGACCTGGCAATGGCTAAGAGCAGGAAAATTGAAGAAAGAGACCGAGGGACTAATTCTGGCTGCACAAGACCAAGCCTTAAGGACAAATGCATATAAAGTCAAAATTGAGAAGACAGCAACAGACAGTAAGTGCCGCCTATGCAAAGAAGCTGAAGAAACAGTGGACCACTTGGTAAGCTGTTGCAAGAAGATTGCACAGACTGATTACAAGCAGCGGCATGACAAAGTAGCAACAATGGTGCATTGGAAGATCTGCAAAAAATATCATTTGCCTGTAAGCAAAAACTGGTGGGATCATAAAATAGAGAAAGTCATAGAAAATGATAAAATTAAACTGCTCTGGGACTTCAGAATTCAAACAGACAAGCACCTGCAACATAACACCCCAGACTTAACAATTGTCGATAAGAAAGACAAAAAAGTCTGGATAGTGGACGTGGCAGTGCCTGGAGACAGCAGAATAGAAGAGAAAGAACTGGAGAAGATAACAAAATACAAAGACCTACAAATAGAAATAGAAAGACTGTGGCAAAAGCAAGCAAGGGTAGTACCAATAGTCATAGGCTCCTTGGGTGCAATCCCAAAACAACTGGAGCACCACTTGAACACCATTGGCATTGACAAATTCGCTATTAGTCAATTGCAAAAGGCGGCCTTATTAGGAACTGCTTCCATCCTGCGACGATATCTGTAATACCATCAAACATCCACATCTGCCTATCCCAGGTCCTGGGTAAGGACTCGATAGGTAGACAAAATGCCAAATCCAGTCTGAACATCTGGCTGACTGTGCGATGATTGATAATAATAATAATAATAATTATAATAATACTTTAAACAAAACTATAGAACAGCACTTATTATATTTTGAACCTTTTGGATATTGGGCATCCCTGGAAAGATTCCTAATTTAGAGCATTATTTTACTTACTATACTGAAGATATTTGTTTTTTTCTGTCTCTTTCGTTGTCATTCTTAATGAGATAAAGGCTTTTAACGTGCAAAGAAAAAGCTTTCTGTAGCTTACTGAGGACATCTTGTGGCGAAAATAGTGTTTGGAGAACACTACTTCAGGAATTAATAAGAAAAAAAGATAAAGGATTGGAAACAGCTGTGGGTTGTGTTTGTGATTTAAAAATTGTGGAGGCGGATGTATATGGACTCTTAATAAATATAGTTTCCACAAAAACTTTAAAAGACTCTTTTACTATGGAAATAGAAGACTTTTACCCACAGCTTGACTATGAGCTGATATTGGAAAAAATATTGGAAATGACAGAGGAGATGAAGTTATGGAGAAAAACGAAAGGTTATTTTGCAGAACCACAAGCTGAGCCTCAAACTTTAAAAGATCAACCTATAGGCCAAGAAGAAGCCAATATGCAACAGTATACACAATCTGAGATGGAAGAAGAAGTTACTGATCAATTGAATTCTGGACTGGATTATGAGCTGATATTGGAAAAAATATTGGAAATGCCAGAGGAGATGAAGTCATGGAGAAAAACTAAAGACCATCTTCTAGAATCACAAGCTGAGCCCCAAATTTTAAAAGACCAATCTACAGGCCAGGAAGAAGCTTATATGCAACAGTGTACACAATTTGAGATGGAAAAACTCACTGATCAATTGAACTTTAGAAAAATTCTGGACCCAAAATCCCAGATTGAGACCTTAAATAACTACTCTATAAATCAACTAACTACTAAGAGGAGGATATTTCACAAGTCTATGTACAAATGGAGAACTTCAAAGATAAAAATAATGACTATAAATGAAGTTCTCCCATTGCCAAAATTAACAGGAATTGATAGCCAGACGCGATTGATTGAAAGTTATGACAACCTGGATAATCAAGCTGAAATTATAATATAGAATAAAATGGGGTATACTGCATATATGATACTGGAAGAAGGGGAAGAGAATTTTGATCAGATCGATTTGTTGATAAACATTAGTACTCAAATATTGAGATTTGATAACATAGAAACGACATTACGGAAACCAGCTTGGTATAGAAAAAAAGCCAGAGTGATTTAAAATTTTAATTATTGGGTCAAAAAGTCTTTAGAAATTTGGATTGATTTGACAATCTAATTAAGTAAATGAAAGCAGTAAGATAATAATTGGTATAATAATATGTTTGTCTTAGATACGATAGTTAATTTGGTTGAGAGTTAAATTTTACCTAACAGGTCGAAATGATTTTTTTTGTTATTTTTACTCAGTTTATATAGCAAACTATTTTGTAATAGCAGAAAATTAGAGAGATCTATGATAAGAGAAGAAAGGGTATCAATTAATGATGTATTAAATTAAGAGATGGGATATATGTGAAAATATTAAAATGTTATTCTTGGAATATTATGTGTGTTGTAGAAGGGATACCCAAAATTTTATTAATATGTTTAAGATCAATTGGAATATTTTAATTGAAATTAGTGGAGCTTAAAAGCAGGAGTGATTTATGTAGATGTAATATTAGGGATGATTCTGTGGATTGATTGAATTTTAAGAAGAAATAGATTAAACTAAATTTGTTATATCATGTGAGGAAATAGAGGGGAGAATTTTTTTTAAGGTATTTTTTTAGTTTTATATATATATGACTTGTTTTGTTATGATTGATTACCCTTTCACCACGGTGTTTTCCTGAGCACTTTGATGTTAAAATTTAAAAAAAACAATCAAATGTATATTAAAAAAATAAAATAAACACTTGGCTAACATTGTTTTTTGCTGGCTTTTATTCATCAATATTTTATTGAAGAAATAAAGCATAATGAGATAAAATAATGGTAATACTTACCAGCTCTGTAATAGAATTCAGTTCTACAATGCAACCAGGTCTAGCTGTAGATTGCTGACTTATGATGTTAAAAAATTTGCCAACGTATTTCTGCAGTTAGTAACAAAGCCAGTAATTAATTGTCATGTAATTATATTAATTTCACTAATTTCTTCATTTTGATTTACTGACTCTGTTTAATACAATTAGCCATAGTATATTATTAGGAACTACTTTTTGTACCAACAACCTAGTAATTCCTTATAGCAACAAAACTAACTTTATTGACCTATTTGCTTCTTGTTTTGTTTTGTGTATGCAATGCTTAAGTGAATCAAAATGAATAAAGTATTTTGCACATCATGGAATATTTAATCAACTAATTAAACATAGATTAAGTAAAATCACAATTTACCTTATACAATCACATTTTACCTTATAAAAACAAGGACAAACCATAATTGCCTTTTCTTTTCTTTTTTACTTGACTATAACCAGAAGGCTATAAAACCTATTTATTTATTTAAATTTATAGTTGCCGAACTCCAATGGATTCTAACAGACATTGAGGTGATGCTGGATACTCCTATCTTCTCTACTGAATTTTGTTTTCATGTTACTTTTTAATTTTGTGCACTGCCCAGAATTGAGCAGCAGCAAAATTGAACATATAAAATAAGATAATGTTCAAGAATTTTAATTCCTAAAAAACCACCTTCAAGATGCTTTTGTCCAGAGAGAGTGTTAGAAAGAGAAGGTAAGAGAGAAGAGAAAAAAGGGAAAAAGGTATGTGCCACTATTGCAAAAGGTAAACTTTCAAAGCAGATTTTTAGCAAGTAGCCTTCAATGAGAATGTGTAGTATCTTTACACTGGTGAGTATATATGGAGTATAAAAGTGATTTTACAAAATAGATGTCACTATTATTATGAACAAATCAGAAAGTATTCATTTAGCGGAAGGCAAACTGCTACACTGCAATAATTCAATAGAACTTTTTGGAGTTATTTTTGGCAGAGAGGTATACAGATAACCTTCCAAACCTTAGCTCCAGTCATTCATGGAGCATATTATTTTTAAGAATGGTAATGAGACCCATCTGGATCCCACAGAAATTCTTGTAAGTAAAGATGATACTGGTTGTTGATAACAGCTTCCTTTTTGTATTACAAAAAAAAAAATCACGTTAACTAACAAACTGGCAGGCATCAAGAGTATCAGGTCATCTTTCCTTCTCTGCATTAAACTTCCACTTTTGATGGAATTTGGAAATGAAAATTAAAATAAACAATTAACTCAGGCACAATGTAATATATTTAACTTTATTCTAAATTTTCAAAGTCTGTGAAGGCAGCAAATCATCTGGGAAATAAGAATAATTAAACCCACTACTGTTGATAATGGTTTTAATTAATTTTATATATGACAGTTTTTAGTTCATAGTTTAAGCAATTATAAGACTACTCACTGTCTTTTTGAAAAAATCAAAATGATTTTATTAAGAATGTCTATCCTTAAAAAATAAAAATAGAACACTGACACTAATTCTGCTAATAATGAAATACTGGAACTGGGAAATAAAATTATACGATGATAGCAATTTATTCTCCTTGTACTTAATACACTTTAATAAGTTTTTAAAGATATTCTTACTCTTGAAATGATCATGATGAACATACTTCAACATTGGTGGTTTACAGATTATATACTTCAGCAGTAATACAGTATGGTTAAGATGCCTAAAATAATATACTCATGCAACATTGCCCAAGTCTCCATTTATTTAAACCTATCCTACTCAAGAAAAAGATATGGTAGTTTCTTCAGAGGTTCTATGATTCTGAGATTAGAAAATATTTCTCATAAATCAAAATTAATTTTCTGGTTAAATGAACAGATAGGTAAAATAAGTATATCTGGCAATATTACGACTGTAGTTGGGCTTTACTTACAGAAATTCCTGGATTTGACAGTTCACAGAGTAGCTTTTTGGCATCTATTATGGCTTGATAGAGTCTCAAATGTTGTCCATCACTTGCAACAAAACAAGCACTTGGTGAATTACAGTATGCATCTAAAGACAATTAGAAAAATATAACTCTAAAAAAAGAATTCTAATACTTTCATCCTATGTTTTTTTCAGATATGAAGAGCTTAATAAAGGTTATGTAGCTGTACATATCTGAACATGCTTCAGAGAGGCAGTTTAAAGGAGTTGCTGACAAATATTATATGAGAATCCCCAAGAATCTCCTGTAAATGTTGTACAACCATAGATTATTTTCTATAATATATACCAATTTTACTTATAAGGAAGAGAACATACCTAAGCAGTAACTAGGTATGAGGCAAGGCAACCATGCCACATTTGAAAAAGCAGATACATGAAGAGAATTTATTCTTGCAAGTTCAGAAACTCCACCAGAAAAAGACAGTGGGCCAACTGGATCAACTCTCCAGAGGATAAGTTCACTGTAAACAGCAGTAAGATCCTGAGATGCGCAGGCAGAACTTTTATTTTGATGTTCTGGAGATATCTCTTTTGTGCTATCAACAACTGGTATCCTCACTGCATTGTGATGAGAGGTTGTGAGTAGCAATGGAAGTACTGAATGGCAAGCCAAGTCATTAAGATGGAAACGATGTCCACAGTACCGTGATTTGTGGCAAATACTGAGAACATTTGAAAAAGCAGATTCCTCTGCAAAGCTGACTAGCCATTGGTTTAGAGATCCATCTGCATGCTTAGAAATCATCATAACATTTGGGGTGAAGATGCTCAGCTTTACATTGTTGGATGATTTATTATGACCTGAGGAAATTAACATAGAGCAGGAGCGACCAAGGCTAGATGGTTTTTGTTTGCCTTGCTGAAGAGCAAGGTCAACATTTTTTGTACAAGCATACATCACTATACTTCTGCAAAGTGAATTTGCATCACCAGTAGGAAAGGCAACAGGAATCCTTGAAACAAATGACACCTAAAAATATTTTTAAAAGAAGAGAGAGAAAGTTCAGAATCAAGCTTCCAAAACAATTATATTTTTAAATACATAGTACCTGGAAATTTGTAGTACCTGTACTTGACGAAACATGCCTGGTTGATATTCATCTAGCCAATCAACATGCCATACGAGCAATGATCCATCCATAGGATGAATACTAAACAGCATGTCTGCATTTTTATTCCATTCAGCTAATTGTATTTCAATTTCATGATCAATAACATTTGAAGACAAGGGAATGGAGCTTGAATTTAAAACTGGAAATTCTTTCTGTTCTTGATTTCTTCTATGTTCTTCTCTACTGTCATCAGTTTCTAGTAGAATTATATAAAAAGTGAAGAGGTTTATAAATCAAAACATACTTAAATCTAGGGGTAAGAGGGTTTTTGAGTTTCTCTGAAACAATCCTAGCAAAAGACATCACCATAATTACCGGTAGATATAAATTAGTTAGATATGATTAAACATTCTTCTTGAAATAACTATAGAATTCAAAATGTTACATTTCATTTCATAAAACCCTTTGTTAGGGTAGTATTTATTTGCCCAATGAAGCCATGCTGTGTAGGAAATCATTTTCTATTGAAGATTTATTCATAACTTCACATGTTAAGAATTTCCACCTGTTCTGACTTCTGGTCTTGTGCAGTAGCGCAGCAGCCAAGGGATTTCGGGGCTCTGTGCCCTTTGGCTGAATTTCTTCCTGTTAGGGAACCCTAAATGGGCCAGAAGCCGCCCCGAAAAGGCGGCAAAGGAGGAGGAAGTCCTGCGGACCATGGAGAGATGGCAGTCGACCCGATCGGTCCAGCAGAAGCCTTCTAGAAACCAACAGAAGAAAGGCTAGCCTAACTTCAGAGTCTAGCCCAAGCTACAAGCAACCGAAGTCAAAAGCACCATTTTAAGCTGATTGTAAACAGTGCGTTTAAATCTGGGTAAGATCATCAATTTTCTCTATCCTTAACTTTCCTGGAAAAAAAATTCCCAAGAAGCAAAAAACCTCCTAACGTGAAGGAGGGGGATTTTTGCCTCACCCTTTTACTAACAGAAGCGGTGAATTAAACCTTTTACGGAGGACCAAAACATACAGAAATGAAATGAAATGAATATAAAACCTAAATTTGGAATTGTTGAATGGTTAAGATTCTTATTTTAAAGGCAATTTTCTATTTTGATAATTTGAAAAATAAACTGGTGCTGACATCTAGTGGTGGATAAAGACTATGACAGCTATCGCTTTTATACAGGACTTGGCAAAATCTGGAAAAAACTAATCTGTGCTTGTGACCTTCAAAGCTATAACAATAGAGAACAGCTGTGACAAAAAAAGAAAGAAAACAATTTGGGTTGCAGACAAAGAGAGGATTATAAACTTCAGGAAACCTTTTTGGATTATAAATATCTACTAAACAATGACTCTAACACTATTTGCAGAGAAAAGAATACCTTGATTCTTGACCACTATGGAAAATGAGACTTGCAGAAAGAACTTATCAAGAAAAAATAAATACTTTTCAAGAGGAGACATATGAGATGCTGTAATTAATTCAAACAATGACTTCAAACCACAAAGAAATCCAAAATAACTTTGAAAACATACACCAATTCATCTCCAATTTAACTTTACAACAAAAAAATCCTCAGGAAATAATAAAAGAGAAGGAGCAGATAAAACAGATAAATGAACACAAATTTGAGGATAGAGATTCAAAGATGGAACATAACACAACAAAGAAGTATGATTTAACCAAGTGGAAAAAAATACAAGAAATATTGGTTTTGGAAAAGGTAACTTATACTTTAAGACTACAAGACAAGTTTGAGGATAAGAAAAAGACTGGTCAAAATGGATTGCAGAGACATCAGGAATACCACTAAAACTGGAGAGACAAAAAATGATAAGAGATAGAGAGAAAAAGAAAGATTTTCAACAACATGAAAGAGCAAATGCCTCTTACAAAGATATTGTACTTGACTTATTTTTTATATCTACAGTGACACCCGCAAGAATATGGAAAGACTCTTTGATGCAACAGAACATATTGATTAAAGGTATTGGACAAAAGAAGGCCAAAGTGAAAATTAAGAAAATAGATGCTGGGACTTATCAGAGAGAATATTTAAAAAAGAAACACCTGTTTGAATATGATTAGAGTAATAGAAAGATTTTGGATATGAATTTTACTTTAAGAGAGAGGAGTCCCTAAAATAATATAGCACTCTCTCTTTCTTCTCTTTTCTTCTCTTATTTCTTGATATGAGTAATATAAAAGAGTTAGAATGGTTTATATATATATATGGACATATTTTAGATATTTAAATGTGATTAATTTTAAGAAAATTACAATGGATTAAAAAATGTTTTGAATAAGAGTTAAAATACTAGACGACTAGATTTATTAAATGGAATATTTAAAGATTAAATATATTTTTAATTATGATAAAAAAAGAATGGAAAGATTTTGGAAATAAATATGTATTAGCTTAGGGGAAACCTGGACTTTCAGTAGTATACTATCTGATAGTAGTATACTATCCCTCTTTACTCTTGTTCTTTCTCTCTCTTTTTTTTTTTTTAGTCTTATTTATTCCTTAAGTAAGGTAACAGTTATGGGATGGTTTACATGAGAAAAAATAGAATCAAATATCTAAATGTATTCAACTTTGAGAAAATCTTAACTAGTAAGAACGTCTTGAATATTGCGGCGAAAACAAATGTAAACAAAAACTGTAAACGAGATCTATGATGAGGCAACCAGAATGACTACATAGAAAAGAAATATTATATTGATGTGATTATTATTTGTGGAAATATTAGAAAAATGTTATATTCAATTGTTATCTATCAAAACAATAAGAATCGTATTAACTTAAGGTTGGTAAAAGAGAACATTACGGGAAGAAGAGGAAATCAAGTAAAGCTATTATGTGGATTATAGATCATAGAAACCAATTGTTAGCGAATGTTTTTTAAATGTAAACCCAGACAACACACTGTTTACCGAATATTAAGGTGACCATGTTAAAAAATTAATAAAATATATTATAAAAAAAAGAATTTCCACCTGTTCTAAGAACTATCTAATTTGCTTTTACTGTATGACAAGAATCCCAACATTTTCAGGAGAGCCAAAAAAATTCTTTGGGCCACCATTATTTAACACAGGAAAAATTTTTCATAATTTTTGAACGTCAAAAATATACCAAATTTCTTATTCTATTTATATTTTTACCTTTCTTTTAATCTCATTTGTTACTAACCATAATAAAGTTTCACAGACACTCATGCAATTAGTACCTCAGTAAATCAGTATGTTAACATTTTATTCATGAAGTACTTCTTCATGGCTGACTCAGGAATTCTGGGAATTGAAGTCCACAAATCTTAAAATTGCCAACTTTGGAGACCCCTGATTTATCATTTTTTTTTAATTATTTGTGTTTTTTAGTATTTTATCTATGTTAAGTAGTCTGAAGTATTTTCTTTATTTCTATTAATTTTCCAGAAAATGTATGTTTTTATTTTATTTAGATACCTTTGCAGTCTCTTACAAATATTGTTTCAAATGCTGATCAGTGATCTTAGAAAAACTACTATGCTAGATTAAATATTTAAATACAGTATTTTGTTATTACATTTAAGCCCTATATGGCACAGAGCCAGCTTCTTTATGGGTATGGTCCAGATCTCTACTATTAAATGTTGTCATTTGATGGGATCTTGTAGGCATACATCCAAAGTAGCCACTCCAGCCTTTTAGAATAGCTTTCTACCTGACCTGCAAAGGATTCCTATCTTTAACTTTCTGGAAGGCTATGAACATCTAGCTCTTCCCCTAATGGGCTAGGTTGACCATGGGGGGGGGGGTTGATCTGGCACCTGATGGAAAGGCTCATTTTGTTTATATTATTTTTTTGTGAAATGCCTAGAATCATTATATAAGCATTGAAATAAGTTCTATAAATAAATAATTCATAAATGTTTATACTGCTTAGGTCACAAGACCCTATGTAAGATATAGAAAATATTTTCAGATTCTAAAATAGCCAGTGTACATGAACCAATTCATTATTCCATTCAACTTGAAACAGTGAGAGAAGATAACAATATGCATTTTACCTTCATCAGATCTGAAAGTCATCTGATTAGGTTCTTCACTGCTGGCTTCCGAGGAAATATGCTCAAAATTTCTTTTAAATTGTTGTAAAAAAACCTCCATTGATAGGGTAAAATGTAATTCTTTATTATTTAGCCAATGCACAACAAAAGGACCACTTTTTTCTTCACTTTCATTAAGACTCAGAGACATGATAGAAGGGAGCAAGGGAATGTCTACAAATAAAAATATACATTCTGTTCAGAAACACACATTTAAATTATTTTTACATTGTAGATAGACCACGTCATAAAGAGACATATACAAGAGATTACAGGACCAATACTTTTCTTTTCTAGCAGAAGGTATAAAGAAACTAATCAGTAATTTATCAGACCCCGCTCTTTATATCTACGTTGGCTCAAATCTTTAGACATAAGTAGCATACATAAAAGATAATTTATTTTTAAAAATAAATTAATTAGGACTAATGGTGTTACACATATTTGTTGGTGCAAAGTTCTAAAGGACTTTTAGAAGGAGCTAATTAAGCCAAACAAAGCAATCTAAAAATGTATAATTTCATTTAGTATTTAGCAAAAAAAGAATATACTGATGTATTTACATCTACACATTTGGGTGAGGTTACTGATTTTTAGTAGACCAATTTGCTATTTACCTTAAACTAATTACCTTAAAAACTAAACTGACACATTTTTTCATATGAATCTGTATGAAGATTTATAACAAAAGTTACTAAATGTTAAGGTATCATTGCTACAAATTCCTCTTCAATTCACTTGCAATACATGAAGCTAAAACCATCCATAAAATCACAATGAAACAATTCACAATAAATGCAATCATAAATACTATTAATAATTACTGGTACAGTAGGACAGAGAATTTTCAAAGCAACATTTTGAATGGTTTTACAACTTTAAAATTATATTCTCTTTTTCAGCATAATTTTAGTATTTGTAAACATTATAGTATAGTGTGCTTTATAGAGATAAATCTAAATTGAACCCACTTATCCTAGAATTAAGTCTGCTTATTCTTAATCACCTGTGGCTGGATTAATGCTGGCAGCAATATGGAAATGGCAAAGTGCATTTGACTGCAATGGACTGTTTCGATGAACTACATGAGGGTCTTGCTGATGGGGCAAGTATCCAGTATGTGCAAGTGCTATTGATCTTCTTCTTCCTCGTCGGAAAGGTCTTAGATTTAACTGTTGAGAGCAGGAATATATTGTTCATATGACACAATGAAATGCAGAAAAATATTTTCTACACATCTGCATAATTCTGAAAAGAATCTTCTTATTATATTTATATACTATAGGATTGGATAGTTACCTTTCTTAAAAATACAGATTAAAAACTCATTTACAAACTAAATATTCAAGTCAGGACTTATCTATTATTAATATCTGGTAGATGTCACTTCTTACCTCTAAAGCATTTTTCATGCTTTCTTTGCTAGAAGCATTCCTCTTAAAGTTATTTAATTTCACTGGCTCAGGCCAATGGTTAAATCCACCTTCATATAAGAGGCTATCGTTAGGCAACAGAGTCTCTGCCCAGAGACGGCATATATTATCTTTGCAGCAGGTCAGCAGTACATTACACACAGCACCACTAGGAAAGAAAGCCAGGTTAAGCAAAAAGAAAATATAAATTTCAGAAAGAGAATTTTTGAATCCTATTCAGTGTTATTACAATATTACATACTTCGATTTCATATACATTATTTTAAGCAACAGATGCTTAAAAACCTCTTGGAAACATTATTGATGCTTAATGCAGGATTGCAGTTTTCTTTTATTATTATTTTATTATTTATCACATATATTTTTATACTATTTCAACTGAGTGAATCCAAGCAGGTTCAAAGTATAAAAAACAAAAAAAATATAAAAAGTGTCATTCATTTTAATGAATTCATAAAAAGATAATAGTGCATGCATATAATTGTCCACTTATGACTGATTATTCAGAGATCATTCAAAATTACAACAGCGCTGAAGGAAGAGACTTAAGACCCCTACATGAAGTTATGCAGCGCGCCCATGGTTACCTGAAAAAAATTGGGCACTTGGCAACCTGCCCACCCTTATGACTGATCACAGGGACGCTGAAGAGGACCACCCATCTATCTCCCCCTCCATCTTACCCTGCTGGATCCCACATCTTCTTCCCCATTCCGGTTACAGCTTGGTCACATAACTTTTCCATTGATACCCTGTGGAAAACAACCATTCCACTGAATGGCTTCCTACATGGAAACTGTGCAGCATTGTCTCAGAAGCAGGCGAAGTTTTGGGAGTGGCTGCACAAAATTGTGGCTGTTTCAAAATGGCACCAATTCTGGAAAGGAACCATGTGGCCTCTGTATTCTATAGGGAAGCTAAGGGGCAGATCACTTGACTCTTTTCCAAACAACATGTTAGACTGCTCAAAATGGTGCCTGCTTCTGGGACAGTACCACACTTTCTACTTGGCAAGGCTACGTGGTGGAGCAACTATTTTTCAAAGGGTACCTATGGAAAAAGGAAGTGGACCAAAACTATGAGAGGGAGTGGAAAGGGGTATGTGGGACCCAGTGATATGAGAAGTAAAGCATGGGATGCCTCAGGAGTTGGGAAAAGCCTTAGGAGGCCCAGGACAGGCCACATGTGAGCTGGAGAGGTGCTGCAGTGCAGCTTTGGGCCTTTCCACAACTTTGATGCACCTGTACCCTACTTAATGACAATGGGGACAGCAGGAATTGGGGACATTAAACAAGGTGATCACATGGGCACCTTGCTTAATGACTTTCATAACTTGGAATCATAATGGACAGGCTACATTACAGTAGTGAGTCAAGGGCTACTTGTACATTCTAGATTTCTAATATACACACTGCTAGTTCCCAATGAATGTGTGAATCTGGAAACCTAAGTTCTGAGTTAAGAATTAGGAGTCAGAAAGATGAATTATTGTTGTTTTTATTATGAGATAACCTACACACATGGATATATAAACCACATTTGCACAACGTAAAGTGCCAATAAAAAAACTAAAAAGGAAACAAAAAGACCAGATAAACAATGACTGACAACAAAAAAGCAGTCATATGACCGTAGGATGCTGCATGTGGCCATGAATGTGGGCCAGTTGCCGAATGCCCTAAATGAAATCGTGTCACTGCAGGAAGGGGTATTACAACTTTGATTCTGACTCCTAAGTAGTCCTGAGGAAGTCTGTTGTAACTTTGAACAGTCACTAACGGCCAGCTGTAAGTCGGAGATTACATATATATGTTCATTCTAAAGGTATAAGGCATTAATTGATCATAAATGTCTAATTAAACCACACTGGTTACAATCAATGTTCCCTTTAATGCTGTGTGTGGAAAAAAAAGTTTAAAAAATAATAGCTATTTTGAACCATGTGGCTTGAAACTAAACAGAATTTGATTAAACATTTGTTAGAGGAAAGTTGGAAATTAATTAAACCTTTTTTAGAAGAGGGCACTTCTTCATGTATAGGAAGCTCTGAGCTTGTGCCAGACATGTCACTAGCTAGTCCTCCAATTCCAAAGCAGGAAAAAGACTGGAGCTTCCACTCTGTCTGCACTGAGGTGACACCAAACAATTTTGCTGATGCAATTAAACTGAAGTAGCAAGCTTGTGCAGGACTACTCATGAGCCATGAGGTTTTTGGTGTTAAGTTTATTATTATTATTTTGGAATAATTTAATGTTCTATGTGCCTGGGTGCAGAAGTTTGATAAGTAATGTGCATGTGCACAGGCTCATATGCTAGAGAAAATATAAGTTATAATATATACATCATATAAATGAAAATATAAAGAAATCACAACTTTTATTTACTGAATGTTATTTATTTTGTAGTTATTCTTACCGTGGCATGTAGTTGCTTGTCTTTCGCCATGAAAAACCGTCAACGGACCGAGGATGAACCAGATAAATAAATGAGAAATTGAGTTCCTGCATGGTGGTTTCTGGTGCTGTATGTTGTGATGCAATTACTGATTTCCAGCAATCAGTGTTATACCACACCTTTACAAGACTATCATCCTGTATAAAAGAATAAATGATATATTTAATTTCTGTAGTTTCTACATAACTTTTTTCAACTGTAACATAGCATAAATTCACTTTTTAATCTATTATTTTTTATAAAATGTACTAGCCTATAGTCCAATTCAGTAACATTTCTATTTATGAAAGGAAAATGACAAGAAATTACTTATATAAGTAATCCACATTTAAGGATAGTAATTGAGACTGGAATTTCCATTGCTAAGCAATGCAATTATAAGCACAATGTTATGTAACCTCATCACTTAGTCCCTCCTTGCCTTGTGGATTGTGGGTTGTTAAGAAAGGATTTTCTTGCAACTTCCCACAAGCGAAGTGAATGGATTTGCTGATATGAAACAAGTTCTTGCAAGATTGGAGGGCAGATAAATGGCGGTTGCGGTGTCATACAGTCATGGCCAGGCCAGGGATAGCTGCTCTAGAATGTTGTAGGCTGTGTAAGGCCAGCTGAAATACCACACAAGTGTAGCTCAGCCAGGAGTGGCTTTGCAAAATAGGTGAGGGCATGTAAATGGCTTTCGTGACACTATGTAAGCATAGCCAGGTAGGGCTGTGATGCTGTAGAGCATGGGTGTCAAACTCGCAACATCATGTGATGTGTTGTGACTTTCTTCCCATTACCAGCAATGGGGTGGGCACGGTTTTGGCATGACGCATCTGGCCCGCGGGCCAGCAGTTTGACATCCCTGCTGTAGAGTGTGGGAAAATGCTCTTACACCGTCACACAAGCATGGATGGATGTGCAGTATTGGAGGGCAAGTGAAGGGTCCTGTGGTTGCACGCACACACTATGGAGTAGGAGATGCTTGGGGAGGTTTCAAATGCCAATCACATGACTGTGAGATATTGCAACCATTGTTAAGGGTGAGCTGGTTGCTAAGTGTCTGAATCACGATCATATGACCACAGGGTTGCTGAGACATCAGAACTAAGTGGTCATACTACTTGTTCAGTATTTTTGTAGTGTTTCAATAACTGATCACAGCTTTTTACTGCTACCACTCTTACATGCACTTGTAAGTAGGTTTTGTTTATTGAAGAGAATGGATTCTATTTTAATATAGTGTATTTTATATTTGATTGCATTATAAACTACAATATGAATGATTTATTGTTTTATCAATGTTTCAGTTTTTATAATTTTTGACATAGGGGCAAGGAAGAGCACTTTCAATGTTAGTATTTGGTAGTATTGTTGAATTTAGAGCATATTTTTTTCTATTTTTTCCTTACTTTTTAAATTATTATTAATAATTCACACAGAGAAAAAAATCTGTTATGGTCCTCAATTGATTTATTTTTTCTGCTACTTTATTTCTAACTAAAGCTTTGAATATATTACTACTACAATTATTTCACCATTATTATTATTGCTATTATAAAACTGTTCTACACAAAAAGTTGATATGAATTGAAACAAAAAATGAAGTCATATCATACCTTCCCTGCAGTAGCAAAAAATTCTCCATCTGGTGAAAACATCATTAGATGAACTTGAGAAGCAGTTCTATAAAAAGGAAAGCATGGTAATTAGAGATTTCAAAACCTTAATAATTTGTTGTGACAAATTTGTTAGACACTTTTTGAATATAATCACTTTTCCCATAAACATAAATATTGCTTCTGATTGGAACATACTTAAGTGTCAAATGCAACTGATCTAATTTGAAGAAATTTCTTTCATATTTTGATGTCTGAATATGTGGAGTTAACTAAAGATCTAGCCTACCACATGGCCTTTTGACTCATCATGAGAACATCACAGATCAATCTATAATAAATTTCATCCATCCATCTATTTTGGGTGCATCTTGGCTTATTTTAGCTAACCAAAGACAGTTTACAGGTAGCCCTCATTTAGTGACAATTGGGGCAGGCAACTTGGTTGTTAAATAAAGTGGCTGTTTAATGAAACTGTGACTATACTTACAATCTTATTTCAGCTTTCTTTTCCTTTATAGATTTGTGAAGATCATAAATGCAATGATTGCTTGTAAAGTTACTTTTTATCACTGTCTTTACTGTGAATGATCCCTAAGCAAAGCAGTCGCTAAATGAACACTATCTGAATGAGAAAGGGCTGAAAACATTCTTGTGATGAAGCAGTGTTCCCAGCTATAAGGGAGGCAATGACCTGTACAACACTGAAGATGGTCTCTCCATAACCAATTATTTCAATAATCTCTCAGTCACAAAACAGAAGTTTTTAAAGACAACATTCTTAGCAACAATATCTATATATTGGAAAATGTTCTTGTAAGATACAGATTATTTTAAGTCTTTTCAGTCTCAGTTCATGAACTGAATAGAATCAGCTTTGGCTGGCATAACAGATGACTTCCTGCAGGAGCAACAGAAGGAATGCAACTCTTTTGATTCTATTAATCTCTCAGCATCTTCTGATACACTTAGTCATTATATTCTCCTGTACCATCTCTTATGTGTCAAAGGTTGGGGCTACTATGTTACAGTAGTCCAATTCCTACTTCCAGGGTGGCCTCAGAAAATCTGAATACTGAATAAATGTATGTTTGCATTTTGACAGCTACAATACACTATGGGTTGACAGAGGACACTATTTAGTTTCTGATGGTTTTTAATATTTATGTGAAGCTATCAGGACAAAATGTCAGGAATTTTGCAAATAAGGGTTATGAAAATGCTGGTGACATTTGGGTCTACTTCGTTATAAATCTGGACTGGGATAGGGACTGCATTTTCTGAACAGTGTTCAGTGAACATAGAGAGGCAGTTTGAAATTTGAGACTGAATCCGGACAAGATGAAGATCTTACGATTCAATAATGCCCATTCTGAATGAAGTTTGCCCAGCCTCAGAAATGAGAGGCATATAGTTGGGGCTGCTCTTAAAAGTCATTACTTTCCTTAGAATGACTTTCATGGTCAGAAGAACCTATTGAAGGGATATCAATCACTGTATGTCCTTTGTTGAAGATGCATAGCCCAGTTACTATGGTTCACATACTAGTATTGACCTCTTCTTCTGGAAGTTGCAAAACACAGTAGCTATTTGCCTTATGAGTACCTAGCCTTGCACAATGTGTACCTGCTGGAGCAACTGTACTGGCTATCAGTCACCAAGTCAGGTTCAAGTTGTTGCTTTTGATATATTAAAACCTTAAACCAGGAGTCCCAAACTCCTGGTCCGTGGACCAGCACCAGGCTGTGCAAACAAGCGAAGCCCCATCTGTGGGATGCAGGCACACCTCCTCCAGACCGTGGAAAAACCTCTCTCCACAGAACCATTCCCTGGTGCCCAAAAGGTTTGGGGCTGCTGCCTTAGGCAATATGGCAGTACAAAATCTGATTATCTGCTTTTGCTGTTACAGACCTCAATCAACTGCAAAAACTGTGGGGTCTTCCTGCTTATGCCAAGATTGGTAATATGCCTTACAGCAGTTATAGATACGCATTTCTCTGAGATAAAAGCAGATATTATTTCATTTATTATTTGCATATAAATAAGCAGAGTACACTGTGGAATATTCTTCTTCCTTGAAATAGTAGTAGAATCTTCCTTTAAAGATTCCTATTATAGCATCTTGAGTTACTTATTGAACCTTTTTATCTTGACCTTCCTCTTCTGAACAGTATGTTGGATCAATAGATTCTCTTAGGGCTTTCTATCTTAGGATATCCCCAACTTTCTAATGGATATTTTGTATTGTTGTTGTTGTTATTATTATTACTGTAATTCACTGCTTTTTGTACAGTGAAACAAAAATGTTTCATGCATGTGTTCAGAGATATTACAAAACTAAACTATTAGTATTACAGGTTAAAAGATAAAATGCTGTTTCTCACTGTATTTTATAAAATGCAACATATATTATCTTACACGAAACTACAGATCAAGTTTAAAAATATGATTAAGGCAATATTTATATATTTCTTACTTGCTCTGCCAGATGATTCTCCAGTTTTGAGAATCAGCTTTTTCATGATTTTCATCTTCTGATAGATTTTCAAAACTGACATTAGACCAAAGCTGTAAACAACTGGAACTAGTCAATAGACGAGAACCTAGATTTTTCAAATTAAAAAGCACAAGAGTTGTTTAACTCTAATAAGACAAAAAGCCACTATGGAATTCAAGATATTTAGATGAAAACTCTGAACTATGTACTATGAAACCATGAAGAATACCATGCTGTAGATAGATGTTAGATAGACGAACAGACATTTTAAAAAACTAGCAAATGAACATCACTTTAAAAATTATTCCTTTTTGTCCCATGGAAATGTTTGAATTGTAGACTATAATCAATTAGATGAAATGGGAATGTGAATCTCTATTTATATTGGTTACCATTTGGAAAAAAAATAAAAGATAGTTTGATTCTGTCAAAATGTGACTGCTTTAACTATAACATATTCAATTATATTTAATTTTTAGGTGCCTTATAAACAGATGTATAGTATAACCCTGAGTAAAAGATTACCTCATATGAATATAAAAATGAAAGGATTTTTACAAATTAAAATACTGATAAAGTAGCACTGAAATTCCAATATATAGTATACAAGATGCCACTATAAGCACATATATATTAAAATAATATAAATACCAGCTTATTTTACGGATATATATTTTGCAGTCTTTACATCCAACTTTCCTAATATTCTCTTCCTGTAATTAAACTTCTAAAGCATCATAAACACTTAAAATATTTAAGTAAATAAATAACACTTTGGTGGTTAAGGCACTAAGCTAGAAACTGGGAGACTAAATTCTAGTCCCACCTTACACATGAAAGTCATCTGGTTGACCTTGGACAGTCACTCTCTCTTTCAGCCCAACCCACCTCATGGGATTGTAGAAGGGAAAATAGAAGGAAGTAGTATTAGGTATGTTCATTGCCTTAGTTATTTATAAAAATAATAAAATAATTTAATTATACCATAATTTTATCGGATAAAAATAAAAATGAATAAATAAAACAATCCATTTACAACACAAAGGAACACCAACGTCTCTGTGTATAGCAGTGAAGAAAGTGAGAGATCTGAACTAAAAAACTTGAGTAATTGAAAATGAACACATACTTCATGAACAAGTAAACTGCTCCTGGTAATTTTTTAACTTATGGATTTTAACTTTTTCTTTTGTATAGCTTTATATAGTAGAAGAGCTATTTTAATTTATAGAACTGGAGGAAATCTCAAATTGAAAGTAAGCTAATAGTAAACAGTTAAAAGAAATACATACATATACATATGCATGTCCTATTGTGTGAGTATATATTCTTGCCTTGCTTTGATAATTTAGAGCAGACATGTCAAACTCACAACGTCATGTGACGTCGCGTGACATATTGGAGCTTTTTCCCCATTGCCGGCAATGGGGTGGGCGTAGTTTCCTCATGACACATCCGGCCCTCGGGTCGGCAGTTTGACATCCCTGATTTAGAGCATCTGCAAATATACTAAAAAGTGACTAGAAATGTTTAAAATGGAACTAGATCAGAGAGAAAACTAAGCAAAGTATCTGTCCTTACCTGTGGGATCCCAGGTTAAATTATGTACAATATGTTCCAAGCAAATCTGATCTGAATTCTGCCATTGATAAGATAATCCCTAAAATCACATAAAACACAACATGAAATGCTTAAATCCAGCATATAATCAGCTGAAACTGTTGCTGAACTTTGTAATAAATCTAACAGAAGTATTTTTATCAAACCAGAATACTAATATGGCAAAGAATGTTTTTAAACATTTGTACCTTTTTAAAGTAAACATTTAGTATAAATGGAAATAAACTATATATCTGGTTAGCCATTATTATGGAAAGAAAAACACTAAAACCAAGTTTAACAATGCAAAGTAGAAACTATTGATTTGCACAGCAGATCATTCATGAAACAGGTATCATACAAAATATTAATCTATTCCACAAAACAAACCTTATTAAAAGCAAAGTTTGATCATTTTAATTCAATATATATTGATCCTAGAATAGGTTGCATTGATTTAAATAAACTTTTTTACAGTATGAAGCATGAAAGATTGTGCTGTAATGTTCCTTTTGTTTCATAATGTGTCAGTTATATTCATTCAAGCTAGTACTTATTTCCTGAATTGCTTAAACAAGAAACTTGTATAAAGCAATTCAAGAGGTAAGTGTCCATTTCCTCCAATTAGCTAGCTTCAATGAGTAAACATGGAAAATATTCATCTTCAGTTCTTACATGTTACTTTATACTAGTATATGTGGCTTTGGTTTCTTTTTTCTCCCTCTGAAAAACTCTAATTTTGTTTTAGTGTTTTTCAAGCAAATTCATTGAAACTCATTATGTGGACAATTAATTTTGAAATGTAATTGAAAATATAATCAGTATTGCATCATGAAAGACACTACAGTTGCATAAATCACACAGTGCTTTGTAATCCAAGGTCATTTGTACTTTCAGAAATACTCTTTTATGGAATAAATACATAAATGGTTAAAATGTTCAGTCATTTTAATATTAAGATAAGTCAGTCATACCAAATGTGACTTAAACTTTTCACTTCCTAGAATGCTACTTGTAATCTGTCCAAATTAATCCTTTGATGAAAAACTAGCTGGAAATTCCAGGACTATAGGCAGAGAAGGAAAAAAATGCTAAAGTCAGCATTATATACCATATGGTAGCTATGAAAACTGTCTATGTAATCATTACAAAATTAATTCCTTTCAATATTATTTTTACCTTTAAGTCTGAATAAAAACTTAATTTACACAGCAAACAACTCTACTTTTTTCTTTTTTTACCAAATTACTGTAAGAAAACTGACTTTTTTCAGACACTTTACAAAAGCCTGGTGCTAATTGGATGGTTTCTATAATATATATATATATATTTTGCCTAGTAGCTCATAAAAATTTTAATCATGGGAGCTAAAGCTAGCCTCAGGACTGATGGCCATCGGTTGCTATTAAATAACAGTGCAAATGTTGGATAAAATCAATAAATTAGACTGACCAAAACTCCATGTAAACATTAACTTAAACTGAAGTCAACAATATAGCTTTTCTTAATGTCTTAAGTACAATGCACTCTATTATGATTTCAGGAAAATCTGTGTAACTGTTAATAACCCAAAGTTTACTAGATTTCAGAAATAATCAAAGCAAATAACATTATGTATATAATTAATTAATATGACAGAAAAGATGAATCACTTACAGAATTATGATTCTTCTTCTGCTTTAGATGTTTGACTGGCTCAAAGATGCAAATTACATTTCCATAAGCAGCTGCAATCTAAAACAAATTGCAATTTAAGTCAGTAGTTTTTGTAATCTCCATTTCATATGACACAGACATTTATTTAGTCATGTCCTGTTGGCTGAAAGAACATCAGCCAATAAAAGATTTATTTATAATATTTACAAGACAGTCCAGCTCGAACAGTATGACTATGGGTGGCGTACAAAATAAAGGCAAACAATATACATCTATATCTATATATGAAAAATAGTAAAAATAGTTTAATAAGCAGACTGAGACATTTTTAGGAAACTGAAAAAATATTTTAATATATTAATTTGAAATAATCAAATCATCAATGCAAATTTCTTCAACGGACCTTAAAGCATAAATGGAGAAACAAAAGTCCTTTCATTTCACATTGTACACAATACTATGGCCCAAAATTCATGCTGATGCTTGAATTCACTTCTGCTTTTGCATATAATTTATTTCATAGGCAGCTTTGATTTTTAAAAAACATATTGCATATGCTATTTTTGCAGAATCATTGGAAAAATGTAGTAAGATATATTGTAAAAATTAAATACAAGAAAAAATGTGATTCTAAATGATCGATATACAATATGACCTAAAATGCCAACTATAATTCCATCCAAATAACACAGAATCTAAAGTAAATACAATAAGCACAAAAGTACCATAAACTGAAAGGAAAAACTGTAAACAACATACTATCAAGTAGTAAAATAACTTTTGAGAAATCTGAAATGAAACCAGTGATAATTTACATTCAACCTATAGAGGAAAGAAACCACAAATATTTAAGTTCCATTTAACTGGAACAAAATTAAATTAAAAATAAAATTGATTAATAAAATTAAATTTCCTGGTTTTGAAGTATTAATATTGATTTGCTTGAAAAAAATTAAAGCACTAAAATGTTAAAAGAAGCTAAATTAATACTAAATAATCTAAATATCAATGTTTGGTTTTGGCTTATGTTGCATGCACTCAGCCATTTTGGCTTACTCAAAAATCTTTGTCTCAGTGTAATTTGAAAACCAAGGTGGTGAAGCACTTTTGTCCTCACTTTGCTCAGGTTGACTCAGCCTTCCATCCTTTCGGGGTAGGTAAAATGAGGACCCAGATTGTTGGGGGCAATGTAAATATATATATACATTGCTTACTGGTGTACACCGCTTAGAGAGTGCTTGCACTTAAAGCGGTATATAAGTCTCATAAATAAATAAATAAATACATAAATTATTAATAAAGACATCTGAAGCCACAAATATAATTGAGTACTCAATTGCTATAAATTGTTATCTATTTAAGTATATTTATCCATTTAAGTCTACTTAAGTATATATAAATATACCTATAGATATATATATAGATAGATATATAGATAGATCCATGTGAATGACTCCCAATGGCAAGTACTTACAGAATTTGATATGTCATTATTATAATCATATTGTACAGCAAATTAGAATATAACCTAAGTACCATTATTACTTACCTTCCCTTGCTGCATAGAACAATCTACACACCCCACTTGTATATTTCCGTATTTTGCTCCAGGAATTATTTGTAATCTTTCAAAATCTGTCCCCAATATCACAATGTCACATCCTGATGCATAAGCCTACAGGGAAAAAAAGGAAAATTGAGTTTGTCCTTTTTATTTTTTGTTAACACCCCAAAAAAGGAATAATATCAAATTGCGCATATATTTTTAGTCATGTTTATAATGCAAAAGAATATTACAATAATCTATCATTAACATGAATAAAAAGGTTTTTCAGATGCTATGTAGATAGCCACTTTATATGTTTCCTCCCAGAATACCTTTAATTTTTATCTCAGGAATTTCATTAAGATATAATTATAAAGGACAAATGTTACAATCTATGAGCCATATACACTTTTCTTATATGAACTCTCAGACTTGAGATAGAGCTGTTTTATAAGAAATGTCTTCACACTGGAGATTTATGATCCTCACTAGGGAGGGAGGGACTATTTGAGCATATATTCCTGTGGTTTTACATATCACTTGATCATCAGGCCATAATGAATGACTAGTTTTGTCCTTTTATAAATGCAACTACACACCCGTGACCCTTGGATTATCATTTCAGTGATACATTTCTGAAAAGATTCCTCAGTGCCTTCAATAATGGCAAAGCTTATAATATACTTGAAAAGTTCTTAAAAATCCAGGGAGATATTCAGACATCGATCTGCCTTGAAAGTAGCCCATGTTAAACTATACAGCACAGTCCAACATCAAGAGTTGACCCAGAAGAAAAGTTTTATGACATTTTCTATTACATCATAAATGGTTTTAAAATAATTTTATGCCAGAAAATGCTTTATAAAATTTGCCAAATTTCATTTCCACAGAAGTCATGGGTCCCGGATTTTGTAAGTTAGCCCACTGAGGTACTTTGGTTCAAAATATTTTGCCCTATGATGTACTGTTTTGTCCAGTTAAAGGTTACAGACACAAGAGTTTTAGTAGTATACAGAAAGATACACACTGCATACATCTAAACACACACACCTAAACACACTGCATACACCTAAACACACACACCACATTTATACAAATAATATATATATACAAATAATGTATATATATTTATATATATACACACATATATGCATGAGTATATATACATTCAAAATAAAATTCATGACAGAGATGTCATATAACACATTCTATACATTTTCCTATTTGCCATCGGCCATTGGATCCAACTACTTAACAAGGAAGAGAAAAAGAAACATCAAACTATTTTCTACTACATTTACAAAACATTGTATTCTACTGTGGTCTACTAAAGTCAGACCACTAGAAGAATTATGTGCAATCTCAAGATTCAATAAACAATTATCACTTCTATAGCCATGTAATTGTTTATCATAAGCTGATCAGCTCAGGGAAGTGGGACTTCCTGCTCATTATATTTATTTATTTATGTAGCATATGGCATAAAATACATGGACCAGCAATATAAATTAACATTTCAAAATAGAACCCAATAAAATATAAAAGTCAAAAAGATCTACGTTCAAATATTAATGTTTAGGCCATCTAACCATTGAAACACAGTACTTTTTATATTAAAAAAAATCAGATACTGGACTGGTATATGCCTTCAACTTAAAGCTGGTCACAATATGATCTAGTTTGATGTGGGACCCAGCAGTCACCAGCCCTAGGGATGGTCTACCATGTTTCCCCGAAAGCAAGACCTATCTGGAAAATAAGCCCTAGTTTGATTTTGGGCAGTGGGCCTTTTATAAGCTCTACCCCAGAAATAAGCCAGTTTGGGGGCAAGGCGCATGCCTAAAAATCAAGCTAGGGTGAGGCTGGGGGGGTGGGACTGCCCCACATGCCCCGCACCCACTTACCATTGCAGCCTGCCTCTCCTCGCCGGCCCACTTCTTCTGCAGCGTCCCCCAGCCTGCATTCTGCAGTCAGAGGCCTTCCAGAAAGACCAGGGGATGCCACAGAAGAAGTGGGCTGGCTGGGCGGAGCTGTCGGTGCCAGAGGTCAGTGTAAAAGACACCCCCCCCCAAAATAAGATGTGGTGCCTCTTTTGGAGGAAGGAAGGAAGGAAGGAAGGAAGGAAGGAAGGAAGGAAGGAAGGAAGGAAGGAAGGAAGGAAGGAAGGCTGGGTTTTATTTTCAGGGAAACACGGTACTCCTGTTCAGTCCATTCAAGGTGATCAATGGCCTTAAATGGGCTTCAAAGGCATCTCGGGATTTTTCTTGGGGAACTGGTGCACAGTTCTACCAGAGGCTTTACATTTCACCTGGAATGGATATGTGATAGGAGTCTTGAATCAGATTGTGCTCATATGGCTTCACCATGTTCATCAATCCCAGTGGGCTTTCTGAAAAGGTTAGGGAAATGAAACTACAAAGGAGATATCTATAGCATCACTGGGAGATGATGAAGAACAAAACCATTCAGACATTGATATTTGAACGTAGATTATTACATTAAAGATTACATTATGGCAAGAAGAGCAGCTAAACCAGGCTCCCCACTAGTGAGGAGCTGCGGACATAATCCCTCTCCTGACTGGAACTGACTTCTAAGGAAGGATCAAGGAGTATTACAATGAGGGCACCACCGCTATCCTGGCTCTGACAAAGACCTTTAACCAATGCTGTCTCTGTATTATACTCTGGTCTGAAATCAGACTGAAACAGATATAATTTGTTTCCTCCAAGATCCTCTCTGATTATTATCCAATCACCTTTTCCACAACCTTCACCAGAAAGATTGGAGAATAGAACAGAACAGAACAACAGAGTTGGAAGAAATCTTGGAGGTCTTCTAGTCCAACTCCCTGCATAGGTAGAAAACCCTATAACATTTCAGACAAATGGTTGTCCAATCTCTTTTTGAAAACTTCCAGTGTTGTAGCATTCACAAATTCTGGAGGCAACTTGTTCCACTGATTAACTGACTGATAATTCTCCAAAAGGAAAGGGCCCAGTCATGACTTCTTCAGGAGGGGGCATACCTCTACTTTCTTCAAGTCTGGTGGGCTCACACTTGTCTCAAGAATCAAAAGAACGGGATGAACCCATTCCACAGTTACCTTCTGGCTGTTTTAATATACCAAGTGTGGCCAAAATCTAATAAATAGATAGCTGGATTGAGAAAGGATCTTTTTTCATTTCCTTGGACATAACATAATCATACTCAGTCCAGTTAATATCACAAGACTATTCCTTGGCAACTCAATAGGACTTAACCAATCCGAGTCCAACTTTTGAGAGAATATGAGGAACCCTGCTGGATAGCAATATTCCTTAGCATGGTCCTAAAAATATTCCTATATCCTCCTACCCGTTCAATAGGGAATGGTTCATTTGAACAGGGCTGCTGGCAGCTATAGGGAGATGCAACAAGGGTGGAGAAATAGCAATGTTTTGCCATCCTTATTTGCTATGATATAGGTCTGAATATGGGCTCTCACATGCTCGGTAGACATTGTTTCTGTGTTTCATCTCTTGGAGCTTTGAGAAAACTAAAGAGCACCCCAAGATCACCGCACAGAGAAAGCATTCATAGGAGCAATCCAATACAAAGCCTTCCCCACATGCCTATTCCAGGCTACTACCAAGGCCATTGCTGCAGTGCTGATATATGGCCATCACCAATATATAGCCTTTAAACTATTACATTTAGAAAATATTGAGATCTTGAGCATTATAACCCAATTTAGACCAGTTCTACATTAAAGCTACAGTAATTCATATAGTAATTCTCAGTTGAGGTGATAGCCGACTATACTGAATTTACTAGCTTACTTATCTTCTTTGATTTGTATCTTATTGAAGTGTTAAATCTATTCTCTTCCCTTGCAATATTTACCTTTTTGCGTGTACTATTAGAAATTTATCAGAATAGAAAGAAAATAGAAAGACACAACAGAACCTCTACCTAAAATAAAGAGAATGCCCTCCGAGGCACCTGAAGCAAAAGTGCAATTACTGAGGTAAAAGCTTCCTTGTATTCCCATCAATAATAGTTGTTGACATTAAATATTCTTGGATTATTTGGTAAACAATAGCTCAGCTCGTAAAATACTGGTTCTTCAAGATCTGTCAGGTTCTTTCTCTGCTTGAAAAATACAAGATGACGCCATAATAAAAATCTGGTAGAGGATTCTTAACATTCTCCAAAGCACAAGATCCCACTTTCAATTTCTATATATAGTAATCTATACAACTTAGAGATAAATAGGAATTAGCATATACTGGCAGCTACCATCTAATTTTACTCTAAGAGGAATAACTGCAACAGTTATTCTTTCTACATAGCCAATATTTAAGATAACATACAAAGATAATTGCTGTCTATCCTATATAAGCAATATTCTTGCATTGCTAATGAATTATTTCACTACTGGATACAATTTCACAAAGAAGCAAATAAAGACTTAAATGAAATCTTATGTAAGATTTCTTATGTAAGAAACACTGAAAATATAGTTCTAGTAGCTTTCAAGCATCACTATGTCTATTTGTTACTGAACAAATAAGTAACTCCCTAATAAACTGCAATTCTGCAATTTTTCAGTGAGATTAGTATATACCTTTCATACTGTACAGATGATACGTGATTTTGTGCTGCCCTTGATTTATATCTTATTGAAGTGTTAAATCTATTCTCTTCCCTTGCATTTATTCTTAAGAATAAATGGTACATTTTTATAACACCTTCCCTGCAAAAGCTGCAATGGCTACCAGTAGGCTTATGGGTGCCATTCAAATTGTTGCTTCTTATATACAAAGTCCCTTAACATAAGGCCTAGTTATTACCGTAATTCTCCCATTATTTCTGACCATTCTGAAAATCAGACAGAGTCAGCATACTCTGAGTCTCATCCAAGAAGCAATTTCATTTTATGGAAGATGAGAGATGCTGGTTGCATCATGACACCTGCCTTTGAATCAGCATCCCCAGATTTAATGGCATATTTCCCCTTAAACATATCTCGAAACTGAGTCTTTTCCCAAGCTTTAAGCTAAAGTGGGGTTTTGTAATGGCATGTAGGAAAGACCTGGAAGGCAGGGGGAAGATCCATATTCAGGGCCAATGGTCAGATAAGCAATGACTTAGCCAGCAAAAGAACTTGGCTATGGCAAACATCTCAGAAAGAATTTTTCATAGTTTCTTGGGCTATAAAGGTAATGGGAGATAAGTGTACTTTCAGACTGGCAACAATCTGTTAATGTATTTTTACAATATAGTAGAGCTGGTACTTCTAGTTGTGCTTCTTGTCTGGACTACCTCACAATATTGACAGATGTGGACTCCACCTGTAAAAGCTTTTAATGGACATTTGCTTTATTTCACGTTTGATATTGTTTGTTTTTAATTCTGTTTAACACCAAGAGTCATTTCAAGGAGTTTCAGGGGCCTTAGAATGAATTATAAATAAATATAAACTACAAACTTAATAAAGAACCATAAGTCAGTCTTTGGACATAGAGAATCAGACTAAATAAAATGATTGGGGTCACACAGAGAGAAATTGTATTCACAAGATGCAGCGATTCATATACTCAATACCCTGTGCTAGATTACAATGGAAATAAGTTGTTTAGAGAATGCAGTGGGAAACCTAGCCATTGCTTGACATGCTGTGTAAAACAAATCAGTATGTTAAGCCATAATATGATTTACTGGTTTGGACATAGCATACTATGTAACAGCTACTATTCCTTAACACAGGCTTGGAGATTAAGCATACTGTGAATGTAGCTAGTGAATCACAAACTTGCCAGATAATTTAGCCTAGTACTTGTGCAAAGCTGGTCTATTAGTTTATAATCTAAAAGGATATCATGTGAACTCAGAAAATGAGTCTGAGCATATAGCATTCTCCTTTCTGGATATAAGGAAGCTAGAAACTAAACAAACTCGAGTTTTAGTACCTCTTCCTCCTCTTCAATCTGATATTCATGTTTCATATATTTATATTAGGCGTGGAGAAGTATTCAGCTGTTAGATTATCTGATTTAGCGAGGGCGATTTCAGGATGAATAGGAACAAAAATACTGACATGGGAAAGGATGACAGGGAGGAAACCAAAGGACTAAAGCCTTCCCAAACTAGCCTCATTTCCTAGCACAGAAAGGACGAGGATTCATTCCCCCCCCCCCCCGTTTTTAAAACTAACATGGGCACCGCCACCGCACGGACAGGTCGCGCGCCCATTAAAAAGGCACCTGCTGCACCACCCTTCCATCTCCGCCAACGTCATCCCGACGCCAGCTGCCTGCGAACCGGCTCCCCGCAGGCTGAGGCCAAACCCTGCCAGGAGCCGAGAAGAAGACACAGGAGGAATCCGTTACCGGCCCCGGCAGGGAGGCAGAGACTCACCGTGAATGGGTGGCCGTCGACGTTTCCCACAGAGAAGCAATTGTCCCCGGGGTTCACAGCCCCCGTTAGCACCTGGTGCAGGTTCATAGCGGAACCGTCCTTTCCCGCACCAGGCCGGCCGGCCACGCAGCCGCCTGATCCCACCGCCGAGGCTCTGTGAGCTACTCGGCCGCTGATCAGTCTCTCAGGAGGAGGTGACCGGCGCACATAGTGTGGGGCGGGCCATCTCAGAGGCGCCTCCCCGCCATGGGCAGATCAAGAGCTTCTCTCGGGCTAACCACGCACGCGAGCTCTCCTTCCGCCTCAAGATGCCTTCCTCCGGCGGCCTCACTCCGAGCGGATGCTCCGAAAACTCATGAAGGGAAACATCGCGAGATCAATGAAACAATGACGTCTCCCCCTTAACAGACAAACATTTTTGTTTTCCCTTTCTCTAACATACAGTATTAGGTTGGATGACAGCAGGCACACGCATGCGCTCTTTTGAAAGACGGTGGATGGGCTCTGAGACATGCGTAGTATTGACATGCGGCGATATTTTACGACAGCACTTGGCCGTCGGTGAAGGTGGCAAGACAAGTTTATGGTGCATCTGCGTTGATACGTTTTTGTTTCTAGGATGAACGTCAGATTAAGGCGCGTGAAGTGGATAAAATGTATGACAATAGCAGTGCTAGTTTAGTTCCGTGCAGCGTGAGAACCATTACATTTCGATAAAGTTACAATGTTCACATCAAAGGACCCAGGAAGGCATAATGCGAGAACAAATGGAATTCTCTTCCTCCTATATTCAATCCTTTACGTATTTACTTAGAAATAAACCCCATTGAGTTCAGTGGAGCTTATTTTTGTAGGTATAATGGGTGTACTGTTAGTTGGGATTAGCAAATGAGTTATATTAAGTCTGCTACAACGTTACTGAAAAACTAAATAGATGAGAACTACTCGGATTCATAGCACTTGTAAGTTTCTGGTTAGGTATTGATTTTGAACTCTCAATCCAACACATCTCAGGGTTATTGTGGGGTAAATAGGAGGAAGGAGTATTAGATATATTCATCACATTTGAGTTGTTTATAAACAAGGTGGGATAAAAATCAAATATTGTACTGCAAATGCTAAAAGAAAATTGAAATACTTTCTCATTTTATTTAGAAATGTATGTGTGGGCTGTCAATTTTTCCGTACCTAGCCAACCATTTTAGCTGATAATTACATGTGCTAATGTCTGACGTATTCAGAGATTATAAAATTGAGAAAGGCTAGTCTATATAGTGAGGAAACAGGTAAATATGGGAGGGAACATCTACCTATTTGTAGTATCTGATCTTTCAGGCTGTAAGTATCTTTGCATCCTAAATGTGATTCACATATAGTTCTTAGTGGGATTCCCATATCAATAGTAAACAACTACAAGATTACAATTTTGGTTATAATTTCAGTTAGTAAATTTGCCTTAATTTTACTAACTGAAACCAGGCTACTACCAGGCTATGTTTACACAGCAATGTAACCCATGGTTTTAACCTTAATGAATATATACCTAATTGGCTGGTTCACAACACAGTCGTAAGTCATAAACCTTGGTTAAGCCACACAGTTGGGTCACAATATCATACTAAGACATAAAAAGGAAATCATGTCTTTGTATAGTGAAGTGTGTAATTTCAGATTTATTTGATGAGATAATGAAATCTAGGAATTTTGTACTGTGCATATTGAACAGTTCTGTTTAGGGAGCTTCAGAAAAGGAAATTTATGGAGACATAAAATTAAGCTATGTTTTTTTTAATCTCCAGGACAGTAAGATAAGATAGATAAAATAACCTTATTGTCATTTTTTTACTGTGGGCACAACGGCACACATCAAAAATGAAATTTAGTTGCCCGCTCTCAAAGTGAAACACATACATGAACATACCTAAACATAGTATATACAACATATGTATAGACCCACACCCCTACATATACATAACAAATAAATATTAAATACTGTCCATCTTGAATATATAACAGAAGGAGGAAGCTTGAGAGTTCACAAGGTTAAAGCTGTACGGAATGAAACTATGGCTGAATGTGGATGCTCTGCTACGGATACCACGAAGCCTGCTCCCAGAAGGTAACAAGGAAAATAGCTTGTGAAGATAATGGACCCTGCTCAAGCAACACTTCTGTGCTATGTCCTGGATGGGAAGGAAGTGCCAATGATCTTTTCGGCCATCCACGTCACTCTCTGCACTGCCTTCTTGTCTGAAGCAGTGATGCTTCCAAACCAGACTGTGATGCTGTATGACAGGATGCTCTCGATCATTCCCCTATAGAAAGTGGTAAGGATAGAAGGAAGATGTGCTTTTCTCATGCGACGCAGAAAATTCAGGTGCTGCTGTGCCTGCTTCACCAGTGTCTCGCTGTTGAGCGACCAAGCCAGCCTACTCATTAGCTGCACACCCAGGAATTTGATGCTGGTAACCATCTCCACAGATGAATCATTAATGCACAGAGAAGTGTGGCTGTGCCTGCCTTTTGAAAAATATTTTGTATAGAGTAGAATGGAAGTAAGTGATGAAATATACATCATGACCGTATGTAATTATAATTTAACATAATTGTGTTAGATTTCAGGACTTCTACATAATTGTGGAGTTTAGCTATAAGAGAAATTTGACAATTCACTGCTTTGGAGGTTATCTACAAAAAGCGCTTTGGAGAATGTGCAAGAATGACTTAAGCATCCACCTGACATACCTTCAAATACCTGCAACTTTTCTCAGAATTGTGCTGTAGTTGTGTAACTGTCAGATACTAAAAAAAAATATGCTTTAAGGAGATGTATTCAGGTGCTATGTGCTCCATATGTCAAAAGTACATTTTTGCCTTTGAATCTTAGGTGTTGCACAACCCATCTTGAGGATTTCTGGAATATTCACTACAGTAAGCACAGGACTTATATGTGAAAATGGACTACCCAGTCATTGACAGTTTGGGGAGTAGTCAGTCCTAGTTATGTCTGCAAAACACAAGGCACCACAAACCAGCCAGCATTTTAGTTTCACATGCTGTGAAATTGAACATTCCATGATCACCTTATGGTTGTTATTTAAATTAAAGGAACTGAACCAGTCTGAGCAGAAGCAAAGATTTGAAAGTAAATTGGGAAGATCAAATTAGTAGGACTGCTGCGTTGGGACAGATTACAAGACTTTTATTTCTAAACACGCTTCCCTGGAATTAAACCCTTCTAACTACGTGAAGCATTGGCAAATAAACTCAATATTGAACAATACCGAACTTCTCACATACTCCCCATCACAGAAAACTAAAACTTTCCAGCGGGGCTCTTTTGCGGCCAATGAGAAACCGCTTTTTTGAATCTGTTGACGATGCCAGGAAGGGGGAGGTGGACATTCTAACCACGTGTCCAAGCTTTGCTTTTCGGGCTTCTTTGGTTTCAGAGCCGGTCTTTCTTCACGTGTTCTTAGAGGAAACATCAGGAAATAGAGGTGGACCAGGCTGCTGTTTTGGCTGCTAAGGGTTTCAGGCAGACCCCAAGGATTACAGCCGGCCCGTTCTGCACATAAAGCGCTGAGGTCCGGAGTTACTCTTCGCGGCAGCCATGGAAAAGGGGCCGTGGTCGGTTGATGCGGCGGGGAACGGAGAGGAGCAGCAGCAGTTTGCAACTCCTGTTCCTGAGAATGAAACTGAGGAAAGCGAACAGCGCTGTGAAGGTCTCTGGGAACTGCCCGTGGAGCTCAACACACGGAGACCCGAATGCAGCCGCTGCGGGTGAGTGGACTAGCTAAGCCGCCTGCTCCGTGGAGGGTCACGTGTCATTGAGTGCCTTCCCGTATTTCCCGCCCTCTGCTGGCTGACGTAATGCACTTGCCCCGTCCGCCCTCTGCTTGTTTTTTTACTGCTTTTGCAAAACCAGCCTTTCAGGCTATTACTCAGGGCTTTGGTCTCTTTTCAGGTGTATCCATGGCTAAGCTAGCCACAGTCCTCCACGTAACATAATACTGTATTGGTCACACTCCACCCTGAACAGTAGCTTAATCACAAAGATTGTGGTCGTTATTCCAAAGTACGGCATCCTTGCTTAGCGCCCTCCCAGGAGGATTTTGATACCTCCCGTTATTTGAACGGACTAAGGAATATCATTTGCTTGGATTCTTACTTTCGGAAGAGCTTTTCGAAGTAAGTTGAAGTAGATTTGCAGGGGGCACTAAACCTTAAAAAAACAACAGAGGCTCAGTCTATATAGGCTAAAATTGATTGATTAGGTTGTGCTTTGTCAGCCAGGTAACAGCTGGAGGGTCAGGTAATGTGCGTGAGTGGATAGGAAACTATCAGGAAATCCCATTTGTGGACTACATTGTTATACCAAGAATAAATAAACTAGAGAAAGACAAAAACTATTTGGATGAGTTGGTGAAGTCACCAGAGGATAGGCTCAATTTGAAGGAGGTTTTATATTTGCCTCATTTGTTGTTCATTTTGTTTTGTAAATGCAGCCACATCATGCTATCTAGCTATAGAAACATTTGATTACAGAGAAAGGGAGAAATCAGATAATTTATTTTCTTTACTTATTTAGTCCATCTGTCCATGTGTGTGGCAACGAAGATTGAGCTTTGTGGCAGTATTTAGACTCTGTAAAATTTCATCTCCCACAATAATTGTCTAAAGCTATACTATACATCATTCTAAGTAGATTGCAATGTGATTTCTGGTTTCAGTCTAGTATAAACCTATCCATTATATGTTATAAGCCATCGATTGTTTTAGGATGAAAATGGAGTCATGCTTAAAATCATATAGTGCAGCATAAGGTTTCCTCACATGCTACGCTATGTGATTTTAAGCATGACTGTATTTACATTTTAAAAACAAACTATGCTTTTCTGCAACCTACTATCACCACATTTATTTGGAATTAAATTAGTTTATAGTTAACGTACATGTAAAGCACCCAGATGGGAAGGTGAGGTTATGGAGAGAATGTGAGCAGCTACAAGTAACAAGTCATGGTTCCGATAGGTGAAACCCATCAAAAGAATTCCAAGGCAAAAATTCTTCCTCAAAGAACATTTTATTCAAGAAACAAAGTATCGGCACTAAATAGTTGAACCCAAAGCTAGATTCCCTTGCCCCAGATACAAAGTAACAGAATGCAAGTCCCACCCCCACAAAGCAGTCATAAATCACATTCTCCAATTAGCCAGGAGCAGACTTCCTCTCCAGCTCCTCAGTCAGCCAAAACATTATCAGTTTGTGTCCTTGAGTTTCCCATGAGCTGCATTTTGTTATGGCTAACTGAGCTCAAGCATTCACCCCATCCCTCTTCACAACATCTAATTTCTAAATAGAAGAAAAAGCATGTTAAAAGCAAAGTAAAAATGGCTGCAATTTCCATCAGTTGTCAGAGCAGAAACATCCAATGTTACAGCATTGACAACAAAGAGCTGCTACTTCAGCTATTCACTTACTTGTTCATGTATGATGTCATACTTTCTCAGGCTGGCACACTGCTGGGAAATGGATCTAAAATGCCCAGTCTTTGTTATAGCCTAGTGGAAAGTGAGAATAAACACAGATATTTCCAGCTGCTTTTTTGGTATTATCTCATAAATGTTCACTGTAGAAAGAATAATTCAAATAGGAATCTTATATAAACCAATCTACATAAAAATAAGTTCCCGTGAAGGAAACACCTTGTAAAAGTTTTTATAGTTGATATGTCTGATTAAAGAATTGCTGTTTGCTTTTGAAGAAAGAACTTCTGTTTCATGCAGATAAACTTGCACATCTCAAATTAAGGAATCATAACTATCTAGAAATGTGTATAGGTTTAGTATAACCCAATATAATTGAAATGAGGTTAGCTGTATTGGCTCATTTATGGCGCAGTCTGTTGAGTATTCAGGCAATTGAATTAATTCAGTCACTCACATTTAAATCAACATAACTTCAGGGACATTGGTGGGTAGAAGGCTGGCATTATGGAACTGGTTTTGTCCTGTTTAGAACTTACCAAATGTTATTTTGTGAGGTTCAAGCCCTCAAGGACCTTTACATCCTTTCAGAGATACTTCCTTATCAGCTTTCTCAAGAATGACAGAATTTCTAATGTATTGCTTTCACTGGAAAAGTTGGGATACATTCTGAGATGTATCTGCCTTGAAAATAGCCCATGCTGAACTGTATAGCATAGACCAGAGGTCCCCAACCTTTTGGGCACCAGGGACCGGTGCTATGGAGAAAGGTTTTTCCGCGGACCAAAGGGGGTGTGGTTTTTAATACTGCCTGCACCCCGAGGATGGAGCTTTGCTTGTTTGTGTGGCCTGCTTGCTGGCATGCTGCAGACCGGGGCCGGTCCACGGACCGGGGGTTCGGGAATCCTGGCATAGACAAACAACAGAGCAGAAAATCTTTTATGACATTTTGTATTTCATAAAATGCTTTATGATAATTTTATATCATAAATTGTTTAATAAATTTTGCCAAATTTCAGTTCTATTGGAGTCATGTGTTCTGGATTTGGACACATTCTGTGAGCTAGCTCATTTAAGGTAATGTTGTTGAAAAATTTGGGCCCTGTGCTGCATTGTTTCACCCAGTTAAAGGTTACAGGAATCAGACTGTTAGTGATAGGTAGATAGATAAGTTCTGAAACATGGGATAATATAAAAAGTCATGTAAAACCATGTACAGAGGGCACTGACAATATGTAACAATGTTTATCTGCTCTGACAGCTTAAGGGAAATGGATTACATGATTTCTGAGTATGAATATGTGCAAAATGATACATATACGTGGAATCATCATATGTGACACTTTATATATAAACTTCATACTTCACTTTAATGTCTATGGAGATTCTTAGTCATCCAGATCTTGGTTGTCCCAAAGGTGCTTTTATCAAGGGATAACTGGACTTTGCCTCATGAAAAAAGAAAAAGAAAAACAAAAAAGTCCAGTTGCCTCGTGAGAAAAGCACCTTTGGGACTTCACTTTAATCAAAGTGAAAAGCATGCATATGAAATTATTTCTGTCCACTGGTTTTATTATAATCTATATTGTAATTGTCTCTGGTGCTAAAGGAGATTGCTCTTGTTTATTTTACGTTAATAATTGTACAGATTCAAATAACTTAATATTCTAAAAACAGTTCAGTTCTTATTTGAAACAAATGTGATAATCTTACATAATTTGACAATAGTGCTTTACCTAGTTACATTTTTGTTTAAGACAAAGTTGCATTTTACTGGAGTCAATACTATATTGAAAGGCATGTAATAGCTATTGTATTTGGTATGCCTTGATGATCCTGCACTGCCATCTAGTGAATAATCGTATACTTGAACAAAATTTTGAATTAACTTCTCCCTTTTGCCTGTAGTACTACTGTACCTGTTACTAAATTCAGTACATGAATGTTTGGAATATCATAATTCAAGAGCGTTTGCTGAATTAATTTAAATATTGAGAGATATTTTAATATACCCTTTTCAGTATTGTAAATAACATTTGTAGGTAGCGCAAACTAATGAATACAGGTGCATACCAAATCAAAATTGCACCTGTCTCTAACGTAATTACTCATAGAATGCCTGGGCAAATATGCTTGTCAACACTTGTTTGATAAGGATCTGTAAGACTAACTCTGAGAATGAGGTTACCATTAAAAATGGAAGGAAAAGGCAGCTATTCACCTTCTGTAGGAAGCTCCTGCCCACAAGGCAACCATGTTTCATTTAAAATTGCTGTAGTACATGGCATTCAATATATCATCCAGCCAGGAATTGTTGTTCCCTTACCTCAGTGCTCAGCATTCCATCGCTGGTTTATATTTTTGCAAATGTCAGCGTTTCTTTGCACATATTGATCATTTCAGCTTGTTTCCCGATGGCCCCATTTTTATTCCTTAGTTGAATTTTCTGCTTTTTGTAGGATTTATGTTTAATTTTTAAAAAATGTTACTGAATCTAGGTTATAGTACAGTAATGCAACTACAGTAATACTCAAGTGAAAGAAAGCATAAAAGAATAATCTCAGTAAAATAAGATACAATTGTACTGGGGAAAATAGTATTTCAGATTACTTAGTCATAAATCATGTAGGGTTTTATATATCATCATATCTTTGAGTTGTATTCATTGTATTAGGTACATATAAGTTACGATTTTAGTGACAGAAGGCTAGAACAACCTTTAAATCATATAGTATTCGGAAACTATAGTTTTATATATGTTCACAGTTTTCATTTAAGAGACATAGTGCACTGAAACAATTGAGCAGCCATTCATTTTCTTTCATAATTTAGAGCGCTGTAAAGTATTTTAAAGCCTTGAATGATTAAAGATTGCAATATTCTAAAGATTCCCTTTTCTTATACATAGCTATGGAAGTCACCAGAGACTCCCCCATATATCACCATAATCTCTTATATTCTTTTAAATGGGTCTAGAACAGTACTTTTTGGAAACTCAGTCAAATAACTAGAATTCCTTTCTAAGGGAAATCCTTCCCATTTAAATAGTTGTCCTTGTATTTCAGGAGGACCTTGAGTTTTTACTGTAATATTCAAAATTGTCTTGATGTTACAGGTTGCTGTTTCTCTCCCTGCTGTTTTATTCTTGATGTTCTTAATTCTGTATTTTTTATTTTTTTACTATTATGAAGCACCTGGAATTTATGAAGGATTGGCAGGATGTTTTAACTAATACAGAAGCCCAAGGGTCAGCCCAAGGGTTCAGCTAGGTAAACTGCTCAGACAGCATTACTT